GAGACGCTGTGTACAGCGACTGGACAGCCGTTTTCAGCCAAACTGGCTATCGTTGATATGGACACGCCATATTATAAGGGACATGCTCAGGTCGGATTAGTGCCTGACCTTGTCGCTGAAGCCCTGTTGGGGGTAGACATCATAGAGAGACAATCAAAGGCTGTGAATGTTGTTACGCGTGCACAACATCGTAATAACATTGCTGAAGAAAGGCTAGCTGAGGACAAGGCAAAGGAATGCCATGTAAAAGTTGGAATGGACCCCGACACGGACCAAGTGGATGCCAGTAAGGGAAGTGATGTTGGACAGGCGAACGATGTGGACCTGGACCATGGCGATGGCGTTGGTGAGGACATTGACAACATCAGTGAGACTGTATCCCACAGCAATGGGGATGATACAGTTAACATCACAACAGAGGAACCGCTTGAACTTTCTGCTGTAAATGCTGAAGTGCTTAGTAAGCTTCAGCAGGAAGATCCAACTTTAGCCAACATTCGGAGAAAAGCTGCAAGTTCAGAGGAATCTGTGCAGGAAGATAAGAATGCCCTGTACTGGGAAAATGGGATTCTCCGTAGGAAATGGGAGTCTAGTGATGGAGCCCAACATGGAGTCCAGGTAGTACTACCAGAGGCACTACGTCTCAATATCATTAAATTGGGACATGATAGACCACTTGCGGGACATTTAGGGATAGAAAAGACCAAAGAGCGTGTCGTTAATTCGTTCTATTGGCCAGGAATTTTTAAGGACATACAGGAATACTGTAGTACTTGTAACGTATGTCAAAAGACCGCCAGAAGACGTGGTGACGAGAAAGCTCCATTAGGACAACCACCGATCATTAGTGAGCCATTTTACAAAATATCTATGGATGTTGTTGGGCCACTGTCTCGAACAAAGAAGGGGAACAGGTTTATTCTTACCGTTATGGATGACGCAACAAGGTACCCAGAGGCTTTTGCATTAAAGAATGTGGACGCAGAAACCATAGCTAACACATTGGTGGAACTGTTCAGTAGGGTAGGAGTGCCTCGTGTTATTCTGACAGACCAGGGCACAAATTTCACCTCAAAAATGATACAAGAACTCTACCGTGTGATGGGAATCAAGGGCATAACAACATCGCCATATCACCCACAGGCTAATGGGAAGGTAGAAAGATTTAACGCAACTCTCAAAGCTGTGTTAAAGAAACTCTGCACGTCAAATCAGGAAGCCTGGGACGAGCTGTTGCCATATGCATTGTTTGCATATAGGGAAGTACCCCATGAGGAAACGGGATTCTCACCATTTGAGATGCTATATGGATGGCCGGTCAGAGGACCATTACAGATTTTAGAGCAAGCCATGACAGGTGAAGGAGAGCTTAGAAAATCTGTCATTGACCATGTTGTTCATATGAGAGAAAAGCTCGCAATGGTTAGAGAAACAGTACAGGAAAACCTGACACACAAACGGCAAAAGATCAAAGAGTGGTACGACAGGAGCGCCACAAAACGGGAACTTCGACCTGGGGACGAGGTTCTACTATTACTACCATCAGACACATCAAAAATGGTCGCCCAATGGAAAGGACCATATAGGGTCATAAGGAAAGTCAACGACGTCAACTATGAGGTCAATGTTGGAGGACGTCGTAAACGAGTTGTTTATCATATCAACCTACTACGGAAGTACAATAGAGCTGTCCAAAACGTCATGTTTGTCGAAAAGGTTGACATCGCCGATTCTGATTTTGACGGTTCTAATTCAACATTGGAGGTAACACTGGATGTTACACTTGGCAAAATGTTAGATAAGTCACAGCGCCAAGAAATCCGTCAGCTTTGTCAAGAATACAGTGATGTCATAAATCCTAATCCAGGAAAAACATTGTTAGTTACGCACAGCCTGAGGACAACGTGTGAGAAACCAATCCGACAACAGCCATACAGAATTCCTCAAGCCAAAAAACAAGAGGTGAAGAAAATGTTGGATGAAATGATAGAGCGTGGTTATATAACACCTTCCTCAAGTCCATACTCATCTCCAATAGTTTTGGTGGAAAAGAAGGATACTACAACTCGGCTATGTGTGGATTACAGGAAACTCAACGACGTAACTGTATGTGACGGGTACCCAATACCCAGGGTGGACGAGATATTTGAAAAGCTAGGCAAAGCTCAATACCTCAGCACTATGGACCTAGCAAAGGGATACTGGCAGATACCTCTGTCTCCAGATTCACAGGAAAAGTCAGCTTTCGTAACTGAATTTGGACACTTCCAATTCAAGGTAATGCCTTTTGGTATGAAAACAGCGCCTGCTACATTTGCAAGAATGATGGACAGACTGTTAGCAGGAGTAGAACATGTGGTCGCTTACTTTGATGATATAGTGGTATACAGCGACACATGGAAGGAACACCTTGAACATATCAAGACTGTATTGGACAAACTTCGGGAAAGTGGATTAACAGTAAAGCCATCAAAATGTCAATTTGGTGAAGAGGAACTTTACTGTCTGGGACACATTGTCGGGAAAGGAAAGCTTAAACCAGATAGTCGGAAGGTTCAAGCCATGGTTGACTTCCCCCTCCCACAAACCAAAAAAGGGATTAGGTCATTTCTAGGTATGACTGGTTATTATCGGCGTTTCATTCAGGATTATGCCAAGATATCGGCTCCATTGACCAACATGCTAAGGAAAGACAAACCAAGGCAACCCAAATGGATGGATGACACTGTAAATGCATTCAACCAACTAAAGGACGAGATGACCAAGGCACCGGTACTAGCAAATCCAGATTTTAAAGAGCCCTTCGTCATTCAGACTGATGCCAGCAACGTGGCTATTGGAGCGGTCTTAAGTCAGAATATCAACAATAAGGAACACCCTATTGCGTACATCAGCAGAAAGTTACTGCCGCGGGAACAAAATTACTCTACAGTGGAGAAGGAATGTTTAGCTATCGTTTGGAGTGTTGAGTCATTCTCCTATTATATTAGTGGTGTTCACTTTACCATTTTGACTGACCACAATCCACTTAAATGGCTTGATAGGACCAAGCAAAAGAATCAGAGACTGTTAAGATGGGCACTGGCATTACAACAGTTTCATTATACAATCAGATATCGACGGGGCCAGGAAAATGCCAATGCGGATGGACTATCCAGAATTGAATAAATAGTGTATATATTTTGAAAAAAAAGGAGACGAACACTGACTCTGGATGTATCATCAATTGTGAACATGTGATAAGGTTGTTATGTGTATACCTTAAGAACAAACAGTGACAGTCTAACAGAAGTACCTTATCCAAGGAAGTTAACAGTATATTGTAGAATTTAGAATTAACTGTTGTTCAAGTAAACTTACCAGTGTTTGTGTACATACTAAATATTATCTCAGCCTGAGTATCATGAGCAGTTTGCTATCTCTGAACTTTTAGACCGTAAAAGTTTTCTTAGGCAGGGGGATGTTAATAGTGAAATTTGTCACTCAAGTGTAGAACATAATTTGCGTTAAATCTTAATGTGACCGGCTGGCTTATCAGACAGATAGTTTAATTGCGGTCACCTTAGTGTCAGAATCATGCCGTGAAACATTGGCTGGGCATGCTCTCCACCATGGAGACATTAACTGGTCACGGTTTAATTGTAGATCAGTAGAAGACACTTTCCCTATCAGAATTAGATTATAGTTGCTTTAGGATAAACTGTAAGATCACAGCAAATAGAGTCAGTCCTGGTGTGGCCGTGGAAGGAGTAACTTGTTAAGCTCGATACTCAGGCCATACATGTTATCATTGTTGTAACTTGTGTTAATACTCAACATTTGTACTTGAGAACGGTTGTTGCTGGTCTTTTGTATAACATAAGGATAGTACAACATAACGGGGTAACAGTCACCAAAACAGAATATATCTGAATAATCAATCATGTGTCACCAAAACAGAATATATCTGAATAATCAATCATGTGTCACCAAAACAGAATATATCTGAATAATCAATCATGTGTCACCAAAACAGAATATATCTGAAAAATTAATATGTCACCAAAACAGAATATATCTGAATAATCAATCATGTGTCACCAAAACAGAATATATCTGAATAATCAATCATGTGTCACCAAAACAGAATATATCTGAATAATCAATCATGTGTCACCAAAACAGAATATATCTGAAAAATTAATGTGTCACCAAAACAGAATATATCTGAAAAATTAATATGTCACCAAAACAGAATATATCTGAATAATTAATCATACGTCACCAAAACAGAATATATCTGAATAATCAATCATGTGTCACCAAAACAGAATATATCTGAAAAATTAATATGTCACCAAAACAGAATATATCTGAATAATCAATCATGTGTCACCAAAACAGAATATATCTGAATAATCAATCATGTGTCACCAAAACAGAATATATCTGAAAAATTAATATGTCACCAAAACAGAATATATCTGAATAATCAATCATGTGTCACCAAAACAGAATATATCTGAATAATCAATCATGTGTCACCAAAACAGAATATATCTGAAAAATTAATATGTCACCAAAACAGAATATATCTGAATAATCAATCATGTGTCACCAAAACAGAATATATCTGAAAAATTAATATGTCACCAAAACAGAATATATCTGAATAATTAATCATACGTCACCAAAACAGAATATATCTGAATAATTAACCATACGCTTAAGATATTGATTGTAACCATGACATTTCCCCGCCATTATCCGACCCTCCAACTAGAGATCACGTTAGAGAGTTGATTAAGATACACAAAATGTTTATCGCCAGATATCAAGGAAAAGCACTGTTAGATTTAGATTTGGTCTAGTCCTGATATTTAATTACCACATGCGTTTGGTGATATAGAAGCTCCCGATTTCACGCAAGCTTGGCCTACGATATACAACACACGGATATCTATTTTTAAAAACAAAAGCACAAACCGCAGAACTCACACATATGCACACACAACACCAACCTGCCACGGGGAGGTAGGCGTTTTGGTGGGCATTTTCCCTTAAAGCCTCAGTAGCTATCTGTATTACTGGAAATGGCGACTGTCCGAAGGCGAAATGATAAACATTTCCTCCTTGTTCAATCAAATTTCTTATCCTTTCATTAAAAGCAAGATTGGAGGCCGGCGCATATCCCTCCAGATCTGTGCGCACCAGGTCGACATACTCCATGTCTTGGGACATTCTGTCGCTCCACTTCTGTTAGTTCCTGTTAACACTAGAATTAGGTCGAAAATTGATCGACAGATGCGCCCACGGTTTAGCAGTAGTGTACTCCGGTTCGAATGTGTTGACTTGTGTGTCCTTACTACAACTGATCAAACAAAAGCAAACTCGTCACCACCGTAAATAACCTAAGAAATGCTATGTGTGGTAACACACACAACTAAGCTAATGGAATCGTCACGGATTTATGAAATATTTCTATGGAGACCGCTCTGTGTACTCCGTACAGTTTTATCTATATAGTAACACCGATATTATACGATTCGTTAATGGTTGAATACTTTTCACCACCATGCTCTGCCAATTTCATGCCCGCATATAAATTATTCAAGGGCTTTTAACTGGTGTATATATGTTTTCAGACTACACATTTATAAAATGCGATCGTTGTACTTATGTACTGGCCAATAAGACCGAAGTGAACAGACCAAGTCGTGTTTTTCTTACATAGATGTTTACCGAATTTTGAAACTGTTGATATACAATACATTTTATTGTGAAGTTGACTCCAAGGTTCAATGTAGAAGGACTTGACCGAAGATTCTCTAGAATCCCCGCATCCAAATGAGGGGAAATGGACATGTTACATCAAGGACATGTACGGTACATAGAAATGTGCGATGTTGCCGAGAAAGTAGGTCACTGTAAACAAGCTGCCCAAAGACCGCTTCTTTTACTTCCTATTTTAAGCAAATCGCATAGGAACTGTGCTTTTACAAGGACATTTTCCTCTGCTCTCGAATGACGTTATTATGAGAGTTGTTCACAATTGGAGGTCAAAACTTCGTAGATATTTTTTCACAATATTAGACATATTTGATAACTTCGGTGTCTAAAAGGCTTGACACAACCGTGAACGTGCTGTGGATGGGATATTTTAAAAGAGCCAGAGATCCCCTCCGGAGTATGTACACGCTTTTCAAGTGTGAAAAATCGTTTCCAGTTTTTGGCGTATGTGACCTCTGTGATCATGAATTTGGATCAAGAATATTTGCCTACCCATAAATATTTCCTTAAATCCTGTAATGTCTATGTCAGATGTCCATATTCTAGGTCATTTCGATCGGATGAAAAGGGAGTTAGTGGTGAAAAGTGGACGGTAAGCTCCACACACGTATAACCTCTACCCGAGTTTACTCCGAGTCATTGGCTACATGTCTGTGATACTACACATCTGTCCGTTAAAATGTCTAATGTCTGGTATGGAAGCTAGGGGAAATTCGGATAAGTAAGAGGGTATACATGTAGTTTAATACACTGTGTCCGGACATTCATTAAAATAACTTTAGTGTCTTAACTTTTAGTAAAAACACGAACAATGAATCCGAGCAGATGAGCAACTTTTGGTGTAGACCAAATCGGGACATGTTTGGTAACACAGTTGATTAATTAAGAAAATGCTACATATTTTTTGCCTAAATCAATGTGTATCGGGATTGATAGAACCGATTGGTCAATCACTAAATGACGGATATAACTAAAACATTTTGAAGGGAAGCCTAGCTGATTTTCCACTAAATTTTAACACGTTCACTTTTGATAACTAGAGATTAATGACAAAATCTGGATCAATTTGTGGACGAGAAATTTCAGCCTTGGAACATGGTTACTGACATCGAGTTCCAGATTGAAGTAGTTGAGCAATAATCTTTAAGAGTGTATGCAGTACTTCAAGACAAGAGGCAACGCAGACTAAATATTTGTGAAAGCTAAAAGCAGTAACACTATTTGTCTGTCAAATTGCTGATTCACCACCCTTCCTCCATAACTTTACGTCTATAGATTAATATTTATTTTAAACACCTGAAAGTGGCAGAGTTATAGTGTACATGTAGGCCCTGTATGGAAATGTAGCGTCATGCATCTGTGAGCAGAAATACAATTTATCAATATTACAGGCTTGAGGAGACGACAGTGAAATCTCTGCCGTCTAAGGGTATTCCTGACACTATTACCCGAGACTTGAGGAGACTACAGGGAAATCTCTGCACTCAAAGTGGATTCCTGACACTATTACCCTAACTACTCTTCTTGCACCAGTAGTTTTCATTGGCGGATCCAGAATTTTCAGAGAAAGGGAGAGGAGGTCTATGGAGATCCCTGCTTTATCCAGCACATTTTTCAGGAAGGTTGAAAACCAACTATTCCCCTTGTATTTTGTTTTACCTTCAACTTATGAAGACTTAAACACAAGTGAATGCCTTACTTAAATGTGGGTCAAGATTGTTCATTTTAAGAAATTTAATAGCTAATGGTCCAAACAAGCTAACAAGCAAACACTATAATGACCCATAGCCTTTTAGTCATTAGTGAGAGTTCCTTTTCTGCACAATAGGCCTCTTGTGACCTTGAAAGAAGGTCATGGTCATTGGTCTGAATAAGCTTGAAAACATTCACCATGTTTCTATCTCAATACCGTTTGGTTATAGAGGGATTTAAAGTTTGTTCAATGGAATGACTGACTCCTTTCATTGTCGAAAGTGCTAAATATGTTAAAATCAGACTTATTTCTCAAAAACCACAATGCCTTGAGCAGAGATATTTGGAAGGTTACAGGCCAGGATGAAGTGCATGTGTATACAAATATATATCTTGATGTAATTCCAAGGGCTGACATCTGCTCTTCTCCAGTAACTACAATCCAATGTAGATATTGGACCTTCAGCATGCTATGGTGAAGAGTATTCAAGTTTCTGAATATGCTCTTCCAACAAAGTTTTCTCTTGACAAGCTACAGGATGGGTAAGTAGTACAGGCCTACTGGACCTGTATACTGTGATAGTTTTCATTGAAAATACACCATTATATATGTAGTGTTAAAGCAATACACTGCCTTATTTCTTGAGAAAAGTAAGGTAATTTTAAACACTGTCCACAAACATTTATCAATAAACAAAGAACAAAGAAGCACATTCCATCCACTTTTATTTTTATGGGCATTCAAATCAAATTTCATCTATAAAGGACAACAAAATTTAATAAATAGAATTCACACTTGGAAACCTCAGCCAACCTTCCCCCTCAAATATCTATCAACTCTACTCGTACATCATAATAATTATCGTTCAAAAGTGTTAAATAAAAAGATGCTCAAGGGACCTGGCTAATTCAGCTATTTAGTGATCCAACAAAGAATATCAAATATGACAACTAATTTCTGAAATAATATCCCTGTTAGGGCCAAGCTTTGAGGTCAAACAGATGTCGGATTCACCATTCAAAACAGGAGGCCCATAGGGCCTGTATTGCTAACATGAATCTTAAAGCTGAGCAATGGTATACATGCCTATAGGTCTTTCTCTGTTGATACCAATTAAAAGGTTATATGGTTATCTGGTTGGAATCTCAACCTTGTCAAAAATATAACCCAGAAATAATGTTCCTAGAGATGTGCCACATCAAAGGGTCAATTCTAAAATCATGAATGTGTTTATCACTGGATGCCAAGCATTGCCTTATATGGTTTAGGGGTGGCGATCTCATTTGTTTCAAAGATATTTCCAAGAAACTCACTCCCTAGGAGTAGGGCCAGACCTCAGAGCCAATTCTCACATCATGATAGTGTTTATCTCTTGATACCAAGCATTGTTGTCTGTGATTATAGGGTATCTCAAGTGATTTAAAGATATAACCCAGAAATTAAGCCCCAAGAGGTGGGTCCAGACAAAAGAGCCAATTCTGACGTCACAATAGACATATGGTTATGGGATGGAGATCTCAATTGTTTCAAAGCTGCCCCTCCCACCCCTGGGTGCCCAGACCCACCTTTTATATAAAATTGATTGACCTTCTCCAAAACATGATTCAGACCATATTTGGGCAAAACCTAATAATTCCTACAGGAATAGTATTTTAAAGAATTTGCTCTATTGTCTATTTGGCCATTCCCACCCCAGGGGGCCAGAGACCTAAGGTTTATACAAGATTGATTCACCTAAGAATGTTTCCGACAATATTTGAGCAATTCCAATCATTCCTACAGGAGGAGTGAGATTTTAAAGAATTTGATCTATTGCTCCTATTGGGGCCCCGCCACTTTCACCCCAATGGGCTAAGACGTAACATTTAAACAAGATTAATTTCTCTTCACCTAAGAATGCTCCCAACCAAATTCATACATAATCTATTCATTCCTACAAGAGTAGTAGGATTTCATACAACTTGCATAATTTTCCTTTTTAGGCCCTGCCCTTCAGGCCCTTGGTGACCAAACACCAATATTTATACAAACTTGGTAACACTTCTCCCAAGGATACTTCAGACCAAATTTGGTCAAAATCTGCTCAGTCGTTAAATGACCAGGAGTCATTTTTAGTAAAATGTTGATGGACATCATGCCAGGGCATCAGCTTATCAGTCCTTTAGATCCGATGAGTTAACAACGGTCAATACCTACCATGTTTTAAAGCTGCAAACAGAAATACATCATCATGGTCACCCGACTCCTTCCTAACACACAACATACTTGAAATACATCATCATGGTCACCCGACTCCTTCCTAACACACAACATACTTGGAATACATCATCCAGTTTACAGTTGTAGTATTTCAGAAAAAAATCATATAAATGTATTTAAATGAAAAAACATGAAAATTAGTGAAATTGATGAATACTCCCCAAAAAAACGACAAAATTTCAACAAAGGGCAATAATTTTGTAATAACCAGGTTGTTGGTCCTGAATTAATAAGTATACTGCACACCCTCTCAGTATGATCGATGTGTACATCAAGCTTTGTGATTCTAGTTTTAATGCAAGCAAAGCTTTGCCCATGACACAAAATTTTATCAAACAACAATTAATATCAAGGCAATAACTCTATCGAGTAGTCATGGGCTCGGACTCTGCTCCATTGCATCTTGCTTTTGTACAATTGATGTGATGTTTCAATAGCCTAGTTTAAATACAGGCAAAGTAATGGTCCAGATACAGAATTTTAACAAAGGGCAATAACACTGTAATTACCGGTTAGGGGCCCTGACATTGGTCATTGTCTTTGTATGATCAATTTATGCGCAAAGTTTCATTACCCTACATTAAACGCAAGCAATGTTAGAAACTTGCCTGTACAAAACACATCTCCGCTTGTGTATTGACAGAAATAAGCGTTGACATATCAGTTTGCTGAGTGTGGATTGAGGGTGAATATGACAATGGATTCATGTTTGTTAAAATCTTAACGAATCTTACAATTATTTAGATAGTCTGATGTGATTATCTATTAAAATGTGAAGTGAAACAATGTTGTTCTTTGACAAAACACATCCGCACATCCAGAGGTCTGTATATATTTACTAATCCCTTAGCTTGTAATACAGTGTTGGGGCCTGTCAGCTGGTTTGCCCATGATATTACTGCAAGATGTGAAAGAAATCACACTACTTATCAATGCTAATTAAGTGACATGTATGTGCATAATTCAATGCTATCTAGGGTTAGAAATATCTGCCTGATCAAGCTGACCACAGCTTTACTGTAAGCTCTAGACACCATGTTTTTATCAAAGGGCAATTAATCTGCAATTGAGGGAGTCAATGGCCTTGAATTTGGTACATGGCACACTGCCTTCGTATGATCAATGTATACACCAAATTTTTCATTTCACAAAGATTTTATTGAAAACAATTTTTTAAAGGTACCAGGCAACTGGTTAAAGCCTATATAAATCCTCTCCCTCTGGCAGTACATATTGATCATTAATTGCAACATGAACTGGCATCTTATGAGTTCTAATAAAAGCGAGTTACCTATCCTTTAACGTGTGAACAAGAATAAAATTCAAATATTTTTGGTACAAAGTTTCATTATCTTAGTTTAAATGCAAGCAAATTAAAGTTGTGCTCTAGACACAACATTTTAACAAAGGGCAATAACTCTGTAACAGAATAGTTCAGGGCCCTATATTAGTTTCACTACACATGCCCTTAGTATAACCTCTGCTCTGAACACAAAAGGATGGACAGAAGAACAGACAAGGCAGCAACTATGTTGCTCCCCTGCAAATTTTCAGGGAACATAAAAAATATATAATTGTCTGTACTCCTTGAATTTAAGCAATTAATTTGGAATATATATCAGATTCTAGTACATTTTCAGGACATACCTTAATTCCAGTACTCCACTCAAACACTTTGGATGGCTGTATAAACCAGTCAGACTTGTGTTACACACATTACCTAGGACTAAGATGAGGACTAATTGATTACCATTAAATGAATATGAAATAGTTGAAGACACCAACATCACTTTGGGTGTTCTTTATATTCAGTATCCAAGGATACTGGCTCCGTTGCCTGGGGCAACAACTAACCAAGTCAATGACAGCAGTAATTACTTCCTACTCAGTAGGTAAATCAAGACATACAATCATGTCTCTCTAACAAACTCCTAAACAAATAGACCTTAAACCACATTGTAAATTACATATTGTTATAGCTTAACATTCGGAACTGATCAATAAAATTAAACAGACTTATAAATCATAATACTGATCATCCCACACAATAATACCTGAGGTGACAGATAATGAATTTAGGCCCAGGGGACCAACACGTTACATTCAAAGTCAGGTAGCGACCTTATCAAAGGACAATAAGCCCAACATTTTGCCCCGACTCAAAGTCAGGGAGATGGCTTACTATAGGACTATGAAATGTGTTGGTGGTTTCACTTAATGAAATAGTTATGTGTGGGCTATATAGAATTACCAGGTAAGGGCTCCCTGCTAAAAAACAGTTTGTATTCTTTGTATATTTATAAATTGTTTTTATTTCACCCTTGACTCTCCTGTTCACTTATACAGCAATGTTGAGACGTTCAATGACATGTCGGTACATTTCCACATTTTCTTGGTAAGTATTCTCAAGATATGCAAGTCTCTGTTCTTTTGACAGGCAACTCAATGTTGCCGACAGTTCATCTGGGCGTAACACTTTCTCCAGCTTATCAAAGTCACGTCCTTTTTTCTAGAGGAGAAACAAAAATGGATTTTGGAATGATAGTAAGTAGAATCCCAACTTCTGTAAAATGTGAAGGATAACTGAAAACCTGAAATAGAGATATCTTCACCAAACTTTAGTACCATCAAAAAATATTCAACTTACTAACATTGGTACATCATCATTAGTATAACAGACTATCAGAAGTAGTGTAAGATGTTTTGTCAAACAGCCGCAATCTCGCGTAATCTTTATCTAAGTATACCATTACATTTATATCAACCATAGATTCTCAAGTATACTCTGAAATCTTTCGGCCAATCTGGTACCACAGCAGCCATCTTGAATACAGAAACAGTTGGGCCTCTGTTAAAAGTACGCTACCACGTGTATCACTTCTATAATGCTAATCATATAAAACTCAAGCTGTGACCAATCGGAGACCGGTGTCCTACCTGGAAGGGTGCATTCAGTCGACGTTTCACATCAAGTCTGTAGGCTCCATACATTTCTTTGTCACTTGTGTCTGTTGCTTTTAGTCTGAGGATCTCGTAAATTCTGCGTGATTGTCTCTGAAAAATGCAAACAGACATACAAGTGTGAATAGCATCTTATTGATAGATTTCAAAAAGATACCAAATTACCACATTCTAATTGTAATAGGGACTGTTACATACATGTCCCCCAAACCACCTCGTAGTCGTAATTGATATAAACAGTTAAATTATAATTGATGGAAATGAGATTAATATCAAAGAATATTTGATTTTCACCAGTCATCAGTCATTTGTGAAGGGCAGTCATTTTGTCTAATAAGAACCAGAAACTGGAAGACAAGACAGTGACCACAAATACTTCAGATTTCGCCTGCTAGAATCAGACTTTTGTTTTAGATTTTAGGCTTTGTGATTATCTGAATGTAGCCACTAAGTTTTACATGTATAAAGTAACGGTATATTTGTCAGGGACCAAGAGAAATCTACAAATGAAATTTGAGAAAGATCTAACCAGTATTTCTCCAAAAATAGTAACAACAATCTACTACTTCAAAATCCAAGATGGCCGCATGTCTGCAAATGCACAACTAGGGAACAGGGGGAACATACTTATGACATTTTAAAAAGTTCTATCCAGTTCTTCTCAAGAAATCATGATAACAATAATTGTTTAAGGTCAGACAGATGACACAATCCCGACACAATCCCGACACAATCCCAGCACAATCCCGACACAATCCCAGCACAATCCCGACACAATCCCACCACAATCCCACCACAATCCCGACACAATCCCTACACAATCCTACCACAATCCTGACACAATCCTACCACAATCCTGACACAATCCTGACACAATCCTGACACAATCCTACCACAATCCCGACACAATCCCGACACAATCCCGACACAATCCCGGCACAATCCCGACACAATCCTAAAACAATCCTAAAACAATCCCGACACAATCCTACCACAATCTTACCACAATCCTGACACAATCCTGAGTAACAGAGGAAGTTTGTAACCAGTTATATTGAAAGTTCGATAACGTTTCAACCACTTCACACCAATCAATCACTGAGAAACAGAGTTAAAATACTGTCAACAGTATCAAGGTGGAAAAATCATTACAAGCAAAGTTACAGAAATTTGGCGACCATCAGGTAATCAAGGATGCACCTGACTGATTGAGCATGCCAAGATCTCACAATAGACACACAGGTGATTACCAGTAGCACCTTTAGACACACAGGTGATTACCGGTAGTACCTTTAGACACACAGGTGATTACCGTTGGCACCTTTAGACACACAGGTGATTACTAGTAGCACCTTTAGACACACAGGTGATTACTAGTAGTACCTTTAGACACACAGGTGATTACCAGTAGCACCTTTAGACACACAGGTGATTACTAGTAGTACCTTTAGACACACAGGTGATTACTAGTAGTACCTTTAGACACACAGGTGATTACTAGTAGCACCTTTAGACACACAGGTGATTACTAGTAGTACCTTTAGACACACAGGTGATTACCGGTAGTACCTTTAGACACACAGGTGATTACTAGTAGCACCTTCAGACACACAGATGATTACCAGAAGTACCTTTAGACACACAGGTGATTACCTGTAGCACCTTTAGACACACAGGTAATTACTAGAAGTACCTTTCAACAGTTTTTTGGCGGAATGTAATTGTATTGAATGACCAGATCAACTTTACCTAAGTTTTTAAGAACATGAATGCAATTCTTTAATTCTGATGGACTCTTTTCCAGTTTTTAAATTCATGAATATCTTAAAAAGTATGTGTTAATTGTGAATAGGAGTTTATTCAGTAAGTATTTCCTTAACCTTGATTAGTTAGCATTTCAGTAATCTCTATTTGTAACCATTTCACTAACTTTGATTAATTAGCATGACAGTAAACTCGATTAGTTAACATATCAGTGACCTTAATTAGTTTGGATGTCAGTAATCTTGATTAATTTACATTTCATAAACCCAATTAGTTAGTATTTCACTAACCTCAACTACACAGTTAGCATGTCAGTAACCTTAATTAGTTAGCATTTCACTAACCTTGACTACACATTTAACATGTCACTAACCTCGATTAGTTAGCATTTCACTAACCTCGACTATGCAGTTAGCATGTCAGTAACCTTGATTAGTTAGCTTGTCAGTAACCTTAATTAGTTAGAATGTCAGTAACCTTGATTAGTTAGCATTTCACTAACCTCGACTACATAGTTAGCTTGTCAGTAACCTTGATAAGTTAGCATTTCAGTAACCTTTTTGTTAGGACTTACTAACCTTGTTTAATTTGAGTTTTTCCCTGGCTTCTTTTGCCATATCTTCCGAGAACCCATCCTTGAGTTTTGAAACCTCATAGCTGGTGAGCCTCATGCAGTTTTTTGCATCAATAAAGTCACGTAATCGCTGGAAGTTTTCTGAAGGATCTTCAACTGGATCAAGCAAATATTAAGAAAAAAAATTATGAAGTAAAAAGAATTTTCAACCTCATTCTGATATTATGAAATCTTTGATGTTTTAATAAGTTTAAAATCTGATCATGTTAAGTCTTTGTCTAGTCATAAATGTCACTATTTGGATGAAGTTAAGAGTAAAAATGACCTTTCCTGCTCACAGGCACTCGAGGCCAGGATATTATTTTTTAAACATTGATTTTTGTTTTAGCACTCATGACTGACGTTATCTAAACGAAATATCAGCAGAATTCAAGTTTATGTGCCGGTTGACAAATCCGAGGTCCACGGTCATTAAAAATACACAAGGCAAGCAACTCCAGATTTTAAAAAATCGACCCCTCGCTTGGAAACTGGCTCAAAAAAAGTAGTTATGATAAGTTCCTTGTAAAACAATATGTATCCTTAGGTAGTGTGTATATTTACCTTTTATTTGGTGCATAACACTACAGGCAACGAGAAATTCACAATACGTACATGAGATTAACATCTCAATAACCGGAGATTTTATCGTCCATGTAATTATCTTTGACGGAAGTAACATGCCATTTCAAGGGCGGTCACTCCGACTTTTTGGGAGAGGAGTTCCGGATAGCACTATACCAGTGAACAGGTAAGAAAGGTTCCGATGTCATTACGCGCGTAACTTCAAAATAGATATTTTTATTTCTACAAATACATTTGCGGGGATGGAAAAATAATGGCTGGGCAAAGAAAGTCCACATTTGCCAACTCGGATACAATATCATGGTAAGGGATTATACAGAATGCATCAACTTTCAATCAAGCTGGCGGTAATGAGAATTTTTTTTAAAAAAAAAAAAAAAAAAAATAAGAAAAAAATCATGCAGATAATGAAAAAAGGGCGCAATTTATGAAAAATATCGTGGGGGAAATTGGAAATTAAATGATTTTTTCCATATTGATTTTTGTCAAGTTATTGAGAATATTTGAAAAGAAATACATATTACTTATTAACCAAGAGGCCCAAAGGGCTCGTATTGCTACAGGTACTGTATGTTTTGGCAAACATCCATACAATGGACTTCCTGACCAAATATCATGACCCAAGGCCTTTTTGGTTATCAGAAGATGTTATTTAAGGGTTTATCCATGACCTTGAATATAATGTCAAAGTAATATCTTTTCTCAAACTTTGTTGCCCTTCACCCAAGAAACATTTTAACAAACATCATGATCCCTGGACTTTTGGTTAATCGGAATAAGTCGTTTAAAAAATCAACACATTGGACCAAAGTGACCTTGAATAAAGGTCAATGTATTTTTTTTGCTGCAAACAGTGTAGGGCTTTATCTAAGGAACGATATTTTTCATAAATTGCGCCTCTTTTCAAATATTCTCAATAACTTGACAAAAATCACTATGGAAAAAATCATTTAATTTCCAATTTCTAAGTTAATATATTTCCCCCACGATATTTTTCATAAATTGCGCCTCTTTTCAAATATTCTCAATAACTTGACACAAATCACTATGGAAAAATCATTTAATTTCCAATATCTAAGTTAATATATTTCCCCCACGATATTTTTCATAAATTGCGCCCTTTTTTCATTATCTGCATGATTTTTTTCTTATTTTTTTTTTTTTTTTTGAAAAAAAAATTCTCATTACCGCCAGCTTGATTGAAAGTTGATGCATTCTGTATGATCCCTTACCATGATATTGTATCCGAGTTGGCAAATGTGGACTTTCTTTGCCCAGCCATTATTTTTCCATCCCCGCAAATGTATTTGTAGAAATAAAAATATCTATTTTGAAGTTACGCGCGTAATGACATCGGAACCTTTCTTGCCTGTTCACTGGTATAGTGCTATCCGGAACTCCTCTCCCAAAAAGTCGGAGTGACCGCCCTTGAAATGGCATGTTACTTCCGTCAAAGATAATTACATGGACGATAAAATCTCCGGTTATTGAGATGTTAATCTCATGTACGTATTGTGAATTTCTCGTTGCCTGTAGTGTTATGCACCAAATAAAAGGTAAATATACACACTACCTAAGGATACATATTGTTTTACAAGGAACTTATCATAACTACTTTTTTTGAGCCAGTTTCCAAGCGAGGGGTCGATTTTTTAAAATCTGGAGTTGCTTGCCTTGTGTATTTTTAATGACCGTGGACCTCGGATTTGTCAACCGGCACATAAACTTGAATTCTGCTGATATTTCGTTTAGATAACGTCAGTCATGAGTGCTAAAACAAAAATCAATGTTTAAAAAATAATATCCTGGCCTCGAGTGCCTGTGTTCCTGCTTACCTGTGATGTCCATGACCTCTGACCTTGTGTAACAGTCATTGTAAAATGTCTGTACAAGGTGACATCCATGACCTTGCTTCTGGAAGGGTGGTAAAACTAAAACCTGGCTGCAATAAAAGTTAAAATGTATTTTTCTGTTATTCTGTACAACATGTGCAGAACAAGTGACTGGCTTGTTATATATTTCGATTATTGGAGCAATTTTGTGGAAATTAAATGTCCCCTCCAGCAATAAAGATATCCAACACAAGACAGTTTAACAAAATTTTACTAAATGTCCCCTCCAGCAATAGACAAGATATCCAACACAAGGCAGTTTAACAAAATTTAACTAATTGAGGGTATCACTCATCCAGCTAATTTAGCTATTCAGCCATTTAATAAAGAATTTCGAACAGGAGATCCCAGGGTGATCTGGGTGCCCACCATTTTTTTTATCTTTATTTGCTCTTCTTTTAACCTGCCAAATCCAAGATGGTCGCCTGAAAGCCATTTTGTATGTCTAATCAGTCCTATAATCAAACATGCACAAGTAGAGACCAAAGGGAAGATATGTATGAAACCTGATCCACTGAGATTCATTCCATAGCCCACCATCTGATAGTGGGATAACAATTTGACCAAAAAAAAAATGTCCCTTCGGATATGCAGTACCCATGGGTCAATTCTTACATAACAAACATGTCTATCTCTTGATGCCAAGCTATATGGTTATGGGATGGAGATTTCTGTTTCAATGATATCACCCAGAAATTAAGTCCACAGCGGTTAGGCTACACCCACGGACCAGTTCTTTCACTGTGAATGTGTTTATCTTTTGATGCCCCACATTGCCCTGTATGGCTTAGGTTTGGGGATCGCAACTGCTTCAAAGAAATTACCATGAAACGGAGTCCCTATGATAGGGGCCAGACCCAAGGGCCAATTCCTACAACCCAATTTTGTTTATCTCTTTATGCCCTGCAATGCTATACATGTTATGAGATGGGGATATAAACTGTTTTCCAACACATCTACCTTCTTGAACCCCTCACCTTCAGCCCTAGGGGACTGAGAATTACCATTTATACAAAACTGATTCCATTTCATCAAAACATGATTCACACCAAACTGAGACAAAATCCAATAGTCCTAAGTAGAGTAGGACTTTAAAGAATTTGCTTTATTTCCCGTATTGAGCCCAACTCTCATGCCCCACGTGGCCTCTAGATCCACTGTTTATACAAAACTGATTCCCTTTCATCCAAACATGATTCACACCAAATTCGGACAAAAGCCAATCATTCCTACAGGAAGAGTAGGATTTTAAATTATTTGCTCTATTTCCCATATTGGGCCCCGCCCCTCCTGCCACAGGAAGCCCAGATCTACCATTTTTACAGAATTGATTAACCTTCACCTAAACATGATTCAGAACAAATTTGGACAATATCCTGTGATTCTTGAAGAACAAGATAGATTTTAAAGAAACTGCTTTTCTCTATTGAGCCCGGCCCTCAGGCCTCAGAAAAGTTGACAGACAAAAGATGCTGCAGTATCTCTATATAGCTCACTTGGCCTTCAGCCTGATTATTCAAAACTGATTCCCCTTTACCTAACACTAGAGGCCAAATAAGGACAAAGTCCAGTAATTTCTACAGATGAAGTAGGATTTTAAAGATTCCCTCTGTAACCCCTATTGGACCCTGCCCCTCCTGTCCCAGAGTCCTGAGACCTTCCATTTATACAAAATTGATTCCCTTTTCCCCAACAATGTTTCTGACTTAAATTGAGCATAATCTAATCATTCCTACGGGAGTACTAGGTTTTTAAAGACTTTACTCTATTTCACCTCGGGCCCGACCCCTCCAGTCCAAGGGGACCGAAACCCACAATTGCTTTTCACCAAACAATGCTTCAGACCCTTCTGGCAAGGGTGAGCATAACAAAACCCTTCAGTTACCTGATAGAAATCAAGATAATACACATGCATAAGCACAGAGTTAATCTGATTTGGTCACCTGTGTGACTTCATTAACCTCAGATTTAATCTGATTAGGTCAACTGTGTGACTTAATTAACCTCAGATTTAATCTGATTAGGTCACCTGCGTGACTTAATTAACCTCAGATTTAATCTGATTAGGTCACCTGTGTGACTTAATTAACCTCAGATTTAATCTGATTTGGTCACCTGTGTGACTTAATTAACCTCAGATTTAATCTGATTAGGTCACCTGCGTGACTTGTTCAGCCTCAGATTTAATCTGATTTGGTCACCTGTGTGACTTAATTAACCTCAGATTTAATCTGATTAAGTCACCTGTGTGACTTAATTAACCTCAGATTTAATCTGATTTGGTCACCTGTGTGACTTAATTAACCTCAGATTTAATCTGATTTGGTCACCTGTGTGACTTAATTAACCTCAGATTTAATCTGATAAAGTCACCTGTGTGACTTGTTTAACCTGAGATTTAATCTGATAAAGTCACCTGTGTGACTTGGTTAACCTGAGATTTAATCTGATTAAGTCACCTGTGTGACTTGGTTAACCTCAGATTTAATCTGATTAGGTCACCTGTGTGACTTGGTTAACCTCAGATTTAATCTGATAAAGTCACCTGTGTGACTTGGTTAACCTCAGATTTAATCTGATTAGGTCACCTGTGTGACTTGTTTAACCTCAGATTTAATCTGATTAGGTCACCTGTGTGACTTGGTTAACCTGAGATTTAATCTGATAAAGTCACCTGTGTGACTTGGTTAACCTGAGATTTAATCTGATAAAGTCACCTGTGTGACTTGGTTAACCTGAGATTTAATCTGATTAAGTCACCTCAGATGATCTGAATGTATAGACACAGACTACGTGATGGATTACCTTATTCTAGGACGAACCTTCTCTGGATATGCATAGTAGTTGTAAACTGTCATGTATCCTGCGATAGCATAAGCAGAATTTCCATCCATGTTGTATTTTTCAAATCTGAAACATTTCAAGTTGAGTCATAATTTGCAGAGAATGTCTGTTCTGTATTTTGATTGGTTTATCATGTATTTTTGAGGCTTAATAATAAACAACAATCACTTTTGAAAAAATTTTCTGATAAATATTTACAAAATGATTATGTACATATTATTATTACATCATGAGGTTTCTGTTAACAATTCAAAACGTAACAGGAATCAAAACCTTCGTTCAGTTGCACAAACATAGATATGGCCATTACATACAACAAATAAAACATCCATCTGTCATCGTCCACATCTATGTAGGAAGCAGCATCGATGAAGAAAAGGATAAAGGTCTGTAGATGTTCATGGTACTCTCGGAATCCTGGTGGTGAGATGTCCGTTTTATATACCTCAAAGTTTCTCTCCTGATTGTCTGAAATACAAATCAAAGTACTGAAAAGCTAAACATGTTGATAATATATCTGTAAATGTAAGATATAATGAATCACATGCAAAACAAATACTTTAATAACAAGAGGCCCATGGGCCTTAACGGTCATCTGACAAAAAGCAAGCCAAACCTAGAAAGTGGGTTGAGGTCATTCATTTGAACAAACTTGGTAGCCTCTCCTCCAAGCATCTTACAGGCCCAATATCTACACTCATAGACTTTTGCTTATTGAGATGAAGTCCTTTGTATATTTTAACATATTTGACCCCTGTGACCTTGAAAGTGGGCCAAGGTCATTCATTTGAACAAACTTTGTAGGGCTCCATGCCAGCATGCTATGGGCCAAGTATTAGCCCCCTAGGCCTTCTAGTATTTGAGAAGAAGTTATTTAAAGATTTTGACATATTTGACCCCTGTGACCTTGAAAGTTAAACTTGATAGCCCTTCATCCCAGCATGCCACAGGCACAATATCAGCAATCTGAGCCTTTTGGTTATTGAGAAGAAGTTGTTTAAAGATTTTAACATATTTGACCCCTGTGACCTTTAAAGTGGGTCAAGGTCATTCATTTGAACAAACTTGGTAGTCCTTCATCCAAGCATGTCACAGGCCCAATATCTACACTCTGAGCCTTTTGGTTAATGAGAAGAAGTTGTTTAAAGATTTTAACATATTTGACCCCTGTGACCTTGAAAGTGGGTTGAGGTCATTCATTTGAACAAACTTGGTAGTCCTTCATCCAAGCATGTCACAGGCCCAATATCTACACTCTGAGCCTTTTGGTTAATGAGAAGAAGTTGTTTAAAGATTTTAACATATTTGACCCCTGTGACCTTGAAAGTGGGTTGAGGTCATTCATTTGAACAAACTTGGTAGTCCTTCATCCCAGCATGTCACAGGCCCAATATCTACACTCTGAGCCTTTTGGTTAATGAGAAGAAGTTGTTTAAAGATTTTAACATATTTGACCCCTGTGACCTTGAAAGTGGGCCAAGGTCATTCATTTGAACAAACTTTGTAGGGCTCCATGCCAGCATGCTATGGGCCAAGTATTAGCCCCCTAGGCCTTCTAGTATTTGAGAAGAAGTTATTTAAAGATTTTGACATATTTGACCCCTGTGACCTTGAAAGTTGTTCAAGGTCATTCATTTAAACAAACTTGATAGCCCTTCATCCCAGCATGCCACAAGCACAATATCAGCAATCTGAGCCTTTTGGTTATTGAGAAGAGGTTGTTTAAAGATTTTAACATATTTGACCCCTGTGACCTTTAAAGTGGGTCAAGGTCATTCATTTGAACAAACTTGGTAGTCCTTCATCCCAGCATGTCACAGGCCCAATATCTACACTCTGAGCCTTTTGGTTAATGAGAAGAAGTTGTTTAAAGATTTTAACATATTTGACCCCTGTGACCTTTAAAGTGGGTCAAGGTCATTCATTTGAACAAACTTGGTAGAGCTCCATGCCAGTATCCTCTGTGCCAAGTATTAGCCCCCTAGACCTTCTAGTATTTGAGAAGAAGTCGTTTGAATGAAAAGTTTACGGACGGCGCACGGCGGACGGCGCACAACGCACGGCGCACGGCGCACGGCGGACGACGACGGACGAAGCATGATGACTATAGGTCATCGGACCCTTCGGGTCAGATGACCTAAAAATGACCATCAATGGCAAAATCTGTAATACGATGAATATCTGGACATAGAGTAAAACTATACAACAGATAGTATATTCTGTGTTGTGCTCCACAAAGCTAACACTTGTGATACAAAGTTGGGGCCTCATTTTGTGTCAGCTGGCGAGCACATGAAAGAAAACAGAGATTACAATTACCTGGTTTGTGAACAATATTGTGTGAAAAGGAATATTAACTCTGATTTAAGTCATAAATGATTGTTTATTGAATTCTTTCTTGTTATGAATTTTGTTCCCTATTAAATCAGATGACGCTGCTCTTCAGTGTGACTGAAGATGCTGCCCTCGATTGTGATAAACAATGTAAAGTGCAGTCAGAGATTGAGGAAAAGCTAACTCTCCATTACTCATTCAATTTTACAAATATCAGCATGAAACTTGTTAAAAAGGTGTATTGTGATCTTATCTAGATGTTGCTAACTATTTTAATACATATTTTCTAAAGTCGTTACTACTCTTACTGTTACTGATTAGAACTTGTTGTCAACTTTTAGATAAACTACTAAGAATAGATGTCATAGATCCTACAATTATGAGCATTCCGCCATATTGTCCTGCCTCGGAGACTCCTCTGCAAACCAGAGCAATGCTAGTTGGGAATTGACATTAATCTCGATCTGAATATTTTTATGATCACATAGTCTGTCAATTTTGGTAAATCTTCAGTGTAATACTTCTCATAGCCACATTATGCGTGAATGACACTGTTTTGAAAGATGGTGGCATTAAATATAGCATACAACTTCTAACAGGTAGCATGGTGAACTCATTGGAATATTTCCACAATCAGAAAGCTAGGATTGGTAGTAACAGTTAGTTCCAAAGGCTATGACAATCAGCTCAAACCTTAACTGTGTTAAGTTTACCCTAAAAAAACATAAGTGATGTACACAACTTTAAACTAAGGAGATGTTAAGTTCAAGGTAATGAAGAGGAGAAATGAACTTAACAATCCTAAGTCTAGATGAGGAATAGGTGATTACTTGAAACCATTATTTAAATCTGAAATTTACCATTGGCTGAACATTTTTAATGCAAATTGAAAACAATCATAAATAGGTTTTTTGCATGTGCATGTCACTACATCATTAATTTGTATTATTGTATTAATTTATTATTTAAAGTAAGATGTGTGAGAATCTTGTGAATCCTTCAACAAAGAAAAATCGAACATATTAAGTGAGAAATATTTTGGAACCATATTTTTTTTTTTTTACCTTTGATGACTTTGTAACTGTGTAGCATCTCGCCATATGGTCTAAAAGTAGCATCCTTCTCTAGGGAGGCTAGGAACAGGTCCCTGTTGGTGAGGTACCCTGGAGGGAGTTTCTTGTTCAGAGTTCCTATTACGTTATCTGGCTATAGACAAAATTACATATATTTTATATTGTATGAAATGTTCTTGTTTTACTCGGCTTTTGTGGCTTTCTGGTGCTGATAATGGGTCCTGTTTCCAGTTCAAAATTATATCTAAGCCACATTCCAAAAATTTGCAATCTAATCCTGTAAATAGCCTTCCAGATTCACCAATTTTCTTACCATAATGAGGAAAGAATGCCCCCATCCCGAACCAGTGAAAAAGTCCTCTTACTAAAATTACATCAAATTTGTGAAGCTCCTTGTTAAAGAGACCTAATCTGCAAGACGACACTGAATGGAACCTAACTGCCTCGTTTTTGTTGTATTACTGTCAAAATTTTTCCACAAAGCTCCATACAGTCTACCAGATCTGAGAATCAGGCTTGTGGACAGGTTGTGAGGAAAAGTTTAATAATAATATATAATATTTTAACCCCATTTTCAGGAGATTTTGTCAAATATTTTAGATTTATTTCTCTACATGTTTCATTTATAATCACCTGTATTCCATCAAACCTCTGTGGTGTGACTTTGTCAGAATATTTCATGTTCACATAAGTTGATAGTCTTGCAGCACTGTAGAACATTTCTACTGTCAAATCTTTGTAGCCAAATATACTCTCCCTGTAACACAGAGTACAATCGAGTAAATTATTAAGTAAAAATGTTCTCCATAACAAAAGAAAAACTTCAGCCAAATTGATCTTTCTTGTAATAAACTGAATGAGAAAAGCAGTAAATTTAAACGAAAAACTCTCCAAAAAAAAATCTTTTAAAGATAACTGTTTATTAAAGAACATCAAAAATTTTAATTGACACTTACTGATCTCCAAATAGTTGGTGAGACATTTCTGGTAAAAATGTTGTGTTATCATCTTCAATGTCAGATTGTTGTCTTACTGAAAAAGAACAAGAAAATACAGTAACAAAGTTATTCTCACTGCCAACAATACTGATTGACAAAAACTTGATCTCATTTATAAAAAGTTCATGCAAATTTTATGACATTGCACCTCTGATGTAAAGAAAAACATTGAACATAATACAAAACATTCCTAGAAAGTCAAGACTGTCTCTCACCATGGCAACCAAATGGAAACAATTTATTTTCTTTGAAAATGGTGTCATTGTATTTGTCATCTTCCTAAACCTTATTACAACAATTTTCAACTTAACCAGATGTCTTTATTTTCACTAACCACAAGCCTCCAAAATGTTTCTATGGTAATGGTTTTGGAAAACCGCACAATTATATATCATACGCCTAGTTTGAGAAATACTGCTTCAGTACTTCATTAGATCTACTTGACACATTGTGGACAGACAGAGGGTTGAACAGTCGGACAGCCAAACAGGGTGATTCCAATACAACCCCCTCCCAAACTTCATTGAGGGGGTTATACCCCCTCCCCAGGTGCTAGGGACCAATGGAAATCAACATATTACATCTGACAGAGATCCATTCAGTACTTCTTAAGAAACAGAGATAAACTTTCAAAGTGAAAATCCCATATGGCCGTCTGTCAGAAATTTTAGTCTTTCTGATCTGTCCCAAAATCAAACAGGCATAACTAAGGATCAAGGGGAACCTACATATGAAATTTGAGAAAAACAATTCTCAAGAAATAGCTTTAAATAATCTACAAAGTGAAAATCCAAGATGGCCATCAGTCTTGTTTTTCCTATCAGTTCCAAAAGTAAACTGGCACAACAAGGAAATTTGGGAGAAATCCATTGAATAGTTTTCAAGAAATAGCTTTAGCAAACTTCAGAAGGCAAAAGCCAAGGTGGCTACCTGTCAGTCATCTTCTTTTTTTGATCAGACAATTAATCAAACCGGTACAACTAGTAAGAAGTGGAACCTATAAAAGAAATTTGAGATCCATCCAGGACTCCTCAAAAAGTAGTGGTAACAGACTTCACTGAAAAACTCCAAGATGGCCACCTGATGACCATTTTGTTTTTCTGATCAGTCCCAAAAATCAAACGGGCACAAAAACGGACTAAGGGGAACCTACATAAGAAAATTCAGAAAGACCCATCCAGTACTTCTCAAAAAATAGTGATGACAAATATTGTTTATGGACGGACAACAGATGCCACGTTATGTCATAAGCTCACATGGCCCTTTGGGCAAGGTAAGTTAAAAATTGATTCCACTTTCCCTATGGATGCTTCTGACCATATTTGGTCAAAATCCAGTAAGTCCTTTGACTAGTAGTGATTTGTATAAAAAAGATAGACGGACGACTAACCCCACAGTATGCTATAAGCTTGCTTGCCCCTTTGTGCCATGTGAGCTAACAACAAATTGTCATATTGGATGATCTAGCATCAGTCATACAACACAAAGAAAGACAACAAACTGAATTATTTCATTGGAACAAAGAGACTAAAGTAACTGATTCAAAGTGAAAAACACCTCATAATTTTGTATGCCGGTAATAACACATGTACTGAATGTCATACTTCCACATAATATTGTAATAGCAAACAAAAAGGGATGAATTAAATTATCTCATTATAATTCAAAATTTTAAGTTAATGAGCCAACCAAAAAAGATCAGACTATCAATAAAAGTATCTAATGTGTTTTGAACATTTGGTCTTTCATATAGGCAATCCTTTGTTATATGTCACATAATACAGAAACTTGACTTTCCAACAGCGTACCAAACCTGTTAAGTTATAAATATTCTTATTACCCAGTTTGAAGTGTATGGCTTCATTTGCAGAACATTTGTATGCCTCCAGTATATCTTTCATAAATGATATACCTGAAAAAAAAAAATATTATTGCATATATACATATATCAAATATATCACCTTATGAACAATGCCAGCTGGTTTTCATTGAAATATGTACATAAAGAAGTTAATTAATAAATAGAAAAAAGAAATCTTTGTCTATTCATCACATATGACAATGCATGCGCACAAAACACTGTCATCTGTAAGCCAAAATGGCTTCCCATCTGAATTGATTGGCCATTATTGTTACTTATTTTGTAATTTTGAATTGATGTAAAAGTTATTAAAATAACAAAATGTGTAGAACCAGGATTGTGACGTCACGCCATGGTTACTGGTTGTGATTCAGGAAGATCCGTAGGCAACAGGGTAATTTTCTTAGATATTTACTGTTTTCAACAGTACACATAACAAAAGAAACATGGGATTGATGTAAGTTACTACAAAGAAGTTGGTTACGTGTTTTGGAGTGAATAGCGTTGATAGATTTTATGGAAAATGACAAAAAGTAAAGCCGGAAGTGGTACTACTGGAGCCGTTGCCAGAGACAAATCAGTGTCTTCGTCTACAGAAGTCAGGATGGATACCCTGAACGTCACCTAATCTGGGTGTAAGTTGTGTTCAAAGGTGTATGTTGAGAAGACAACCAAAATGCTGAAATGCAACAGATGCCGGAAATATTTTTGGATTGGAAGTATTGGCATGGATATACGTACGTACAAAGTTTTGTGCCGATCAGATAGTATGTGGTTTTGTCTTCCGTGTAGAGTGACAGTTGGGAAAAGTATACTGACCGATAGAAAAATTTAGGAAAGGTGTTGCGAGATAATGGAAACATTCAAGAAAAGGCTTGAGGATTTGGAAAATTCAATGAAGAGGAAATGTGAAATATCTGCTGTCGAATGCATATTGAAAAAGGAAATGGAAAAGGTTGTGAAACAGATGGAAACACCTCAGTGTTCAGATGAAATATTCTCCGAGGTAAAGGATCGGCAAAGCAGGGAGAACAACATGGTCATTTTTGGAGTTCCTGAACAGCCTGATGACTATGGAAATAAAAGAATGAGAGCAGATATTCGTGTAGTGGAGAGGATCATTGAAACGTGTGGAAATGCTCAGAGAGGATCCCAGAAGGTCATTAGACTGGGAAAACGCCCGGATTCAAGGATAGCGTCAAGTGAAAATGGGCGACCAATGCTTGTGAAATTCGACTCTCTGATACATAAAAGAAACATTTTCAAAAATATCCAAAGGCTATGCAGCTGTGAACAATTTTCTTCTATACAAATCAGGAAATTATATAAAGAGGCAAAAAGAAAAGAAGAACAGGAATCTGTAGCCTACATTTATTGAGTTCGAGGACCACCATGGAACAGAAAAAATTTTCGCATCAGCAGAAAACGAGACATTTAAGCCAGGAAAGTTATACCATATTAAGCACTGAAATATAAATAGACCTATATATCAATCTTTCATGATGACTAATAATTTGATCTCTCAAAACCGTAAATTGCTAAGTCACTATGTAACGATTTGTTTCCTCCTACATTATATGATATATCAATTCCATTGTAAATCAAATTTAGATATGGACATAGAGGCATTGATTTGCCTGCATCCATTATTAACTTAACTTTACTGACTGTATCACTACTGTCATTTCTGCCTGCCACCATGTTTATGTGTTTAGAAAAGGAAGTGCCTCGTTTTCGAAACTATACCGAGACGTTATCAGCGCTAAATCTGGAAAGGGTTTACCAAACCAAAGAAATGACCAAGCTGGACAGGTGAAATCGACTGTGAATGATAGGACAGCATAGAAACATAATCGACAGTGTATAAAACACAAACAATCAATAACAAAATCAATAATTTTTACCATGGTGTTCTTTTAAGAAACAGATAAGACAGTAAAATGCATATATGTATATATATAAAAACAAAATATTAACATGGCAACTTCCAGGAATCTTCAGGCGATTGCATTGATGTGATTGATGCAATACCCTGAAGATAGCCACAAGTATTGAAAACAATAGTGATCAATGCAAATATTAGTGATTGTGATTTGAATTTTAGTTGCCATGTTGATATTTTGGTTCAGCATTTCTCTTATTTGAAATATATATACATAAACATTATACACCCTTGTTTCAGTAATTAATTTCATGTTTACTTGTTTACGCAACACAGTGAGGAAATAAAAGTGATTTCTATATGGGAAAATTTCATATGTAAATTGTAGAACTAATTTTGTTGTTCTATGAGTAACAATTTAATAAAGGAGTGTCGATTACAGCTTCACATATGATACACACTGATTTTGCCACTTTTTTACAAATGTCACAATTGGAAAATTGCTTAAATGCATTGGGAATAGAGACATTTATGGCACCTAGTCATATAAGCAGGAAAAATGATGTCTGAACTACCCAATGCTGATTGAAGGAATTTCAGTACGGCAAAAAGAGTTTAGAAGGTAATTCTGGTCAGCACATGTATAGCCATCGACAAGTAGTTGTCAGGAAATGGACATGTATATCCAAATATAGCATACTTCATGAAAACGATACATCCAAGATGATATGGAGCAATCAGTGGTCACAATCTGTGCTAACACAGTACGATGCCAACCCAGCTGATTTCATTGTTGTAACCTGTGATAAATCCTGGCTTATCATGATGATTTGGAGAGTAAACAGAAGTTGATTAATAGAATAGAGACATGCCACATCTTCAAAGACATCCGGTCAATCCATAACGTCATAGCAAATTTTTAGGACAATAAAGGAGAAATTCACATCAAACAACTGTTCCAAGGAACCACAATCAATGGAGAGTATTATACTAACCTACTGAAGTAGATGTTCTAATCAATCAAGGAAAAAGGCCTCCGAACAAAAATAATTCAAGGAAATCTGATTCACCTAGACATTGCATCAGTCCAAATGTACACCAACTGAGTTGCGAAGGAAGCTGTTTGCGAGAGTGGCAGTGAATTTCCTTTTCATCCACCCTGTTCTTTACGCCTGTACCTATAGCCCCTAAAAACTTCCACCTCTTCACCAGACTGAAAAACCACCTTCAGTGCCGTAGATTTAATGAAGCTAAGGCTAGAGGACCGAGATTGTAGTTCTACCTGTCTGGCATCAATGGCTGTCAAGCTAGATGGACAGTGTAGTGGAATTAAAAGAGGACTTTGTTGGTTCTAAGTGTTATTTACAGTCGCATTCAAGTATAATATCACTGATATTTGATTATGATACTACGCAGTTTTTTTCGGACATTCAATACTAATAGGCAGACCGTACATCTCATGTCATTAAGTATTGATCTTAATTTTGAAAACACGGGTACATACTTCTACTGAAATATATTTATACTTGCACGATAAACGAAATGCTAAATTAACTGTGCTTTAATTCTATAATCAGTGCACATATACGTGTTGTTACTTACCCGCCATTTTCGTAGATCCCGCGACATAAAAAGATCCATTTCCGGGTCCGGTGTTTTCGAGCTTTCTCTAAATTTATCGCTGAAAAAAATGGGAAAACCTATCTACTTTCGCATTCATATTCGCAAGGTCACTAACGGACCAATCAAGCAAAAGGTTTCACGTGATGCCCTTGTACCACACGAATCATGGCGGCGACGAGAGAAGTAAGGTTTTTTTCCATGCACCTATTATGTTTTTCCAGCATGCAACCTCATGCCACAATGATCACGGTTCTAATTTTAATATCAATCCATCTCATCATTTTTTGTTGATTACATATCTTTCAGAATGATGGCTTTGGTTTAATTTCCAAAATATGGCCCTTTTTGAGAAAAGCAGAATGTGAATCAAAGCAGGTAAACTTGTAAGGTTTGCGGGAAATATTTAGCATCTGGTCTATACCATATCACTAAATGCATCTCCTGTGTAATCTGGTGATTGTTCTTTCAGTTTAAAATACTATCTAGCATTTGATATGAGAGGTTAGTTTAGATGAAACCGTTGCAACTTTTGTTTTCCAAGGACTTTGAAGGGCATCAAGTTATCTCCCTTCGAACGGAAAATGCAGACGATTTTTCAAACCCGATTTAATGCATTAAATTTATTTCATGGAATGGGAAGGTGCGGATCATAACAAACGTCTCATGCATTTTGTACACGTTTATTTGATTTTTTATGTCGGAAATTGTCAACATAATTTTTAAGGAGAAAATAATGTAAATATGAAAATGTTTGAAATTGTTTTATTAAACTGAAAAGTACTGATCAGAGTTTCAGTCGAGTAATAAAGCGTTTCATTTTTATATGTCCTGGAGAATTGCATGATGATTAAAAATAGGATTAGAGACATGATTTGTCATGTATAATATGAACACTTGTTTGTACTGACCTCCCTGGTCATTATGTGACAGTAAGAGCCTTGTCTGTATCCTACATAATAAACACTGATTTGTCGAAAGGAACCAAATTGTATTAGTAACATGTTAGTTTATTGATTTTCGAGATTTGATCAGCTAGTTATATAATGTCACAAGATCAATATCTAACTTGTAAGTTAGGAATGTTAGTTTGTGTAACAAGGAAGAATAAAAGGTCTATAATTGCATGTCACATAGAGGTATTGCACTCGTTTTTATAGGGAATCAATTTTCCCCAATGTGGCAACAAAGCATTTAATTGGGATCAGTAAGTCTACACTCGGGTTCATAGCAAGGAAACACTTGAGATCCCATCTAAATTGAAGATTTGCTTTTCCATGTAGGAAATTTCCTCTGTTACAATATAATTTTCCCCACTTGGATCTTAGAGTTTAATATTTGACCCTGGATTAATCTGTGATACAAGTTTCCATCATTGTGTTTTTATATGCAAGTACCTGCAAACATAGGGAAGATGCTGTAATATATGTTTTGTTTAATTGAATAGAAGTTTCCTTACAGCATACCAAAGTATCTGTCCTTTGTCAATTTTTCATACAAATTGCTACTGGCCATGGACAACTTTAGCAGACAAAATTTTATACGAAGCATCCTTAGGGAAGAGGATTAAATTTTGTATAAAATGGTGGGTCTGAGGGTTAGGAACAAAAAGGTGGTATTTAGCTTATTCTGCAAGATTTTTCTCTTCTTTGTAGATATGATTGGATACTGTCCTAATTTTGTCTGAAGCATTCTTGGGCAAAGGAGATTCAATTTTGTTTAAATGATGGGCCTCTGGCCTTGTGCAGGAGATTCATGGAAATGGAGGAAATTCTTGAATCCCTTCTTCTGTAGAAATAAGTGAATTATGTCCCAATTAGGTCTGAAACATCCTTTCACAAAGGGCACTTAAATTTTTTATACCTGGTAATTGGATTTGGGCGTTTGAGAGAGGGGCATGGCCCAAAAGAAATTAAGAAAAATCCAAGTCCATTCTCTGCTGTAGGAATATCATGATTTCGTCCAAAGTTTAGAAGTGTGATGACTTTGATAATATGCACATATGAATCCTGGCTGACCCCTAGGGGTAGGTGGGTGGGGCCAAAAGGGATCAAATTGATTCAAATTTCAAAAACCTTCTTCTCAACACTCAGATATGGTAGAATCAAATGCTCTCCATGGATGGAAGGGTCTTTACCAAAATTTTGAATTTCATGACCCAAAGGTCTCATATTTTCCCCTTAGGAGAGTATTAAGTTTACTTAAGCTTTTATAGGAAAATTGGATTTTTGAAGATAAAAGTTATTTATTTTTCATTTGAAATAACTTGGTAAGAATTATTAGTAACTCTGATAGTTTGGATGGTATGCATATACCAGTTATTGACACTGGCTGATCCCAAAGGCAAAGGGCTTAAAACATCACTTAAGTCTTACTATCATCAATGTCACAATATGTTCTTTGTGACATTTGGAAACTGCTTCCCCTATAAACTTTATATTCCCTATTGCTTAGGTCAGGTGATAGTCATGGTCGTTAGGCCTCTTGTTTATTGAGTTAAAAGTGTATTAACGAATATTGATAATAATTGAAAAGGGGGAAAACACACATAATCAGTTAAAATAAGATCAAAAACAGTTTAAACTCCTCTTGAAATCGCTCGAGTCAAAAATTCTGTTTGAGCCAAAATAATTTTCAAGTCTCAATGTTTTTCCTTCCATATCTTTCGAATTTTAGTTTTTAGACTGGATTTATTATGAGTCAAAATTTCGCTATATTTGAAGCGATTTTTCAGTCCTTTCAATTGTAAAGCAAGAGAAAAATCATTCGTTTCCTCGAAATCAATTTTTGTCATAACATTGACCAGTCTTCTGACAAAATCAGTCAATACATACACAGAGTAGAAAGTCACCTGTGCATAACACCTGGCTAATTACGGCGTATTGGTCCATCGCACACAAAACACTTTGTCTCTGGCGATTAATTACCAGTTTCATTATCCAATAATTAGTGTCACCATCCTGTAGCAATGACTTACCTGTATGTTAAACAAGTAGCACATTTACACAAAACATTTAGCTTGGATGCATGCATCTTCAGGAACAATCAAAACGAAACCAGTACAAACTTTTTTATGAAATCTGATCCCCTAAATTCCAAGAGAAACTTATTTTGAGCTTGTTTACTAAACGACTGTGATCAGGTACTTTGTCAGATTTAGTGTTTGGACAATGAAGTGCTGAAAGTATTTTATCATTGATAGAGTCTATATTTGTACGTGATTTGTTAAATATAGTGCTTGATCAATGTTTTCTGTAACATGGAAAAACTTCCTAGTGCTTCATTTTTCATATGTTTATTTATTCATGATAACGTCATATGATATGATCTGTAACTTCATACATCGTTTCATGTAGCATATCAAATACAAATTTTAATTCTGTTTCATTGTCATTCCGTAAAATATATGATGTATATGTGCTTGGTCAGTAAGGGTATTGTACACATAAACATTATGTTTCTGTAGCATGTACTTGTGTTGCAGTGGTTTAAGAATTACCCTGATATTGTATGCTAGATATTAGTTTCTGATGCTAAGATTAAATGCATGTTTCCCCAGTGTTTTGTTGCATCAGTTGATGACTTCTTTTTCCATTGTAGTTTGCATGATGGATTCCCTTCTCTTCAGTTACTGTTAACGACAATATAAAATTGCATGAAAGTTAATATGATTAGGCCAAGCAAAGATAAAATGGTAATTTGGTTTTCTGAATAAAATCACTCATTCCATATCTGCTAACTTCTTGGAATTCCACAGGAGCAATCGCCCATGAAACTTGATGGACTTGTTGAGATCCGTCATTTGTAAACACATCAAATATAATGGGAAATAGATCAAACCTGTTTCCCTAAAGTGCTGTAATAGCACATAACTTAGAAACCACAACTACTGCATGTTTTGCTTGGCCTTTCAATGATGACAAATCTGCAGAGATTGAGTGACCAGCGGTACTTTTTCACTGATTAATACTTATTAATTACTTCTTTAAAATTTCAGACTTACTTCCTTTTGCTTAAACTTTAAATTTACTAGTTTTTGTACATTTCCATATTGAGGGTGAATCAAGTGACAGCATATGGATCACAGTTTAGTATTTGTATTCAGAGGGATTTTAAACGTGTTTAGGTCCAGTGAGTCATGCATTATTCATTGTAATTTTCATACACATTTTTATCACACTGTATATAAATTTTAACACACTCTATCTTTATTGTAGAAATGAAGATTTACTAGTAATAGGTGAATGAGCATGTGTTCCACATTGGTTGATATTTTATATTGTGTAGTGAATAAGGAGTAAAGCAGTACATTCTTAGCTCATCGGGTGCAAAGCACTGGTGGGTTTATGCTACTGACACACCATGCATTAAAAAACACTACTACTCAAGAACAACTGAACATATTTTGACCAAACTGGGTCTGAAGCACCTTTGGGGGAAGGAAAACCAATTTTGTATGAATATTGGTTCTTGGCCTTTAGGGGCCTGAGTAGTGGGGCCCAAAAAGGGAAAATTTTCTAAGTTCTTTAAAATTTTACTCCCCGTGTAGGAATGAATGGATATAGCTGATCTTCTGTCTGAAGCATTCTTGTATAAACATAACGTCTTGGCCCCCTGGGGCAGGAGGAGTGGGCCCGAATAGGGGTAATGGAGTAAATTCTTTAAAATCCCACTCTTCTAGTAGGAATGATTGCGACCAAATGTGGTCTAAAGCATTGTCAGGTGAAGGAATTATTTCATATGTGATTGGGTCTCAACCCCAAGGAGCGAGTTTGGTTGGGAAATAAAGCAAATATTTTAAAATACTAATCCTCTCGTAGGAATGATTGGATTTTGCCTAAATTTGGTTTGAAGCATTCTCAGGGGAAGGGGAATCAGTTTTGTTCAAACCTTTGGTCTCCGCACCCTGGGGCCAGAAGGGAAATAGAGCAAATTCTTTAAAATCCTTCTCCTCCTGTAGGAATGATTGGACTATGACCATATTTGGTGTTCAGCATTCATTGGGAAAGAGGAATCAATTTTGCCAGGTGAACAATACAGGTCCTATGGACCTTTTGTACTGTAAATCACAGTGCTATACTGCAGTTTGCACAGGGATTTGTGTTTATTATTTGATAGGCTAGTTTAAATCAGAAACATAAAGTTAGATATATTTGGTTGACAAGTCTGGGTTAATAGCATTGTAACTTTAGAAATGGTGAATTGCATGATCAACTTTCTCTCTGTTATTTTCTTTTAGTTGGTTCATTGAACACTAATGTTTTATAACATGTGATATATTACATGTATTCTTTATTGGTCAGTAATTTAGCATTTTATTTCTGTCTTGATTCTTCGAGGAAAATTAACAGATTGTTTACTGTCTGTTCTGTAATTTAAAAAAAAAACAAGTTTAATTAATTAATGAAAGCAGGTTTAAGAAAGCATTTGATTGTGCCAAATATTATTGCTATTTATATAACTTGTTATATTTAATAATGTTAGTATTTGCTATGTACATATTGTCTACATGTGTGTTTGGTAATCATTTGTAATAGATTTCAGAAGTCCCAAGATTTCATTAAAAGTTAAATTGATTGCACATATCCTATGTATAACATTGCATCAAAGTTTGGTGTCTTTAATAGATGACAGAAGACTTAGATCTAGTAGAAATTGTTATCTAGATATCTTTTCATTTTTGTCAATTATTAATCCCCCTTGGTAGTATGCAGTTTTCTTTGAGACACAACAAAGATAAGCACTGTGTCGCTTTTATCACAAAATATATAATGTGTTTATTCTCTCTAACATGAGAAATCTTCCCATAGAACAACATTATCTATAATTCAGATTCTGTATTTTACTGTTGTTATTTTCTAGGTGGAGATTTTCAAAGGAACAAACACTGAAGATCTCCGTCGAATATTCCTCAAGGTGAGAAAGTATTTCAACAGTGTTAAAGTGACCTGTTACATAGTTCACTATAATACTAACAAGTTATAATGTCAGTCACTCTTTATCTATTAAGCCCCCTTGTTTTCCCAAAGTACGCATTACCAACCAATTACCCACCCACCAGATGGTCAGTAGGTCACCCACACCTTTTCATATCTAATTGGATGATGGAACCGTGTTACCTTGGGTGAAATATGAATGCGTCCCTATTATGGGGTCTTAATATGAGGTCAAAAACAAATTGATAGGTAGAATGTGATTCCATACAAGGTCTGAAATAAAACGCTGTAAAATGTTTGACATAGATTGACCCTTCTGTGAAGTCACTCCTTCCAGACCCTGGTAATCTGTTTCATTTTATGTAACAAGCTGTCTTTATCCAGCAAAAATTAGGGTGTACTGTTGTAAATGAGTGATGAGTCATTATTGTTACAATACTGTCAGACAGACGCATCAATGGGTAGAAACATCTGTATTGCTCTGGAGTCGCGCGATAACCGAGAGCTGAACACAGGTAATAGAGAGGTATAAGGCCGGGGTGTAGCTACCTATAGAACAGAGGTGTACCCAAACTACAATGTCATTTCACAACACTACCAGCAGTACAATGATACTTTTTATTTGTTTATTTTAATTAATTTTTTTCAAAGCCTTAATACAAACAGATGGTTATCCCACAAAAGTTGGAAAATGATTTAAAAAAGAGTTTTGAGGATAATTTTGCCAGTAAAAGAGACCAGATTTTGCAACAAAATTGAATTTAGATTTTCTTACCGTAACATAATTTTTTTGTGAGAGTTATGCATTATATTATTAGCCCACCATCATCAGATGGTGGGGTATTCAAATCGCCCTGCATCTGTGGTCCGTGGTCCGTCCGTCCGTCCGTCCGTCCGTAAACAAGTCTTGTTACCATAATTTCTGAGAAAGTACTTATGGATCTTTCTCAAATTTCATATGCAGTTTCCCCTTGGTCCCTAGTTGTGCATTGTACCATTTTTGGACTGATTCGAATTCAAGATGGCCGACAGGTGGCCATCTTGGATTTTGGATGTAAAAGATTGTTACCGCTATTTCTTGGAAAGTACTGGATGGATCTTTCTCAAATTTCATAAGCAGTTTCCCCTTGGTCCCTAGTTGTGCATTGTACCTTTTTTGGACAGATTCGAATTCAAGATGGCCGACAGGTGGCCAACTTGGATTTTGGATGTAAAAGTTTGTTACCGCTATTTCTGAGAAAGTACTGGATGGATCTTTCTCAAATTTCATAAGCAGTTTCCCCTTGGTCCTTAGTTGTGCATTGTACTTTTTTGGACTGATTCGAATTCAAGATGGCCGACAGGTGGCCATCTTGGATTTTGAATGTAAAAGTTTGTTACTGCTATTTCTTGGAAAGTACTGGATGGATCTTTCTCAAATTTCATATGCAGGTTACCTTTGGTTCCAAGTTGTGCATTATACATTTTTGGACTGATCTGAAATCAAGATGGCTGACAGGCAGCCATCTTGGATTTTGAGAGTAAAATCTTCTTACTGCTGTATCTGAGGAAGTACTGGATGGATCCTTCTGATATTTCATAGATATTGGTTTCCCTTGGTCCCTAGTTGTGCATTGTACCTTTTTTGGACTGATTTGAAATCAAGGTGGCCCACAGGCAGCCATCTTGGATGTCAACAGTAATACATCACAAGCATATTGTCCATTACCCACCTGTAACTGACTGCTATCTAATAATACTTTGGGATCTTTTTCAAATGATATTTGCTAATCGGTGCTTAATAAAAATATCTTGTGCCATCATTGAGTACATTCAATGAAGACCAGTTCATGAACATTTACAACACCTGTAACAAACAAACAAAAATAAACAAAATTTCAAGAACTGAAAACAGATCCTCAAATGGTGGGCGCCAAGATCCCTCTGGGATCTCTTGTGTATATACTGATATTTATGTGATATATGTTTATTATGTTTTACAATGGAGTTAATTAAACAAAATGTTTAATTCTTTCAAATTGTCAAAATCTTGATCAGTAGTCGATAAGTATATATCTGCATGTGACAGTGTTAGTAAAAGTAATGTGGTGACGTGAGTTTAATGTGGTGTAAGTATATCCACCATTAAAATATAAGTCATTTATTTGAATTTTATCTCATGAAATCTAGAGGATTAGACTACCTTAATTGTTCTAAAGTTGAGACCCAATTCTGATTTTGGAATCAATCTGGTTTAAAGTCTATGCCATGCACATGGCTGTTCTCACTGAAGCCTAACTAGGATAAAGAATTCATTAGTAGTGAACCAATAAAATATATCCGAAAACTGATTTGTTTTTCTCGGGAAGCAGATCCAGAGAGGTAGACTTTTCTGTGTTGTCTCTGGATGGCATGCAACCTTGGAGCCTGCTGTAGGTTGTTGAGGTAGCCATCAGTTAAAACAAAAACCCTGTAATGACTAGTACTTTACCACTATATATATTTTATCTGTAGTATGCCAGTAGTAAGACGGAGGATGGGGAGGAATATATGACGTACTCAGATCTGATCCACCGCTACCTTGGGATACTCCACGGTGACGACTATGATGAGTACACACTGCAGTTGTTTGGTTCCAGTGTGGATACTTCCAGGAACATGTGGGTTATCACAGTAAAACTTAAATTTCTAAAACATAGTGATCAATTCTATCATGTTATAAAATATTGATATTTATAAATAAAGTGTTAAGTATCGTCCATTGTTGAGTACAAATTGTATTGAAATGTATCGTAAATATTTCTTTAACTATAGAACTCTTTTATATAAGAGGTACAGTTTGTATGGTATTGTGTTTCTTTAATGGATTAAAACAATTTGATTCTTAATCTTGTGAATAGGTTTGTAATTTGGTGTGTTTATATAGGATCATATCAATATTTTCTAGGTTTTTATTTGATATTATTTAGTAATACTTTGTAAATAAGAGCCATGCTTCATTTCGTTTTCTTTTGTGGGAGAATATATTTCAATAATTACTGTTGAAACTTTTTGATTTTAGGAAGATTTCTTTCGCGGAGTTCAAGGCCTTTGAATCCCTACTACGACTACCAGACTCCATGTACGCTCTTGCCTTTCAAATTTTTGACAGAAATGGAAATGGATATATCTCATGTGGTAAGCTGATGAGTTAAGGAAGTTCTGACAGGATTTGTTTGTTTTCAGTCCAATGTTAAAGCCATCAAGTGTTTTTTATTGACCAGAAAGTGGCAGTAAAATGGATTCATTACCCACAATTACTACAACAAGCAGATTAAGATTTGGACATAGTCAGGTCAATGTGTTTGCAGGCATATCCTAAACAACCTGTCACACACTTAATTATAAAATGTATGTATACGCAGTATATATAGTAATTACTTTGTCTGTCAATAGCACAACTGCACAAGATATCTCTTAAATCACTCCATAGATTTAGTTCCTATTCACACCACAGCAACACATTGCATCATTCTACACCTGATTATATTTTGTTGGATGTCAGTCAAGGTTAAAGATCAACTGAATTTGTCTGATATTTCGACTTTTTATGGGTTACATATTAATTATGGATCAGAACAACTTTGTTCACCTAATCAGTGTTGTTGATCATTGGTTCAGCAGGCATAGAAACTCACAATTTAGTTTCAGTAAAAGTAAAAAAAAATCTCTTTTCTTTTACAGGTGAATTTGAAGAGATTATTCAGCATACAACACTTAACAGAAAGATACCTTTTGATTTCAACTGTGATTTCATTAAACTCCACTTCGGCAAAGATAAAGAACGAAAAGTCACCTATGCAGAATTCACCCAGATGATCCATGTAAGTCTACTGTGAATGACACAAGTTTGATGTTGAGTCAGAGACACTATTTCTCAAATATTATCAGGGGTAAAATTTCACAATCCTGATATTCAGAGGAAATAGATGTGGTTTTGTTTTGAATATAGTTTTGCATGTGTTTGTTGATTGACTTCTGTTTCAATAAATACACTATTGGGATAATGATATGCATTTTACATGTATGATGGGCTGGATTTGTTTTCAAACTTCTGAATATAACGTGATTGTTGTTATTTTCAATTTATTTATCTCCTAGATTCAGATTTCAATGTGCCATCTTAAACAATTAAATTTAGACAAGATCCTTAAGAAGAATATTATGTAAATTAAGATATTTTTTGCTGTGTGATCCTCTCTACATATAGCTACTTGAGATCAGATGTTTAGATATCCAATGCAAATTTAAATAGAAACATTGGAAACAAAATAAGTGACAAGGTCAATTTTGACGGAAATTGGAAGAAAAAGGTACCTTTTGTGTTTCAGGACTTTCACGATGAGCATGCTCTACAAGCTTTTCGCAGACTGGACAAGAAAAGTACTGGCTACATCAATGCAAAAGATTTTGAGGAAATCATGGTGTCTCTTAAAAGTTATCTCCTCACAAGCTTCGTCAAAGATAACCTCGTCACAGTAAGATACCGGTATTTGATAATATCCTGCCAAAACACTCCAGAGATAAAACATTATCTTTGCCCTATTCAGTTTGAGTGTTAATTATCATGCTACTATTTTGCTAGGCAAACAAATTTATGATTGTGCAGTGGCCAAGTGGTCTCTGAGCATCTTTATTACTAGCCCTCCATTTCACAATCTCGGATGCGAGGTCGACATGGGGCAACAGCCAGATACTGGCCGCAGGTCACAGGATTTTCTCCCGTAACTCCAGCTTTCTTCCACCAACCAAACCTGACACATCCTTAAATGACCCAGACTGTAGGATGTAAAGCAATAATAAACTAAACTGATTGTGCTTAAGCCTGTTGCTTAATAAATAAATTTGAGTTTTAGGTAACTTTTGATAACAGTTAACTTAGTGTTATTATTACAAAATGTAGTAATGTACTCTTAATGTATGTGTTGCTAGGTAACAGTTGGAGGGGAGAAGCACAGACAGGTTAGTTACCCTTTCTTCATGGCCTTTATTTCACTGCTGAATAACATGGAACTGGTGAAGAAGATCTACATGTCAGCCACACGGCGTGATACCTCCAAAGAGGTCACAAAAGGTCAGTAGCCCTTTAAGGAAATATGTATAAAAAGTTACACGCGACTCTAGTTTATAACTTGTTATTATTTTGGTATATATGTAGAAAAAAAAAGAGAACTTTGAGAGAAAAAACGTGTTATAAGGAATTAATGGTGACCCAGTTTGACATTTCTTTGTGTTTTCATGCTGTGTTTAGGAACAAACTGGTAAATGGTAAAACTCATATCACGAAAGTCTCCATGTTCTTCTCTTCATTCCAACACAGGAATTTCCAGGAAATCAGATTATAAATGGATGCTGGTAAACACTTTTGATTTAAAGCTTAATAATAAAATCATTGGTTATATCTGGTACTTTTAACAGACACTGCCCTGATTTCAAAAAATGAAATTGTTGATTATAACTGGTATGTGAGAATGTGTTTAAATTTTCAGCACTTTCTGCTGTCTTGATGGCAGGTGATTTTGACAGTTCTTGTCAAATGGTATATAAAAAAAGGTGGAGCTTGATAATTATGGAATATAAAGTATAAGGAGACTTGAAATATTTCTTAACCAAGAGACTAATAGAATCTTCCCCTACCCTGAGGGTATGATAGAGAAATCTCCAACCTGAGGGGTGATTTTTGTTGTTGTCTAGCCCGAGGCTCTGCCGAGGGTTAGACTACAAAAAAATCACACCGAGGGTTTTTTTCTCCCACCCCATTATTTCCGCCACAACGAAAAAAAAAAAAAAATCCCACGGTACAAGTGTCTGAATGGCGCATGGATATCACCATTTACGTTTCCAAAATTCTACATTCTTCCGCGAGAGCAAAATGACAGACTACAAACGCAATATGAATAACCATTAGAAATATTTATTTTTTGGAAATTAAATATTTTAATTAGCGATAGATACATGGAAATACTTGTCTTGAACAACATTTAACTCCGTATCATTTATTAAGGTAGGGTAGGCTTGCCGCGATGTCATGGACAAAAAGGGGATTTCCCAGTTTATAATGACGTCAATTGTTTATGCGCGTGAAATATTGCAATGGCGTGAGTGCCACGCGTGTGTTCATTCAGAATTGGAGTCATAGATGATCCTCCGACATTTATTTGTGTTCCCTGGACAAGGATTGTTATAGTTAATGTTAACTATGATGTTACAATCGCGCATTACGGAACCTGCAAACAAAGCATCCACTCGTCGGTTTGAGTCGGTTGTGATAGCCGACTGAGATCACCGAGTGCAGTCATGTGGGATAGATCTATCCTCCATGGGTGTTCCACATGGGACATGTCTATCCTACATGGGCAGAGGTGGGAGAAAGAGAAATCTCACACCCTACACAATACTTAATTTGTTCTGTCTCATCTCACTAGTTTACTTGTATGACATTGGGCACAAAATTGTTACAATACCATAACTTATGCTTTCAAAGGGGGAGATAATTCAATCTGATTGATTTTGAAATTTCAATTAAATTTTTGTTTCTTTATAGATTGATCAGTCTTGTGCCTGCTTTTCCTTTGATGAGATTTTGTTACAGATTTTACCTTCGACTGATGTCAGTGATTTCTGTGATAAGGATCACAGATTGATCTTTCGACTGATGTCAGTGATTTCTGTGATAAGGATCACAGATTGATCTTTCGACTGATGTCAGTGATTTCTGTGATAAGGATCACAGATTGATCTTTCGACTGATGTCAGTGATTTCTGTGATAAGGATCACAGATTGATCTTTCGACTGATGTCAGTGATTTCTGTGATAAGGATCACAGATTGATCTTTCGACTGATGTCAGTGATTTCTGTGATAAGGATCACAGATTGATCTTTCGACTGATGTCAGTGATTTCTGTGATAAGGATCACAGATTGATCTTTCGACTGATGTCAGTGATTTCTGTGATAAGGATCACAGATTGATCTTTGAGACAAGTTTGATGTTTTCTGTTTCCAGAGGAAATGCTTTATCAGGCTCAAGAATACTCTCAGATTACACCACTGGAACTGGATATTCTCTTTCACTTGGTGGGATTGAAGCACCAGAGAGGGTAAGAACTAAGACCATCCAAATGTAATCTTAACGTACAATGGTCTTACTCTATTGAATGATAAAATGATTAAAGTTTGATTTTTATCAGGCCTCCTGGGCAGCTGTTGCTTTTAACAATTTCAGATTTTCAGATGTTTTTGAAGGAAATTATTACTATTCAGTCATAAATTGGTGCTAGCACACTGGATTTTTGAATGACAGTTTTTTATTGTAATATCGATGTTGTTGGTGAAAAAGATATTTTTCTGACATGCTTCGTTTCTACTTAACCGTTTTTGTCCTTTTCTCGAATTTCTAGTTATGCAGTCAAGTGTTTTAATGATCTTGGGGGAACATATAGTCCCTTACAGTCCCTGTCATGTCCGTCTGTCTGTTTTTCCGAACATCCTTTCATATATAACTAGTGGTGTAACGATAGGTCCAGTTATCAGTGTATTGCGATAGCTTTGCTCTTGATAGCAATAGGTTGATGGCTTTTATTCAAGTCGATAACTATGATGATGGCGTGTTAACTATCAATTGTTAACAGAGATTTTTCCCCATAAACAAGATTGGTAGTTGAAAGCAAGACTTTTCACCCAAGTTATTGCGAAACCACTACAAACCTTCCTTTATTTATGAAAGTGTCTTTGGGACCTTGATTGGGAGTAGTGCTATATACAAGGACAACACAATCACCTACTAGAATAAAAGGTGAATTTTAAGCACAAGTCGCTACATAAATGTCCCTTTATATTTATCAGATTAAATGTACAAAGTTTAGTAGTGGAGGTGGTGACTTGTTTATCTCCAGGTCCATGTTTGAGACCCATGCTTGAAGTAACATGATTTGATAAACAACATTGCGAAAGGTAGCAGCATTTTAAAAATTGTTTCCAGTAAAAAGGCAAAAACAGGGGTAGAGCAAGCAGCATAGCATGTTTATGTATAAAAGAAATTTTATGAAAATATAACAAAGTTTAACAAATATCACTGTGCAACATACTTGATGGTATAAAAAGTTAAGATTTTTTTCAGCTTTAAAATTTGTAAGATTGAGCATTCTGATACCTTAAATTGGTTTATGACCTTTGTTTCTTGGTTAGAAAAAACATTTCAAAATCAAAAAGAAACAGTATTGCAAAAGTTACTTGACTGTAGCAATAACATCACCAGTGCTCCAGATAACTTTTTGACATGTGGGGTTTTCACTCCTACCTTTATAAATTGAGGGGTTTTTCACCCCTGCCTTCATCAAGTGTATGGGTTTTTCCATATTAGGGTAACACTGAATTTGTAAACATTTTTGACAGCGCCATATTTGCTATGCGACTGGTTTATAATCACGATCAAGAATGCGCTTGTTACGAGTTTCGTTTACTTGATAAGTGTCTGTTTGACTTAGATTATTGAGTTTTCTAACTACGTAATATTGGAGCCGGACATTGACGCAGAGTCCGGATTTCGCACGGGTTAATGACGCAAATCTTGTGCGTGAAAACGCATTCACGCAGGCTATCTGGAGCACTGCATCACAATACTATTGTGATAGTTTTTTGGCTTCAATAGTCACCCTGATATAGAACTTTGCCCAAAGTTAAGTAAGGATTATGAAACTTGGTGTACGTATTGGCCATTCTAGGGTAATGTACAGTGTTCCAAACTCAGGGCCGACGACCCTTCAGGGGTTATTGCCCTTTGTTAAAATTTTGTGTCCAGAGCCTAAGTTTCTTGCATTTTAACTCGGATAATGGAACTTGGTATATACATTGGTCATACTAAGAAGAGGTACATTGGACAAAATTCAGTGTCTGAAACACCTTCATTATAGAATTATTGCCCTTTGTTAAATTTGTTTCCAATAAAGTTTGTTTTCAGGGAGCATTCATCATTTTCACTGATTCTCTTGCTAAAGTGTGACAGTGATATGTATCAAAAATGCTGATGCTGCATTGAATTTTGCTTCCTTCAGAAAGAAAACAACTGAACACTGTTTGACAATTATTGATATTTCCTTTTCATCAACAGGAGATTGTCTTATGAAGATCTGGACAAAATTGCACCTATGAAAGGACGAGAAACACCTTTCACAATTCAGATGGCTATTGCACAGGTAATGAACTCTTACACCATGCTTTGTGAACATGCTTTAGTTTCTGTTGATGATTGTAGCACAGGATAGATGGGTATATATACTACTCCGCTGTGGGGGAAATATAACACAAGGTAAAGCTGAGGATCCCAGAATGACTTAGTCACAGCAGTAGACAACATAATTCCTGTTAGAATGATGAAGCCTTACATTTTTTCAAATCTCTTCAATGATAAGATCCCACTGTCAAACCAAAAGATCTCTGCCAAATGTCAGTCCAATATGTAAAAACCTGTTTTAGCTCTTGGTTGCATATTTCCGTCCAGCACATTGTGGTTTATGTTAAAAGGTGGATTTGTGTATTTATGAGGAGTTGAAGACTCTCGATTTGTTTTAATTTATGTAAACAAATTCAAATTCTGACATTTGAAGACAGTTGTGATATTTTAGGAGGCTTATAAACACTGCTTGTGAGCTTATCAGGGACTTTCCCAAAAAAACACAGGTGTTTCTTCCTTTTACATGATTTAAGTCTTTTTCCAGAGTTTAATTGTAGTGTAAGCTAGATTTTTCAGCAAATAAATCACTAAAACTGAAGCCTGTTCATCATCAACCAAACTCTAGAAATAAATGTCAGAGTAAAGGATACACTAAAAGAATTGGGTTTTATAGAACTGTTACTTTTTTGTAGGAAAAACTCAACTTAGAACAAGGAAAGGAAAGGTCAAGTTGGTTAGGTGTACTGGAGAGTGTATACAGATTTACTCTGGGATCAATAGCTGGAGGTAGGTAAACAGGGCGTATGTTGTACAGATTTAATCATATCTATAACTGCAGGTAGGTATACAGAGTGTATGATATACAGATCTATAACTGGAGGTAGGTATACAGGGTGTATGATGTACAGATCTATAACTGGAGGTAGGTATACAGGGTGTATGATGTACAGATCTATAACTGGAGGAAGGTATACAGAGTGTATGATGTACAGATCTATAACTGGAGGTAGGTATACAGGGTGTATGATGTACAGATTTACTCAGATCTATAACTGCAGGTAGGTATACAGAGTGTATGATATACAGATCTATAACTGGAGGAAGGTATACAGAGTGTATGATGTACAGATCTATAACTGGAGGTAGGTATACAGGGTGTATGATGTACAGATTTACTCAGATCTATAACTGGAGGTAGGTATACAGGGTGTATGATGTACAGATTTAATCAGATCTATAACTGGAGGTAGGTATACAGGGAGGTAGGTATACAGGGTGTATGATGTACTGATCTATAACTGGAGGTAGGTATACAGGGTGTATGATGTACAGATCTATAACTGGAGGTAGGTATACAGGATGTATGATGTACAGATCTATAACTGGAGGTAGGTATACAGGGTGTATGATGTACAGATCTATAACTGGAGGTAGGTATACAGGGTGTATGTTGTACAGATCTATAACTGGAGGTAGGTATACAGGGTGTATGATGTACAGATCTATAACTGGAGGTAGGTATACAGGGTGTATGATGAACAGATTTACTCAGATCTATAACTGGAGGTAGGTATACAGGGTGTATGATGTACAGATTTAATCAGATCTATAACTGGAGGAAGGTATACAGGGTGTATGATGTACAGATCTATAACTGGAGGTAGGTATACAGGGTGTATGATGTACAGATTTACTCAGATCTATAACTGCAGGTAGGTATACAGAGTGTATGATATACAGATCTATAACTGGAGGTAGGTATACAGAGTGTATGATATACAGATCTATAACTGGAGGTAGGTATACAGGGCGTATGATGTACAGATCTATAACTGGAGGTAGGTATACAGGGTGTATGATGTACAGATCTATAACTGGAGGTAGGTATACAGGGTGTATGATGTACAGATTTACTCAGATCTATAACTGCAGGTAGGTATACAGAGTGTATGATGTACAGATTTAATCAGATCTATAACTGGAGGAAGGTAAACAGGGTGTATGATGTACAGATCTATAACTGGAGGTAGGTATACAGAGTGTATGATGTACAGATTTACTCAGATCTATAACTGGAGGTAGGTATACAATGTATGATGTACAGATCTATAACTTGAGGTAGGTATACAGTGTGTATGATGTACAGATTTAATCAGATCTATAACCGGAGGTAGGTATACAGGGCGTATGATGTACAGATCTATAACCGGAGGTAGGTATACAGGGTGTATGATGTACTGATCTATAACTTGAGGTAGGTATACAGGGTGTATGATGTACAGATTTAATCAGATCTATAACCGGAGGTAGGTATACAGGGCGTATGATGTACAGATCTATAACCGGAGGTAGGTATACAGGGTGTATGATGTACTGATCTATAACTTGAGGTAGGTATACAGGGTGTATGATGTACAGATTTAATCAGATCTATAACCGGAGGTAGGTATACAGGGCGTATGATGTACAGATCTATAACCGGAGGTAGGTATACAGGGTGTATGATGTACAGAATTTTCATATCAATTTAGTCTCTCCATATAAAGTTTTGTTCATACTTTTTATTTTTTCATATATATGTGCAAGTCATTGACATTTTGCTGTATATTATATATTATTCCTGTTTCCAGCCACTGGAGCCACAGCAGTCTATCCTATAGATCTTGTAAAGACACGTATACAGAATCAGCGAACTGGTTCCATGGTAGGAGAACTCATGTACAAGAACAGTTTTGACTGTTTTAAGAAAGTCATTCGACATGAGGGTATCCTTGGACTCTACCGTGGTTTGGGACCCCAGCTGGTCGGTGTCTGTCCGGAGAAGGCTATCAAACTAACGGCTAGTATTTCATGATATTCACATGTAGGTTACAGGGGTTTGAAGAATAAGCATCAAAACATTTTCTTTGAATACAGATTTTACTGAATGAATATGCAGTACTAATACAGAAACAAAACTTTTGACAAGGCCAAGGTGAACAAATTATCTTTTTCACATGACATTGAAATAACATTGGTTTGTACTGAACAACAACATACGTAGGTGGGCTTATTACCAGACATGGGCTTATTGGTGGATTAACAGGTTACAAATACAGTATTTACAGTGTCTTGTGAGAATTAATGTTAAATATGATCATTTTGTGTTTGTTTACAGATGAATGACTTCATGCGAGATAATCTTATGGACAAAGATGGTAGCCTACCTCTGTGGGCTGAATGTGTCGCAGGAGGAACGGTAAGATCATTTTAAGACAGACATTAAAAAACAACCTTACATTTATGAAAGCTTCTTGCTATGGACAGAAGAAATTGCATGAAAAAGCTGAAGACGAGTAAGAAGACTCTTAACCAATGGTAGATGATGCCATCGAAAAAATCTTAACTCTCCCATATCAATTTTCTTTATAAATATCTGCTGCAGATGACAAGTAACATCTCCATTTTCACAAAGTGTATAGGTAACATTTGGCTCATTATATCGGAAAGCGATAAATTCCAAATCTTTAACCTTTAGTTTTTCCCTTTCAGGCTGGTGCATCACAAGTCATGTTTACAAATCCGTTAGAAATTGTGAAGATCCGACTGCAGGTAGCTGGAGAAATTGTAGGCAAGACTCGAGTCAGTGCCTTTACTGTCATTAAGGACCTGGGATTCTTTGGGCTTTACAAGGTTTGTTCAACTGTTAAATAGATGTAGTCAAACATTTATGAGCTGGAGGTGAGAACAGTAATATCTTTACCAGTCCACTCTCTTTAAGCCTATGTCAAGTCTACAGAATATTCATTTCTCATTGAAAAAAATATGTTTGTCTAGGAAACTTACTAATGAATTACTGGCAGCCTAATAGACTTACAAAAAAGTGTACATTTCAAGACCATAAATGATGTGAATTTTATTTGAATACACAAAAAATTCATAAGGCTTAGAAAGCGTTTTAATTGTAAACCCCATCAGCGTTTTGTTGTTATCTTTGTCCAGCACACATCTGATTGCTTTCTTCACATTGAGACAATACACATCCACAAATATATTTGATAGTTTTGTACTTGCAATTATAATTTTTTTTTTCTTCATTGAATTTTTTCCCGAGTGAGAGCTCTCTAAATATAGATAAGTTTGTGTGAAGTTTCAGATTTACAAAGAAAATACTATTGATGATCAAGCTGTCTACTAAATATGATGTGAAATGTGTATGGTGACTTACACTAGATCGACAGAATACTGATTGTTTACAGGGTTCCCGGGCCTGTTTTCTCAGAGACATACCTTTCTCAGCTATATACTTTCCTGCCTATGCTCATTTAAAGAAAGCATTTGCTGATGAAAACGGTTACAACTCACCTGGTACTTTGCTGCTGGCAGCCACCTGTGCAGGTTTGTGGATAATTTTCAAAAAATTTCTGTTGAAATTCAGTTAAGCAGAGGTTATTTGTTAGTAGTTATTTATAGAAAAGTCTGGAGGTTATGAAAAAATGTCCTAGAAGTCTGTATTACTCTAGTATCCTCTAGTGCAGCAACACTAAAGAGGTGTTATATTTAGTTCCAGAACTTGAGCTGGGTATGAAAATGAGGGTCCTATATTTGTGTTCATAAAAAAAATGGGGTCTCTTTCACATCATCTGAGGTTTAAAATGAGTGCTTTGATGTAGTGATATTATGAAGTGCTGATGACAGGAGGGGTAATATTTTCTCAAGGCAAGGTCCTTAGATTAGAGGTATAGTTAAAAAATGGTAATAGAATAATAGATAATATTTGTCTTTAGTTAAAGACAATTTATTATTTATTGATGACGTAATTATAACTTATCTGATTATAACCTGATTATAAGCTGTATCCAATGATGAGGAAAGAAATTTCATGGTAATGATGGAAGTAAATTTTTTTAAACATTAAGCAAGTAGTAAGAAACGCTATCCTTATATTAACCATGCTATATACAGGTATGCCTGCGGCTGCACTACCGACACCTGCAGATGTGATAAAGACAAGACTACAAGTTCAGGCCCGGCAGGGGCAGACAGTCTACACAGGCCTCATTGACTGTGCAAGGAAAATTTACGCTGAGGAGGGATTTTCTGCCTTCTGGAAGGGAGCACCAGGTACACATATCTAACATTGTAGAAACAAGATCAACTTTAGTGTTGGATGGTGTTGATGGGCTTTGGAAACATACAATATATTGGGGAAACCTATTCTCTCACTAATGTTGAAACTTGTTTTCTATTGATGAAAAAGCCAAGCATTGTCAGAAGAGTTCTCTTTGGTGATATGGTAGATTTTAGTTGGACTTGCAGAAATCCACAACAGTCCTTCTGTTTAAAAAGTAATAAATGAAGTATGATGTTTCTGCAATAAACAACATCTTCTACGACAATTTAAACTACATTGTCTAATTCATTGTGTTGTATTTTTCATTGCAGCTCGTGTCTTTAGATCTTCTCCGCAGTTTGGTGTGACGTTGTTAACATATGAATTGTTACAAAGATTGTTTTACGTGGATTTTGGTGGCAGGCAAGTATTTCTCAAGTAGCCTTTGCTCTGAATAACTATTTTTGTATAAAATTAACTCTTCAAAGATTTTTTTTAATGATCCTGTATGAAAAAAAAAATTACAAATTAAACATCTTAAGTGTTTGAATATTCAATATATGTCATGGTGCTTTTTCATACCTGGTGTTTATAGATTAGATATAAAAATAATCTTTAACAAGTAAAGACAATTAATCATGATTCAAATGTAAATGTCTGGTCAGGTACAAAATTTGATATATTTTTAGTGAATCTATTTGCCTTATTGACTTGCCCTATTGCATGAGTACCTTTTGACTGTCAGGATGATATTTTTACCGTTTACTGACTAATTTGAAACCCTTGTAAAATGGTAAGAATGACTAGAAACCAGGATAGATCATATATTTTCTCTAAAACTTGTGATCACTAATGATCCATCATGTGAGCTTCTGAGGATTCTGACAATAATCAGGATTATAAGAACCATCAAATTACTGAAGATTTTACCTTTGAACCGTTTCCCAAGCCATTGTTTGTTGAATTATTGGAAGTTCTAAAGTGAATCAAATCTTAAGAAATCCTAATATCACAGACATGTTTTGGAAGGTGTAGGGTGAATTTGATTAACTGAACATGTGTTTTTGCTGTAGGCGACCAGAAGGTTCGGCAGGGAAATCTCCTGTGCTGGAGGAGCAATTATCACGGAACCCCGACCATATTGGAGGCTACAGGCTTGCCAAGGCTACCTTTGATGGTATGGAGTCCAAGTTTGGTCTGTGTTTACCAAAATTCAAAGCTTCAGCATCATGAAGATTTAGGACTATAGAAACCTGAACATTTTTTATAGAAAAAGATTTGAAGAAAGGATGAGAAGTTTTAAAGGAGTAAAAAAGTAAAAAAAATTATCTTAAAATGTTTTTTTTTACGAACCACTATTTATTCTACCACTTAACAGTATAGATATTGAAAAACTCATCACCCTGAAGAAACCTGAATAGGATGACTCTTGACAATGGAAGTTGTCACCTACTGTGACTGTTTGGTCAGATTTAAACCCTGTAGATGACCATGGGTCACTTGAATGATTATATTGTTTTGTTGATCAGAGCACCTGTAGGAATGCAGCAAGTAGCGCAGGCCTGTTACTTGCTTTATCCTCAGTCTTCTTCCATGTCATCATCAAGTGTGTTAATAAAACTATTACTTTTAATGTAATGCTCAAGATATAGTGTAGAAAAGTATTTGAGAAATGTAGCAACCCTGATAATTGAAAGTGTGTAGGGGAGGTAATGAACATTGAAGATAGGGTTGATGGTATTATCTCTTAATAACTTTTGAAAACAGCTGTGATAAATGTTAAATTTTCCTGGGGTGGTTGTATACAATCCAGATTAAAACATGGAAGAAATATTGGGGAGGTATACTAACCACTTTGAATATAGATGTCTTGGGGTGGAAATTGAATCAGATCTGACAAACTCAGAGGAGAGGGAGGTAAATGTTTGCCATTACAGAGTGTAGTTTATATTTATAGATACCAAATATTATTACAAGTCTATTAATAGTGTGGGTGTCATTGTGTGTCAAAATGTCTCAAGTTATTAAATCTTTTTTGATGCATCAAGTAAGCTCATGTAATAAAAGATGTAATTCAGTGTCGCCAACTGCTTGTCAAATAATATCTGGTCATGGCCTTCAAATCAGGATGTTTCAAAGTGTCATCAATGAAAAACATCTTACAATCAATTCCATTGTATAGTTATGACATACGCTTGTATTTAGATGATGTTCTATGTTATGTTTGAACATTGTTTTGACAAAATTAGATCCTAAACATTTTTATTTTTTATTTTCTTATAAAAAATATTGAGTGATTCTAGCATTTTTCTTGATTTAAACACATCATAATATGGCCAATATAAGGTTAACCTGACAAAGTCAGTTGAGTTGGCGACACTGGTAATTTTATATCCTAGATTAGCTGAACAGAGCATTCATATATTTCCAGTCTTAACGAGTATAATTGATATTCATGAAACAGAATAACCAGTTGTTGATTTTGTTTACTCAATGTGTACTGAAAAATGTTTACTGAAAAGAATGAGGATTTGTTTTGTGATTTGCTTATTTTGCTGGCAAAAAGGATGCTTCAAAGGTTTACCACTAATGGCAGATGACTGTTGAAAACAGGTGACCACTAAAGCAGCTAGGTTTGTCTGTACAGTCTGTTCTTGCAAAAAAAATTCTTTTTGATAATGGTGAAAATATCTGTGATAGTTAAAAGTGCTATGATTTTCACAAAATATTTAATTCTCATTTCCAAAGGAACATGTTGATATGCCAATTCAGATTACTGATGGTAATATCAACCTTGTGTATGTAAACAGTTTATGTATGGAGTTGTTTCCCCTGTCAGAAGTCTTTAGTATAAACAATTGGTGCTCCAAAGCATGGGTCTCTAACTAACACTACCCAACATTTATCCCACCAAATTTGAGTGTTTAGGTTGCTATTGATTTCTTGAGGGAGATACATGTACTTGTATTTTTGGTAAAAGTTTTGTTTAAAATCTGATTTTGTGAATGATGCATTTGATGTTAATTGCAAATCTGCTATGCTGGTTTGGTAAGCTGATTTATATTTTAATAAAACGATGTTCGTGCCAATATTATATCATGGTTCCTGTAAAATTTACACTTGCATGAAATGTTTATCATTTCCGTCCGGAAATTTTGGCATTTTTTATGATTATTCTTATACATTTACAAAAGTGCTTCTATATTTGGACAGTTCTCATTACGGTAATCTGCTCTCAGGGCAACTGATGCATTAGTTTGGCATCATTGTCATGGTTTACCCAGAATATTCAGGCTGATGTAAAACCCCACATACAATTTAGTAGAGTAAATCGCGTTATATTTCATGTTTATTTTCCCATTAATTGGCTTGGAAAGATGATTAAGTATTAAATCCAGACAATCAATAAAACAAGGAACCTACAAAGAATGTTGTTCTCATAAGGTAATTCTTCATTATTGTGTCATTTAAAGACTTCACCTTCTTTTAAACTTGAAGTTATTGAGAAAAGGTTTATTCTACGGATATTTTTTTTTTTTTTTTGTAAAGACACATCATTCTGTGTTAATTTGTTTCTGCTTATTTTCACTTAAACAGATATTGTTGCCATAAAGTACAGGTCAAGCTCTGATTTGGTTATGGTCTATTTATTTTTTCCGGGGTTATGGTCATTTAACTTTATTAAAATTTTAATGAAATTTTCACCCAAAATGGTAAGACCAAAATTGGAGTGTCTTGCCTAAACTTCAGTTCATATATATATTTTTTTAAATCCTGCAGGCAGAACTTTGATGTGTTTTGATAGATCTGTAGGTAGGGCCTCAATTTTATTTACAAGTCAGTAGGAAGCTATTGCAACTCTTAACAAACCCATTACCACTAAGAATTTGTTCAATAAGGGTCAAGTTGGGTTTTTTGTCCTTTATTTTCCCCTGAGATGTTGCTGATTGCCGAATTACTGTAAAAAAAAAAAATTAAATATTGTAAGAAATATTTATTTGTTAGCTTCATTTTCTTTCTTTTTTATGAAAACACTTCTACCATCTCTGGTAAAAGTTGTGTTTTTCATTCACATTTTTAGTAGAGTGCTAATCCATTATTGCAGTCACACTGGTGTTTCAAGTTATTGTGTTTTATAACTATTACTCCTTTATATACTTCATGTAGATAAAAACTATTCCAGTAAAACATCTGCTGGGGACGAGGACTCCAAAATAAATCACTTCTAGCCAAGACTTCAGTTTCCTTCCTATCATATTACTTCAGAGCAAACTTATCAATTTATTTCCGAGGGTGGTACCTCTAACTAAAAAATGGAGTTCCTGGTTGGGATAGATGTTACGCTGGAATAGCCCAGAAATATAACCATAGAAAGTGTTATTTTTAGAAAGAAATAGGTTGTCAGATTCATACAATGAAAGCTTACAGTATTTTATACTTATTTGAACAAATGTTTGAGTGTTCATGGAAATTTCATTTTATATGAAGTTTAAAATGCATAAAAATTTGTAATACACTGTAAATTTTAGCATAATACACATTTGCAATTTAGTAAACTATTTTCCAAACAGGGTTTGTAATTTTATCAGATATTCAACCTGTTTGTCCCTCCTTATGATTTAGGTTAGGTGTTTTATAGTAGTCTTAAAAATTATAACTGTCAACATCCGAATGGATTATAGCTTACATATATTTATATCTAAAGAAAAATTTTGGCAGGCATTCATTCTCAAGTTGTAAAGCCCAGATTTTAGAATTTAAATTGGCAGACATGCTTGTGTGCAATTTCACTATCATGAACTATATGTGATACAAGAAAGCTGACAGAGTTCATCATGATAATTCAAAACCAGTGTAATGAGATAATTATAGATCTTAAAAAAAGATGGTGACATGATATTTTGGAATGGAGAGCTGTCTGGGGGGAAAAAATCCAGTCTTTTCCAATGTGAAACATTACAATATAATGACGATCAGAAAGCTGGAATTGAGATTTTTCTTAGGGCATAACTTGTTAGTTTTCCTGTCAAAATATTTTGAACTTCTGTTTGTGACAGAATCTTAAGGAATGATTTTGTTAGTATGCATTTGGAATTTTTTTTTTTTTTTTTTGTTTATTAAAGATACTTTGTTAAATAAATCATCTGGTAAATTTTATACCTGTCAACAAGATTTCTTGTCTTCTGTTGTTTATTTGTAGTTTGCTCCATTTTAGTAAATCAGACTGGTTTTATGTCCATTTTGAGAGCTTTTCTGAAAATCAGACTGCCAGACAGAATATACCCCTACCAGAGACGTACATATAACATGTTTTTAACAACTGACAACTATCTTATACAGAATATATCCTAAAAATATATGTATGTATTGCTCTTGTCGTTTACATATCTCTACCGAATATGCATATACACTCTTGTCTTATTTCTGTATAAGAATGCTGCCTTTAATCTGCCTAACTTCAAATCGAAGTCAATTTTTCATTTAACTTGAGTGCATGAGTTTTTAACTCTCAAATTTGGTACCTTCACCGTCATCTTTGAAACATGATTGGTAAATTCAGAAAAAATTAACATTTTTGCGACATCTGAAAGGAAACTAGAATTGAATGCTTGGAATTCAGTAAGATATACTCACTATGTTCTCCATTTTTTCATGCAAAACCTCCATCCGCAACTGTACTTCATTGTTCATTCACTTTAAGCCTTACAGCTCATAAGTATAACAGTTAAATACATGATAATACAATGTACTTGTACAAGATAATACTATTATAACACATAACAGTTAAATACAATGTATATGTACAAGATAATACTATTATAACACATAACAGTTAAATACAATGTATATGTACAAGATAATACTATTATAACACATAACAGTTAAATACAATGTATATGTACAAGATAATACTATTATAACACATAACAGTTAAATACAATGTATATGTACAAGATAATACTATTATAACACATAACAGTTAAATACAATGTATATGTACAAGATAATACTATTATAACACATAACAGTTAAATACAATGTATATGTACAAGATAATACTATTATAACACATAACAGTTAAATACAATGTATATGTACAAGATAATACTATTATAACACATAACAGTTAAATACAATGTATATGTACAAGATAATACTATTATAACACATAACAGTTAAATACAATGTATATGTACAATATCATTCTATTATAACACATACAAAATATTCAGATATTATATAATATATTTTAATGAACTTTTACGTAAATTTATATACAGAGGACAAAAAAAAACTAAATTAAATAAAATGAAATGAAACTCGACTTCTACTTGGTCCTGGTTACAATGATTGCAAATCCTACGTTCTCTTGTAATATCTACTTTCTTTTAATCGCTGATGAGAAGATAATCAAAATTTAGATATAACTCGAAAGATAATCATCTCGAATAGATATAGAATGATGAAGTAAAGTAGAGCAGTCTCACAAGAATTTGTAAAGATAACATTCTGAAGAGTTTTCAGCATACTCATTTCGTAATTTCTTAAAATTATCGAAAAGACGTTGTCTGGAAAAAAAATGTTTAAAAAAATACTTTTCGTTATCAACTATATGATTTAAGCTAACGTCCCGACAATCAGTGGATAGCAATAAGTTTTTGTCCTGACGCCGCCAGTTACAGCTTCGGTGATTCATTCTTCAGACACAGACTTCAATATACAATTATTAGTCTTAAATTATATCAACAAATATTCTAATTATCCGGCACGTCCGGGTAATATGCATAGGCAAACGACCTAGTTCAGTATATTGCATGAAAGAAGGTGTACTCATTTTAACATTCAGTTTTTGTTTTTTTGTTTTTTGTTTTTTTTTTCAAAAAGTCGTTGTGCACTTTTTTATCTGATCAGTCAGGATAAATCATCCAGACTTCATAGCTAGAATAAAGAACGGATGAAACAAAGACATCGAAGACATTCAATTTTGGATTCACTGACAGTTCGGAATGCAACGATTTTTTCTATATTAACTGACAACTGCCATGTCAATAAATAATTTGAAAGACTCTCACATCTTCTTTAAATCGGAAGCTGACTCAGAGACCAGAACTGTGCCATCAGCATACATCAATAGAAAAATCTGTAGAGATAGTGCAGTACACGACGTATTAATGAACTCGTTTACATACATAGAATAAAGGAAGGGAAATAACCCTTCACATTGCATCAAGCCTTGTGTGCATGGAAAGAAATCAGATAGCTCCGACACGTATCTTACACATAGTTTAAAAACCACCGTAAAGGGACTTCGAAACATCTAATAACTCAAAAACAATTAATTTCTTTTGAAACTGACGAAAGCCTCGCGATAATCTACAAAGTTCTTTTCTAATGATCCCAGGTAGAGCAGGTATGGCGTCATCGATGTGGTGACCAGGCTTTAAGCCCACCTGGACATCAGTGATAATATCAAACTGCTCATACCATTTTAGTAACCCATTGTTTACGCACTTGTAATTGTGGACAAACTTAATACTGTGATAATTACTGGGGTCATCAGGATCACATTTCTAGAACAATGGTAAATGATTCGCTTTGGCCAACTGGATGGAAATTCGCCTTTATCAAGAATAATATTAAATAGCTTTTAAAGAATACTCGTTTATTATTTTTTTAAAATCGTTCAACGGAATAATAACATATGTGATATTATCATGAAAACACCGTACATATTTCTATTATACTTTGCGTGGTTTTTCTTACCTTCAAATCCGGAAATCCCAAAACAGACCGATTTTATTTTAACGATTATTGTTTTATTCCGTCCTTATTAGTGCAGGATCGTTACGATCCTCTATACCGGTCTCAGTGATACAATGATAATGTTTACAATTATTGTCATTTGAGACGTCAGACCCAGGAACTACAGAATTTCTGATTTATAATTATATACCAGTTCTTGATTTGCCCAGAGTTCATCTAATCTATTTTTGAAAGAGTTAACTGTTTGGTGCCGATACAATATAGTTCGGAAGATTGGTCCATATTTTGACCACACGCAAAGAAAAAATTGTTTCCTGATGTCAAGTTTACAGGGCTGCATGTAAAGTTTTTTGGAGTGACCCCTTGTTCGCTGAATTTGAACTATGTCAATCCACAATTTAAGGAAACCAGCAGCGCTACTATCACAAAAATTGTTCGTAATTTTGAAGACTTCAATCATATCCCCACGAATCCTCCTGAATGCCAATGTTGGTAATTTTAGGCGTTTCAGTCTTTCCGAATAAGTCAGTTCCTTAAATCCTGATAATTGTTTATTGATATATTTGTTTCAGTTCTTTATCAACATGTTTCTTCATGCTTCTAGCAATCCTTGTTAATACCAGGGACGTATAATACATATTATACGTCCCTGTTAATACAATGTATACGCACTGTACATTTTGCCAAAATTCAAAACCACTGACGTATACTAATGTACGTCCTTGTTCAAAACAGACCAAAACAGTTCAGAATATGAATGAAATTTTCTAATAATTGAAAAATGTACATATTGTTTTTACTCAAATACAGACGTATGACAGACATATATAAACGTTTTGATTTAGAACCCGTCATCCCAAAACAATGTCATTTATTGTCTATGTGTGAGTTGCACGTGCTTACACCGCGCTCTACTAATAAGAATGTTAATTAGAAGTGGACTACACTGTATGGCCATCTCGTAGTCATTGGGTGGTCACTTTGAAGTCGGCCAAGATGTAACGGCAATTTCTACCGCAACATCTCACCTTACTTTGACTGGACAACTAACAAGCGAATGATGGTCAGAACCGCCGTCAAACTCCGGTTAGTCCCTGATCAATGATATTAGAGAACGACATATGGGATACAGTCACTGACGTCCTTTCAGCACGTGACATTTACTGACCACAAGACAGTTTATAGCTCTGGGAACTGATACACCAGATGCATCATGGAGGACTCGCGACATACACTATCCATGGATCTGGACTCGGAGAAGGACACTATCCAGTTTCCTGGATTGGAAAATACACACTTCGGCTGGACAGCCCCGAGTCTGATGCTTCACCTACCGGATTCATGTACTTGTGGATGTTTTCTACGAATAGACACCAGCCCCTGTGTATCACCTACTGAAGACGAGCTCGCGTCCATTCTGGGTAAGTTTTCTATTGTCACATTTGATATCAGTATTTTTTTTTTATAATTATTAGGATATTGTACCAGAAGATACAGACACCTATTACACACCTTGAAAATTTGATGTAAAATAAACAACAACGCATTTAGATAATTATTAGTGAAAGTCAGCACATGAAAGTAAATTAAATCAAAGTACTTAGAGGCTAAACGTATTGAAAAATATTCACAAATAACCGCTAAGCTATATTACTTTACCCATACTCCTACACTTTGGAATACAAAAATTACTAAAATAAGAGAACCAGAGGTTATTTTTCTTAATTTTAAGCGATTTTATATCTTCTTTAATTCTTATTTCAAATTTGACGACAATAATGCGAACAAATCAAAATAGGTAAAAAATAAAAAAAAAAAAAAAAAATACACACAACCATATACTTATCGCCAACAAGCCAAATGATAAATAGCTCAATGATGAAGTTGACTAAATAAAACCTTTGAAATATCCAAGATGTTGCAATAACTATCCTATCAATGAGGATTTAGACAAATCGAAAGGACTTTATACCTACTTCTTTATTTTGAATGTATTGCAAAGTAATAGTCCTTACTTATTATAATTATATTTGTAGTCGAGGAAAGTAAATAAGGTGTACATAGCATTTTAGATAGATAAAAGTGTAAGTAATTACATTAAATGTATTTACATGCCTATCTTCCTTGAAGTATCATGGTTAGACTTTTCTTCCAGTAATTATATCTATAAAAAATAGTTCTATGAGATTAAACCAGACTTACATATATGTACAAAATTTACAATATTTTCACTATAGCTACTAATATGTCTGATCTCCAATGCATTAGATAATGTCACCATGACACGCAAAATGAATAAATATGTTATGGAAATATTTAGTTCTACTTAATTGATAATTATAAACAAGAATATTTTGGGTTTTTTATACGCACTTTTTTTAAGGAATATTTTCATTTCAAGGAAATTTGATACACATTAACAAACCTTGAGAAATCAGCACAATCAACCTCCATCAAATAAAACGAAAAGACAAGAAATATAAGTTATAACAAAGTCAACATCATAATCAGTACAGAATTAAATATAAATTATTCATAAATCATGAGCACCAAATGTACCTTGCCTACGAAGCGCAAACTTTTTATCTTCAAAAACTTGAATGGTTGTTTTCTAGGAATATCCACAGCAGGCGATAGGAATCACGTCAGCTCGATCTTCTTCAATAGCACAGGTCGGGGATGTCCGTGAGCAAATTCCGTAAAATATATTGTTCTAAATTTATCAATAGTTCAACCATTTTGTGCTTCTTTTTTAAAATATATAGTAATCGTATTGTTATAAAAAAAATAAACTAATTGTGGATGCTTTTAAAATAGCGATTTGAAAGATAGCGGCATTATTTACGCAGAAAATTGCGGCTAGAGAGCTCTTTTCGAAATGGTGATTTTTTTCCTGAAAGGCCGTCGCAATAGGCTATATACATACTGAGTACGTTTAGCCTAAAAACCTCGAATTCAAAAGCTGTTTATCATTTAAAATCTCAAATGCTCTTCTTTTATTTTATCGGCGAACAATAATGTACATTTCATACAGGATAGTAATTTGAAAAGTCGAAGACCCACAAAAAGCATTGCAGGCAATAAGCTGGCATGGGAATTCCCCTAGGAAGAGTAAAACCGTGACATTGTTTTAAAATCTTAACAAGGAAAGTATATAAATTTCAAACATAAAACGACAATTGTAAACGACATGCAAATATACTGACAGAGTGAAACGAAGGGAAGTAACTCCTGGAGTTCAGAGTAGGTTTTCATAATTGCAACATATAGTATAATTATATGAAAATCAATTTTAACGAGGAAGAAGAGGGTAGTGTTCAGTAGTCTGGCACCATAAGTGTACGAGAAAACCAACAGTGATTTTTTAATAAACAGATATTCCAATTTTTACATTAATGATAATGGATTTTAGCATAATTTTTCGGAATCTTTCATCGACGATATTAAATTATCGATGTATTCACAAACACTTTTAGTAATATAATAAGATACACGTATCACTACTGCCGTAATCCAACGATATAATAACTAGGATGTAATGTAGTTAATTGAAGAAACAAAAAATACATATACTTGTCCGTGTTAATAAGCTGTGTACCGCTGTCTAGTACACATACTTGTCCGTGTTAATAAGCTGTGTACCGCTGTGTGGTACACATACTTGTCCGTGTTAATAAGCTGTGTACCGCTCTCTAGTACACATACTTGTCCGTGTTAATAAGCTGTGTACCGCTGTGTGGTACACATACTTGTCCGTGTTAATAAGCTGTGTACCGCTGTCTAGTACACATACTTGTCCGTGTTAATAAGCTGTGTACCACTGTCTAGTACACATACTTGTCCGTGTTAGTAAGTTGTGTACTAATCCCTGTATCTTCCTGTTTTACAGATGATAATGTGGATATGGTGTGTTACGAAAATGACAATTTCCTCCTTGAGATATTTGACGAGATGAGTATTGTAGCAAACACTCACGAGTTCAGCTCGCCAAACACCGATTCGATCTCTGAGGGGCTGGACGACTGCCTTCAGGAACGACAATCGTTAATAGACTTAGTGTGCGATCCCTGCCTTGGCGGCGATGTGACGTCACCAGATACCGACGCAGACCCCGAATGGCGTCCGTCATCCGCAGTGTCTGTCTCCTCGTCAGATAGCTTTGAATTCGACATCGATATGCCTCAAATCAGCCCGAGTCCACCAGAAAGGAGATCCCATCAGAAACGAAAGGTCTCTCACGATATATCTCAGACTACGGCAAAGCACATTTGTTATCATGGCGATGAACTTTTTTCGACCTTGAATAGAATAACGACTCAAACCAACATCGGCGACGAAAACGAACTAAGATATGCATTTTACACAAAATGTGAAGATGAATGAAAGATGAACTTTCGGAGCGGATGTGAACAGTTAGAACGGTTTTCAATGTCTGTCCTACTTTTCACTTGTAGCACTGTGTCAGAAATCCATGGGAAAATGACACTCAAGAATTTGTTCATTGTGTTCCTATTTTGGAAGCAAAATTAATGACATATTTATTTCTGTAAGAAGTGAAGCCGAATGGGACTTCAATTTTAAAGGACAATGACTTTGAACATTCCAGAGAGACATATTAGATCATTATGGATTATGTTATGATTTTTTATCGGTTTTATGAAAAATATAATTTTAAAAAATGAATAAATAGATAAATGTAAAAGGAAAGTGAATGTTTTCAGTTATTAAAACACAACGCTGACGACATACATCATATTATACAAGAGAAGTACACGATAAAGTTTCTTATTGCTTCTGTTTAAACAATCATCCATTTACCTCATACATTACACACTAATGCAAAAGTAGATCGTAGACCTATCCCCTTCATCGCCAATACAATAGAAAATGAGTATGTATCTTCATTTGTCAGTACATTACACACTGATGCAAAAGTATAATGTAGACCTATCCCCTTCATCGCCAATACAATAGAAAATGAGTATGTATCTTCATTTGTCAGTACATTACACACTGATGCAAAAGTATAATGTAGACCTATCCCCTTCATCGCCAATACGATAGAAAATGAGTATGTATCTTCATTTGTCAGTACATTACACACTTATGCAAAAGTATAATGTAGACCTATCCCCTTCATCGCCAATACAATAGAAAATGAGTATGTATCTTCATTTGTCAGTACATTACACACTTATGCAAAAGTAGATCGTAGACCTATCCCCTTCATCGCCAATACAATAGAAAATGAGTATGTATCTTCATTTGTCAGTACATTACACACTTATGCAAAAGTAGATCGTAGACCTATCCCCTTCATCGCCAATACAATAGAAAATGAGTATGTATCTTCATTTGTCAGTACATTACACACTTATGCAAAAGTAGATCGTAGACCTATCCCCTTCATCGCCAATACAATAGAAAATGAGTATGTATCTTCATTTGTCAGTACATTACACACTGATGCAAAAGTAGATCGTAGACCTATCCCCTTCATCGCCAATACAATAGAACATGAGTATGTATCTTCATTTGTCAGTACATTACACACTGATGCGAAAGTAGATCGTAGACCTATCCCCTTCATCGCCAATACAATAGAAAATGAGTATGTATCTTCATTTGTCAGTACATTACACACTGATGCAAAAGTATAATGTAGACCTATCCCCTTCATCGCCAATACAATAGAAAATGAGTATGTATCTTCATTTGTCAGTACATTACACACTGATGCAAAAGTAGATCGTAGACCTATCCCCTTCATCGCCAATACAATAGAAAATGAGTATGTATCTTCATTTGTCAGTACATTACACACTGATGCAAAAGTAGATCGTAGACCTATCCCCTTCATCGCCAATACAATAGAAAATGAGTATGTATCTTCATTTGTCAGTACATTACACACTGATGCAAAAGTAGATCGTAGACCTATCCCCTTCATCGCCAATACAATAGAAAATGAGTATGTATCTTCATTTGTCAGTACATTACACACTGATGCAAAAGTATAATGTAGACCTATCCCCTTCATCGCCAATACAATAGAACATGAGTATGTATCTTCATTTGTCAGTACATTACACACTGATGCAAAAGTATAATGTAGACCTATCCCCTTCATCGCCAATACAATAGAAAATGAGTATGTATCTTCATTTGTCAGTACATTACACACTGATGCAAAAGTATAATGTAGACCTATCCCCTTCATCGCCAATACAATAGAAAATGAGTATGTATCTTCATTTGTCAGTACATTACACACTGATGCAAAAGTATAATGTAGACCTATCCCCTTCATCGCCAATACAATAGAAAATGAGTATGTATCTTCATTTGTCAGTACATTACACACTGATGCAAAAGTATAATGTAGACCTATCCCCTTCATCGCCAATACAATAGAAAATGAGTATGTATCTTCATTTGTCAGTACATTACACACTGATGCAAAAGTATAATGTAGATCTATCCCCTTCATCGCCAATACAATAGAAAATGAGTATGTATCTTCATTTGTCAGTACATTACACACTTATGCAAAAGTATAATGTAGACCTATCCCCTTCATCGCCAATACAATAGAACATGAGTATGTATCTTCATTTGTCAGTACATTACACACTGATGCAAAAGTAGATCGTAGACCTATCCCCTTCATCGCCAATACAATAGAACATGAGTATGTATCTTCATTTGTCAGTACATTACACACTGATGCAAAAGTATAATGTAGACCTATCCCCTTCATCGCCAATACAATAGAAAATGAGTATGTATCTTCATTTGTCAGTACATTACACACTTATGCAAAAGTATAATGTAGACCTATCCCCTTCATCGCCAATACAATAGAAAATGAGTATGTATCTTCATTTGTCAGTACATTACACACTTATGCAAAAGTATAATGTAGACCTATCCCCTTCATCGCCAATACAATAGAACATGAGTATGTATCTTCATTTGAAAGTACATTACACACTTATGCAAAAGTATAATGTAGACCTATCCCCTTCATCGCCAATACAATAGAACATGAGTATGTATCTTCATTTGTCAGTACATTACACACTTATGCAAAAGTATAATGTAGACCTATCCCCTTCATCGCCAATACAATAGAACATGAGTATGTATCTTCATTTGTCAGTACATTACACACTGATGCAAAAGTAGATCGTAGACCTATCCCCTTCATCGCCAATACAATAGAACATGAGTATGTATCTTCATTTGTCAGTACATTACACACTGATGCAAAAGTATAATGTAGACCTATCCCCTTCATCGCCAATACAATAGAAAATGAGTATGTATCTTCATTTGTCAGTACATTACACACTTATGCAAAAGTATAATGTAGACCTATCCCCTTCATCGCCAATACAATAGAAAATGAGTATGTATCTTCATTTGTCAGTACATTACACACTTATGCAAAAGTATAATGTAGACCTATCCCCTTCATCGCCAATACAATAGAAAATGAGTATGTATCTTCATTTGTCAGTACATTACACACTTATGCAAAAGTATAATGTAGACCTATCCCCTTCATCGCCAATACAATAGAAAATGAGTATGTATCTTCATTTGTCAGTACATTACACACTTATGCAAAAGTATAATGTAGACCTATCCCCTTCATCGCCAATACAATAGAACATGAGTATGTATCTTCATTTGTCAGTACATTACACACTGATGCAAAAGTATAATGTAGACCTATCCCCTTCATCGCCAATACAATAGAAAATGAGTATGTATCTTCATTTGTCAGTACATTACACACTGATGCAAAAGTATAATGTAGACCTATCCCCTTCATCGCCAATACAATAGAACATGAGTATGTATCTTCATTTGTCAGTACATTACACACTGATGCAAAAGTATAATGTAGACCTATCCCCTTCACCGCCAATACAATAGAAAATGAGTATGTATCTTCATTTGTCAGTACATTACACACTGATGCAAAAGTATAATGTAGACCTATCCCCTTCATCGCCAATACAATAGAACATGAGTATGTATCTTCATTTGTCAGTACATTACACACTGATGCAAAAGTATAATGTAGACCTATCCCCTTCACCGCCAATACAATAGAAAATGAGTATGTATCTTCATTTGTCAGTACATTACACACTGATGCAAAAGTATAATGTAGACCTATCCCCTTCATCGCCAATACAATAGAACATGAGTATGTATCTTCATTTGTCAGTACATTACACACTGATGCAAAAGTATAATGTAGACCTATCCCCTTCATCGCCAATACAATAGAACATGAGTATGTATCTTCATTTGTCAGTACATTACACACTGATGCAAAAGTATAATGTAGACCTATCCCCTTCATCGCCAATACAATAGAACATGAGTATGTATCTTCATTTGTCAGTACATTACACACTTATGCAAAAGTATAATGTAGACCTATCCCCTTCATCGCCAATACAATAGAAAATGAGTATGTATCTTCATTTGTCAGTACATTACACACTGATGCAAAAGTAGAATGTAGACCTATCCCCTTCATCGCCAATACAATAGAACATGAGTATGTATCTTCATTTGTCAGTACATTACACACTGATGCAAAAGTATAATGTAGACCTATCCCCTTCATCGCCAATACAATAGAAAATGAGTATGTATCTTCATTTGTCAGTACATTACACACTTATGCAAAAGTATAATGTAGACCTATCCCCTTAATCGCCAATACAATAGAAAATGAGTATGTATCTTCATTTGTCAGTACATTACACACTGATGCAAAAGTATAATGTAGACCTATCCCCTTCATCGCCAATACAATAGAACATGAGTATGTATCTTCATTTGTCAGTACATTACACACTGATGCAAAAGTATAATGTAGACCTATCCCCTTCATCGCCAATACAATAGAAAATGAGTATGTATCTTCATTTGTCAGTACATTACACACTGATGCAAAAGTATAATGTAGACCTATCCCCTTCATCGCCAATACAATAGAACATGAGTATGTATCTTCATTTGTCAGTACATTACACACTGATGCAAAAGTATAATGTAGACCTATCCCCTTCATCGCCAATACAATAGAAAATGAGTATGTATCCATTTGTCAGTACATTACACACTTATGCAAAAGTAGATCGCCAATACAATAGAACATGAGTATGTATCTTCATTTGTCAGTACATTACACACTGATGCAAAAGTATAATGTAGACCTATCCCCTTCATCGCCAATACAATAGAACATGAGTATGTATCTTCATTTGTCAGTACATTACACACTTATGCAAAAGTATAATGTAGACCTATCCCCTTCATCGCCAATACAATAGAAAATGAGTATGTATCTTCATTTGTCAGTACATTACACACTTATGCAAAAGTATAATGTAGACCTATCCCCTTCATCGCCAATACAATAGAAAATGAGTATGTATCTTCATTTGTCAGTACATTACACACTTATGCAAAAGTATAATGTAGACCTATCCCCTTCATCGCCAATACAATAGAACATGAGTATGTATCTTCATTTGTCAGTACATTACACACTGATGCAAAAGTAGATCGTAGACCTATCCCCTTCATCGCCAATACAATAGAACATGAGTATGTATCTTCATTTGTCAGTAAATTACACACTGATGCAAAAGTATAATGTAGACCTATCCCCTTCATCGCCAATACAACAGAAAATGAGTATGTATCTTCATTTGTCAGTACATTACACACTTATGCAAAAGTATAATGTAGACCTATCCCCTTCATCGCCAATACAATAGAAAATGAGTATGTATCTTCATTTGTCAGTACATTACACACTTATGCAAAAGTATAATGTAGACCTATCCCCTTCATCGCCAATACAATAGAACATGAGTATGTATCTTCATTTGTCAGTACATTACACACTTATGCAAAAGTATAATGTAGACCTATCCCCTTCATCGCCAATACAATAGAACATGAGTATGTATCTTCATTTGTCAGTACATTACACACTGATGCAAAAGTATAATGTAGACCTATCCCCTTCATCGCCAATACAATAGAAAATGAGTATGTATCTTCATTTGTCAGTACATTACACACTTATGCAAAAGTATAATGTAGACCTATCCCCTTCATCGCCAATACAATAGAAAATGAGTATGTATCTTCATTTGTCAGTACATTACACACTTATGCAAAAGTATAATGTAGACCTATCCCCTTCATCGCCAATACAATAGAACATGAGTATGTATCTTCATTTGTCAGTACATTACACACTTATGCAAAAGTATAATGTAGACCTATCCCCTTCATCGCCAATACAATAGAAAATGAGTATGTATCTTCATTTGTCAGTACATTACACACTGATGCAAAAGTATAATGTAGACCTATCCCCTTCATCGCCAATACAATAGAACATGAGTATGTATCTTCATTTGTCAGTACATTACACACTGATGCAAAAGTATAATGTAGACCTATCCCCTTCATCGCCAATACAATAGAAAATGAGTATGTATCTTCATTTGTCAGTACATTACACACTGATGCAAAAGTATAATGTAGACCTATCCCCTTCATCGCCAATACAATAGAACATGAGTATGTATCTTCATTTGTCAGTAAATTACACACTGATGCAAAAGTATAATGTAGACCTATCCCCTTCATCGCCAATACAATAGAAAATGAGTATGTATCTTCATTTGTCAGTACATTACACACTGATGCAAAAGTATAATGTAGACCTATCCCCTTCATCGCCAATACAATAGAAAATGAGTATGTATCTTCATTTGTCAGTACATTACACACTTATGCAAAAGTATAATGTAGACCTATCCCCTTCATCGCCAATACAATAGAAAATGAGTATGTATCTGCATTTGTCAGTACATTACACACTGATGCAAAAGTATAATGTAGACCTATCCCCTTCATCGCCAATACGATAGAAAATGAGTATGTATCTTCATTTGTCAGTACATTACACACTGATGCAAAAGTATAATGTAGACCTATCCCCTTCACCGCCAATACAATAGAAAATGAGTATGTATCTTCATTTGTCAGTACATTACACACTGATGCAAAAGTATAATGTAGACCTATCCCCTTCATCGCCAATACGATAGAAAATGAGTATGTATCTTCATTTGTCAGTACATTACACACTGATGCAAAAGTATAATGTAGACCTATCCCCTTCACCGCCAATACAATAGAAAATGAGTATGTATCTTCATTTGTCAGTACATTACACACTGATGCAAAAGTATAATGTAGACCTATCCCCTTCATCGCCAATACGATAGAAAATGAGTATGTATCTTCATTTGTCAGTACATTACACACTGATGCAAAAGTATAATGTAGACCTATCCCCTTCATCGCCAATACAATAGAAAATGAGTATGTATCTTCATTTGTCAGTACATTACACACTGATGCAAAAATATAATGTAGACCTATCCCCTTCATCGCCAATACGATAGAAAATGAGTATGTATCTTCATTTGTCAGTACATTACACACTGATGCAAAAGTATAATGTAGACCTATCCCCTTCATCGCCAATACAATAGAACATGAGTATGTATCTTCATTTGTCAGTTTTCTCCATCCACTCGATAACAACAAAAACTTATCTTTCTCCGCACGAGACTGAAGACGTCCGACAGCTGCAATCAGTTTCGTATGAAATTAATTATCTGTTACAAAGATGATATCATAATTGACACGACACGAACGCACATTGAAAAAACATAGACAGAAATGACTGTTCCATTTTATATCAATTACCAAGATCTATAATCAAAATATGAAATTAATTTCAGGTAGGTCCATTGTGTAGTATAGACGACGATGAAGTCATATATGTACACGTGCTCGTAGATTTGATGCTTAGTTGGGAAATTTCATATTAAAAAAAATTTAAACCATGTCGCGAACATCGGTTTCTTTTCCGTTACCTCTCCTTCCTGTGGAGAAAAAATCACACCGATCACTAAATTGTAAAACCAATGTACCATTAGTAAGAAATGCTTTCAAAAAAATCTAAATACATTCCTATATTGCATCATACGATCACGTCGTATGCTGACAGGTAAAAGGGGCATCAGTGTAATAACATAAATTGTATGTGTTTTATACATTTCCAGTTATGTTCCTATGTTATCCCATTATTTACAAAATGGAACTGTCATTTCTGTCTATGTTTTTTCAATGTGCGTTCGTGTCGATTTCCAATAACCACGAACACACATGATGGCGGGTGGAAATGACAGCGACAGTAAAATACTGTTTTTCAGTCCTTGATTTTGTTATGGGTGTGGCATATGTTATTTGATAACTTAAAGTCAATACAGAATTACGAAATAAGTGACATAAATAGCCAACATTGTCGCGACCGATTTTGTTTAAAGGCAACGGTGTTTTGTTTTGTTTTCTCTTCTCTTATCTGTTTTTGCTCTTAATGGCAAGACATTTGAACATTCCTTTGCAGAAAATAGCAATGATAATCTTTACCTGCCAAATCCAAACTGGAAGCCATTTTGTTTCTCCTGATCAGTCCCAAAATCAAACGATCACAAGGAGAGACCTAAGAACCGTAAGTATGACATTTGGGAGCTATCTATTCAGTACTTCTTAAGGAATAGCAATAACAATTCTTTCTAGACAAAATCCAAGACGACTGCCTGTCAGCCATTTGTTTTTCTGACAGTACCAAACTAAATAAAGCATAACAAGGGTAATAAAGGATCCTATACAAGAAATTTGAGAAAGATTTATAGAGTAGTTCTCAAGAAATAGTGATAACAAACTTTGATGTCAAAATCCAAGATGGCTGCTTGTTGGCCATTTTGGTTTTTCTTATCATTACCAAAATCAATCCGGCACAACTAGGGATCAAGGAAAGCATACACATGAAATTTGAGAGAGATCCATTGAGTACTTCTCAAGAAATAGCGATGAAAAACTTCATTAAAAAAATTCTGCTTGTTGGCTATTTTGTTTTCTGATCTGGCCAAAAATCAAATGGGCACAACTACGGACCAAAAGAAACCTATATATGCAAGTACAGAAAGATCCATCGAGTACTTCTCAAGAAATAGCGATAACAAACTTCATTAAAAAAAATCAAGATGGCTGCCTGTTGGCCATTTTGTTTTTTTTTTTTTATTAGGCCAAAAATCAAATGGGCACAACAAAGGACCAATAAAAACCTATATATGCAATTTGAGGAAGATCCATCAAGTACTTCTCAAGTAATAGCTCTCGCTTGCCAAAAGATTATGCAATGATGTTGACTCCCCGACGTCCGCCTCTCGAGAGACAACTGCAATACTTATGTCCAGTATTACAATCTTCCTTTGGACAAGAAAAGACAGGAAAATGCGTACAGAGTAAAAGAGGTAATGTAGAGATGAAGATGAGAGGTCATTTATACTATTTTTACCATCAGACCCAATATCACATATACCGGTACATAAGGGATTACATTTATACCATCAGACCTAATATCACACATACCGGTACATAAGGGATTACATTTATACCATCAGACCTAATATCACATATACCGGTACATAAGGGATTACATTTATACCATCAGACCTAATATCACATATACCGGTACAAAAGGGATTACATTTATACCATCAGACCCAATATCACATATACCGGTACATAAGGGATTACATTTATACCATCAGACCTAATATCACACATACCGGTACATAAGGGATTACATTTATACCATCAGACCTAATATCACATATACCGTACATAAGGGATTACATTTATACCATCAGACCTAATATCACACATACCGGTACATAAGGGATTACATTTATACCATCAGACCTAATATCACATATACCGGTACATAAGGGATTACAGCAGTAAAGTTTTCAGTTTCATGTACAGAGGAAGGATAACAAAGAACAGAATTTTATCTAGAGTTTATTTCAATGATATCTTCATATGGCAAACACACTGCATTCACACTCGCACAAAAAGCTATGATAATATTTATATCACAACCACATTTGTAACTTAACTTGCATATTCAAATATCTTGCTCACAGGGATAAAGGTATCCCATTACTTTCCCTACTTCAATACTCAGTCAAACAACTTTCAGCTAAGAAAATATCTGATAATACATAACTATATTTTCTCAATATATAATGAAAAACATGCTGCAAAATACACTTCTAATAAACATCGTAGCAGTAACCAGTTTGCTGTTGTTTTATTCAGTAAAATTTGTTCTAATTTTGAACCACATCTTATAATCTTATATAAATCCTATAAAGTCTCCCATAGTCTAAAACTGAAAGATATCTCTTGATAACAGAAAATCACAAAATTGAAAAAATTCATGATGTTGTTTCCAGAGTTTCAAAGATATTGGTCCTTAACCGAGATAAAAGATCTCAAAACAACAAAAGTTTACACCGACTGAACAACTGAATTGATATCAATATCCCGTCAAAACTAACGATGATTTATAGGTACAAGTTGATTGTAATTTGCTGTGCCTAAAGATGACCTCAGTTAGAACTGATCTGTCTCATTTTTCAGTTTTCCTCCTGGTGTCATCATTCACAATTCTTCACTTGATGTATTGATCTTTCTTGCAGTCCATGCTCTTCTCGTAATTTACTTTGTTGCTTGAACTTCCTGTTTTTCCGTTTCATCCTCATTATCTACCTCATTGCCAGACACCAATGTATCTATTTCCTTTTGAATTTTCTCTCTGTCCGGGATTTCTGGCTTTACGAGGGTTTTTATCAGTGGAGCTTGTTGTGGCATCCATGACGGTGTGATTTTACTGTGTAATCTCCATTCTCCATACATATTTACAATGTGTTTCTCAAACACCACATATTCTAAAACGTCCCTTGGTAACGTCTCACTGCCGTACATTAAACGGCCAAATCTGTCATATATCGCTAAAATCTGTAAGAAAATATTTGATTGAAACTTACTTTGTGAATACTTAATTTTCATTATAATAATTTCAGTGAGTAAACCACGTTTTTCATTCTGGTTCTAATAGAATCAGTTAATGAAACAGCAACTTAATTTCAGATATAATAATTAAGACATTTAAGAGAAAGAAAGATTATTTTTTAAAATGAAACATTTTTGATGAATCTGTAACAGAGACAAGAATAATGCAATAAATGCTGTTTGTACTTTACAAACAATTTAGATATTGACCAATACATTGTACGATTAATGTACAGGTACCAGTATTATATAATAAATGATATTCATGTTTATAAAAGTTAAGGTCATAGAGTAAATATAACCATAACTCAGATGTAATAACAAGCATTTCTGAGATCAAGATTATAAAAATGAAGCCCATTACCTGTCTTGTGTGACAACGGACTGTCACCTGTGCATATAAGTTATCGTCTGCCATCATCTTATTTGTTCGAATATGGACAACCCTCGGTGGCTCAATAGATTCAACAAATTTCCATCGAAATGTCTTAAATTCCAAGCCAAACACTAATTTCTGCAAAACAAGAGTCACAAGGGCCTTACTGGTCATGTGTGTCTAAAAAAGCTGTCATTTTTGTTACATAAGTCATCTTGTTAACAAAAGATAGACAAGAGTATCAGCGAAACTAATGAATGCTCCCTGAAAATATCTTTGATGGACACAAAAATTTAAACAAAAGGCAGTGGTTCTGTAATTAAGGGGTTGAGGGCCCTGAGTTTGGTATACTGCACATGTATAACCAATGTATATACCAAGTCTCATAATCCTAGTTTTAATGCAATCAAAGCTATGATTATGAAACAAAATTTTAACAAAGGGCAATAACTCTGTATTGAGGGGTCATGGACCCTGAATTTGCTACACTGCACCTTACTTTTGTAAGACAGAAGTATACATCCTGTTTCAATATCCTAGTTTAAATGCAGACAAAGAAATACAGTGCACACAAAAGTTTTAAAAAAAAGGCAATAACTCTGTAATGAAGGGGTTGTGGGCCATAACATAGGTACACTGCACATTGTCTTCTTATGATCAACGTAAACGGGTTTCAATATTCTACTTTAAATGCAAGCCAAGATATGCTCTAAACAAGATATTTTCAACAAAGGGCAATAACTCTGTTATTGAGGGGTTGAGAGCCCTGAATTTTGTACACTGTACATCGTCTTGATATGATCAATGTATACACTGAGTTTTCATCATCTTTGTATGACAGTAAAAGTTAACAATGAAAAAAGGCATGTCAAATACATGACAGTAAAAGTGAACCACACCCAACAAGTCCTGTCCAAAAAACATTGGAGTAAAAGTGAACCACACCCAACAGGTCCTGTCTAAAACATGTGAGTAAAAGTGAACCACACCCAACAAGACCTGTCAAATACATGTGAGTAAATGTGAACCACACCCAACAAGTCCTGTCAAATACATGACAGTAAAAGTGAACCACACCCAACAAGTCCTGTCAGAAACATGTGAGTAAAAGTGAACCACACCCAACAAGTCCTGTCAAAAACATGTGAGTAAAAGTGAACCACATCCAAGAAGTCCTGTCAAAAACATGTGAGTAAAAGTGAACCACATCCAACAAGTCCTGTCAAAAACATGTGAGTAAAAGTGAACCACACCCAACAAGTCCTGTCAAAAACATGTGAGTAAAAGTGAACCACACCCAACAAGTCCTGTCAAAAACATGTGAGTAAAAGTGAACCACACCCAACAAGTCCTGTCAAATACATGTGAGTAAAAGTGAACCACACCCAACAAGTCCTGTCAAAAACATGTGAGTAAAAGTGAACCACACCCAACAAGTCCTGTCAAATACATGTCAGTACAACTGGCCCAGAAACCTTGATGTCAAGTAAGATAACCAGTATTAAATATAAAGGTTAAAGGGTAAGTATCTTTAAAGTATCAGGAAAAAGAAATGGTGACACTGATGATAGTAAGCCAATGTAAATACAGGTATACCATCATAACTGTCATCCTATACTGATAATACTAATAAATGGCCTCCTGGCTTTGGTGTCAAAGTTCTGACAAGGTAAAAAAATAACAACTTTTTGTAGGCTACTAAACATTCCAACCAATTGTTAGGTCAAAGCCATCAGGGGAACTTGAGAAGAAGTTTAAAATATGTTTTTCAAGATGGCGGCCATGACGGCCATCTTGGATTTCAGACATACCCAAAAAAAATAACAACACTTAATCAGGACCATCTCAGGATCATTTCAAGCAAGTTTTAGCTCAATCCCACCAGTGGAACTAGAGAAAAGTTTACACAATGGCTCTTTGGGTCAGGTGACCTAAAAATACTGCCCAATCATCAGTACACAATTTCTTCTACCTTTGGGAGGACATAAGACTCCAAACAAACACAATTTGTAAGTTGGTAACAAACAGTAATGTTATCATCAAGGAAAGTTGGGTGGGGAGGGGTATGGTATATTTATATCGATAGGGTAAAATTTTATCATGTAAAGATTACTTACTGGATATGCAAAGTTTGACACCAGCTGATGGAGCTCATCCTCATTAGCCTTCACACTGAAACATGAACAAGACAGTTACATTACAACATGTCAATTACACTCATCTGGCTTGGAGTCAAAGTCAGTATAAACATGACTGTAACAGATTCCTGACGGATTGTGTCATAATCACAACTGTAAATGTGTGTTATACTCACATCTGTAAATGTGTGTTATACTCACATCTGTTAATGTGTGTTATACTCACATCTGTTAATGTGTGTTATACTCACATCTGTAAATGTATGTTATACTCACATCTGTTCATGTGTGTTATACTCACATCTGTTAATGTGTGTTATACTCACATCTGTTCATGTGTTATACTCACATCTGTTAATCTGTGTTATACTCACATCTGTAAATGTGTGTTATACTCACATCTGTTAATGTGTGTTATACTCACATCTGTTCATGTGTTATACTCACATCTGTAAATGTGTGTTATACTCACATCTGTTCATGTGTTATACTCACATCTGTTAATGTGTGTTATACTCACATCTGTAAATGTGTGTTATACTCACATCTGTTAATGTGTGTTATACTCACATCTGTAAATGTGTGTTATACTCACATCTGTTAATGTGTGTTATACTCACATCTGTAAATGTGTGTTATACTCACATCTGTTAATGTGTGTTATACTCACATCTGTAAATGTGTGTTATACTCACATCTGTTAATGTGTGTTATACTCACATCTGTTAATGTGTGTTATACTCACATCTGTAAATGTGTGTTATACTCACATCTGTTCATGTGTGTTATACTCACATCTGTTAATGTGTGTTATACTCACATCTGTTCATGTGTTATACTCACATCTGTTAATGTGTGTTATACTCACATCTGTAAATGTGTGTTATACTCACATCTGTTAATGTGTTTTACTCACTCCTGTAAATATGTGTTATACTCACTCCTGTAAAAGTGTGTAGGTCTTTATGAGTTGTGACTGGGCCATATCTGCAAATGTTTTGTCGTCATAAGCTGTGTCATACTGTTTCAATTTCCTCCGGTCTATCACATTCTTTCCTTTTAAGAGACTCCCTTTCCACACATCTTTACCTTTCTGTTAAAATATCCATACATGTGTAACTCATAAGTATCCAATAATTGAAGTAGATTGTAATACCACTTTACCGTTACAATAAACATTCAGATTTATACATAACTAAAGAAATCAAAGTACTGAAAGCCCTGACAGCTATGGTCTGGGATATATTTTTATCTGTTACACATTCCACTAAAATGACCTTTTACATGACTAAGCTTCATATGGTATCATCTTTATTTGAATCAAACACCTGTCCAACTAAACAAATTACTCATTAACATATAAGCAGGTTATGGAACTTCTTTTCAGTAAAAACAAGAGGCCCAATGGGCTTTCATTGCTGACCTGGTAATCAATGTATTTTACAAATATATGTGTAAATGACATTTGACAAAGTGTCTATTTACAAACTTTGAAACTAGCATGCTTATAAAATGCAAAGTGAACATTTATCTACAAATGTGACACAGTGAATCTTGTTATGGAAAACTTCAGTAAAGTAATATAATTTAAGGGAAATTCTACCCTTGTGATCTTGCATACAGGTCAAGGTCATAATTTTTAGCAATGCATATTTTCGCTGGTTTGAAGATGTTTTTTAGCACATAATTACAAATGAACTCCAACAGGATATTGTATTATTGATCTTCAGAAAAGTTTGTTTAATGTAAAAAGAGCACGTTCTTTCTCAAAATCCATCACATTTTTATCTCCTGTTCCCAATATATTTGAAACTGTGATTTCTTGCTTTGCATATATGATATGTAACATGTTATTATCACCATGTTCACATTGAGTTTTCTTTAGAAAATGAAGAAGTGATATTGTAACATTTTCCCTAAAAACCATACAATTTTTTTTTGCATTTTTTGGCATAAAAATGGCTCTATATTCTTGTGTCATTGTCATTATTTTGTTGGAAATCTTTGTTGATCTTGGATAGTAAAATCATCATTACTTTGTCATTTCTTTATATATGAAACTGAAACTTTTTATATCAATATTATAATCATATTAACAATACATTTTAAGCTTTTGTAGTAAGAAGACAACAGCAACTGAGGAAAATCTTCATCATATCGACCAGTCTTAAAAAATATATCAACATGGGTCACAAATTATATCAACATGGCTCACAAATTATATCAATATGGGTTATCAACATGGGTTACAAATTATATCAACATGGGTTACAAATTATATCAACATGGGTTATCAACATGGGTTACAAATTATATCAACATGGGTTACAAATTATATCAACATGGGTTACAAATGTGCATAATCATCATATTAACAACTTTCATTATTGAGTATTTCAACAAATTCTGTTTGTTGTCCTTTGTTTGCTCCTTTTACCAAAACAGATATTCTAATGAGCATGTGGGTCAGTGTCAAAGAGCACAGTGTTACATGTCCAAAGTTTTCATTTTGATGAGGAAATCTAGAAAGATAGGAAACTTGAACAAGAAATTTGATGATTGTTTATCATACAGAATCTCAAATTGAGATAAACTTTGAATAGTCCATATGTTGATACCAAATTCTACTGAGAGAATAAGAGATGTCATTCTTTATATTCATTCACACACTAGGTACTATGTGGTGTGTTTATCAGAATCCTATTACCGGTATTGCCAAACACCTTGGAACTGGGAACCAGAGCTTTCACCCGAGACAGTATGTGTGTGTGTGTGTTTTTTTTTTTTTTTTTCTTTAAAATATTTTGGTATTTTAAATTGTGAAGGAGATAATCAAGAGCTCAATGATAACAGATCTTGAAAATGTTTTTAAAACAATTATCTTTGCCTCACTTAGGGCAAAGTTGTGCTCCAGGCATGAAAACGACCAACCGGAAACATGCATTACATGAGGTTTCTGTAAGACTTTTAGTAAAATTGGTTTTTACAGATAGTATAGGTTGTTTTCACCATTTATTAAACAATGTCATTTATAATCTACAAACAGATTTATCACAAAGACAATACAATAGTAGGCAGTAAGATCTCACTTACTTGTACAGACAAGAGAGACGATTTCCCATCACCCTCTGGAGGAAGAAACTCATCAAATACCATGTCTGAAATGTAACAACTCCTCGTCACACAAATGTCAATCACTATTGTTGATTTCACTCTGTTATGTTGTATCATTCAGATTACATGGTTCTATCAAGTCTTGGAATAGAAAATTATGGTATTAAAAAGATCAAATGTAAACAGGATTCTGTCAATGTTGATACAATATATCAATGAAATAAGAAATCAAGATTTTACAAGTTGTAATGGAGAAATTTCAGGAAATTACATTTTTCCCGGTCAAATAATATTTGTATTCAACTGAGTTTACTGTACTTAGACATCATTTATAGGACTTGTAAGTATGTATTTATATAAATTTACACCCTTCTCATCATCACAATTGTCAGATCTCTCCTTAGACTATTAAAATTTAAGCAGATTTCACTGAATTTTGTTGTTTTATAAACACAATTCTTTTTGCTCCATTTTTTCTGTATGAAAGCAGAACTCAATTTTCACATTAGAACATAAAACAACACTCAGTTTGTTTCTTATGACATGAAAACCCCAAAGCCATATAACCCCAAATGTTGTACTGTAGTTATCCTACAAAAGTCCCAAGGGGCCTGTACACAAAACCTCTGATGTAAAGTAACATATGGGCTTATTACGAGAATATGACACACAGTAGTATTTGTTGTTTTTCCAGTAAATCTGTAACATAGATGGACTTATCAACAGACATGGGTGTATATTGTCTGATATACACAGTAAACCAGGAATGGGTGTATTGTCCGATATATACAGTAAATATAGATGGACTTATCACCAGGAATAGGTGTACTGCAGCAATTTGCCTGATATATAGTGTATCACAAACTTACTTGTACATGATATGTCGACGTATTCCATAAAAGTATCTCTACTCAGCACACCAAACTTCTTCATGTGCATACGTACTTTATCAGGAGTATCCATGTCAGGAGTTTTCAACTCCATCAATTGTTTCTAATAAAATACACAATCAAAATAAACAAAAACAGTTTCTATGCTTTATAACTTTATACATTCAACATTTGTCAATCTATGGTATGAACAAATTTACATTGAAAAAAGTTGTAAAAATTGAAAATTTGGAGGAGATATGTGGAAGGTTTTAAATAAATTATCCTTTCCTTTATTTGTTGCTTTAGTTTTTCAACAACTAGTAGCAGGCACTATGAAACAATTACACAGTATCTAATACATATTTTCAATGTATACTGGCCTTACCATGTAACTGGGAGTTCCCTTTCTTCTTCTGTACTTTCTTCCTCTTGGATCAAAATGTTTGTTGCTAGCAAATCTAACAGGTTGTTGGATGACATTCCAGCCATATCCACTAGTACCAACAAAAATCTTCTGAAAACTCTGAAATATTTCAAAATAAATTATTTTTGTAAAATATATGCATATACTTAAAATTCATATGGTTATCATGAAATAATCTCAGAAGCTAGAAATTACCTCAAAGTAGAGGCATGGGCTTATTACTGGACAACAGTCTGTGTTGACATATGTCCTAACAAGAATACCATGGGGCTGAATGATATACATGTACACCTTTCCCATGCCAAAAAATTAGTCAGTGTTTGTTTTATGGAAAAAAGTACTAATATTGAAATGGTAATGATAAATCAAAATGTCAGGTGGGAAAACAGCGCTAATGCTTTAATGATTCAAAGAACAGCATACAAAATGTCAGGTGGGAAAACAGTGTGAATGTTTTAATGGTTAAAATAACAGCATACAAGCTGTCAGGTGGGAAAACAGCGCTAATGTTTTAATGATTCAAATAACAGTATACAAAGTTTTAGGAGATCGATGTAAAACTGAAAGAAATCTCTGAACAAGATAATAAAAGGTCTAAGGGCCTTAAAGGATGTTTCTCGAAGTCATTTTAAAGGCAAAGTGGGTACTTTGGGGTATCCCAGTTTAATACCATACTACACTGATACCACTGGTAACCTATTTTCGTGTCTTCAAAGTAGCCACTGCCACTTGGGCAAAATTTCAATGAGCTATAAGGTCATGAGGACACTGAAACATCACTGGTGACCTTGTCAGGAAGATTTCTAATTGTAAGCAATAGTATTCTTACATTTTTAATGTGTTTTCAAACATGGATATATCTGACAATGAAATTTAACAATATGAATTACTATGAGATTAATTCCATGTCCATATAAGGCAATCAGAGCATGGATCACATGATGTTCTTCCAAGTAATTCAACAACTGAATACTACACCAGTTGGGGTAATGTAAAGACCTGATTTGTACAGTACAGTTGAAGTGATTTTGTACTCCACCAACTATGACAAGTGATGGGGATTACAGACAGCCTTCTTTTTATCTGGGCTTCATTGTGGGAAGATCTTTCACACAGCGATGATGAGCGGTGGGAATAAGCAATCTATTGTAGATAGTCTTCTATTTACCTAGCACCATGGCCTCACTTCTTGTTTTACTGTAGGGGTTCCCAGTTTATGTTTGGACACTTGAAGTCACCAGCTAGTATAGTGTCGTTCGGTATTTTTACAATGTTTAATTGGCATGGAAAGAAGGCATTTGAGTTATTGGAAAACCCAACGAATTTAATGGTTTAATTTAATAGTCTGTCAGCCAAAATCAAACAGCAAATGTTTAAAAGCTCTCATATTTTTTTTAGGTAATGTAACTGTCCCTACAGACGATATTGATCATGATCCAAAAGAAACTGGGCCAACTTTGGAAGGGCAGTCCAGCTGTGGAGGATTAAAAAATGAAGAACTGTCTTCTCTGTTAGTAAAATGAATAAATAAAAAATATAGACAAAGGTTAACATTATGTCTTTATTTATCATTCAGAAAAATGACCCCTACTTTTTGGGCTAGATGGGCCCAAAGACCCATGTAAATGCAAAATCATCTGAAGCTCTGATATATGCCGTCACATTTTCAGCACATGTTGGTAAACATAATGGTGGTCTCCTTCTCGTTGGTGACATTCGTGGGTCAAGTAAACTAACAGTAACGGGAAACGGACAATTAGGGCACGTCCCCGTTTCTGGATAACAATATTCGAGACAATTGTCCAAATGCAAAATTGTACCCATTCTGTTGTTCTGTTTGATTGCAAAGAAACGTAGTCAAATTGCCGTAAATTTCTGTTGTGTTTTTAAACAGCCTATATACGAGTTAAACAATATCGCAAATATTATTCACACTAAAAAATATTCTTATACATTACCAAATAACTTACGTGAAATTTGACAGTGTGTCGCACAAGGTTGACCAAGGAGGCTGACATTTTTAATAACGTTCCGATTTGGTAAATGCAGAAACGTTCCGAACGGACGGTTTTAATCATTGCACTGTAAGAGCTTGACAATGTAGCAGCTCAGTACATTGCTTACAAATGTTTTGTTGGCCATTTTGAGATCCCGTTTCCGTGCACATGACGAGAGTTTATAACGCGAATGCTATATATCTAAAAATAGATTTCAATTCTTTTCTTTCAAGGCGACATAGTAGAAGGAAGTTGGAAGGTAACTGCGGAAAACCGGACCTATATTTACTGGTAAAGACCAATTTGATATTGCAATATTATGTTAACTACCTCGTACAGTAGTGCGCTAACAAATATATATATAAATATTCATATGATTTAAAATTTTGATCTTAGTCAGCATGGTTCTGATTATCACGTGTTAAAACCCACGCATCCATACCGTATTAACTTTCAACGAATTTTGTTTGATACTTAGCTATCAAAAACGCTTGAATTCGGCTTATTTATATTTGTTTTTGTCGCCTTTATCATTATATTCTGTTTATAATTGACATGTTCTAGACTGTGTACATGTTTCCTGGAACTCTTTCTCAGGTACATTTCACAACACAAAGATGACTCATGTTACAATTACTGAAGTGTATACCCTGAAGACAATTGTAAAAATAAGGCTTTGCTTTCCTGTTGGAATTGAAAATAGTTTATATTTCGAACTTGAACCCCATGCGCCAATTTGCTGTACTGGGGCTGAGACTGAAAACTGTTACGTTCTTCAGTATTATTGTTGTAATGTGTTGGCATCCGTATGTTCAAATTTACAACAGTTTTTCATTCTTCCATGTTTAAGAGCATTGCACAACAATTCACTGCTTCTGTTTATAGTAAGTCTTGGAGAAACTGTCTTAGATCTGTGTATGGCCTGCAATCAATTTTAAGCTCAGAAGAGCTGGATGTTCTCATTGATTATTATTAGATAACTAATAAATAAGTAATATTGAAATGCAATTTGTCAGGCAACTATAAGGTCTGTGCTAAGAATATGAGTGTCAGTGTTTTTGTTATTAATAGGAATTTGATTATTAACTATTTTCTCATTTCAGAATTTTTATGAGTCAGAAGGCAGAAAAACCCTCACTGTCAGGCCAACGTCTGAAAACGCGGAAAAGGGGTAAGTCCAAGGGAGACTAAACATGAAAATCAGAAGTCTGTTTGTTTAGTATTTGTCTGAACCAATTATATGTAACTATATGGTTGGAGCCTGGTGTTCCATAATTAACAGTAAACCATTTATCAGGACCCAGGAGCCCTGGCAAATATCCAGTTAAGGTCATAATGTAGATGATAAAATAGTTACTAGAGTGTACGTGATACCTGCTTGACCTTGTAACAAATTCATGTGGAAAATAGTCTGAGAAATTAATTTTACAATGTAACATTGATTAGATGGTTTCCAATCAGGGCCAATCATTTAACCATATTATTCTCAAAAAAGCATTTCACTTGCTGAAAACTTCAGAGATTTTGAGAATGTGGGCCCTCCTCCAAAAACGGTGATGCTGGGCAAATGGGAAGTAGGTACAAAGTTTATACAATGTTATGCAAAATAGGAACAGATCCAGACCAAATTTTCAGATTTAGATCTACAATTATTGCTGAAATATTTATTTTACAGTGAAAACAGTATTTCAAATACCATGGACCATTATATTTAGATTAAAAAACTTCCTGAAAGATGTTGTTTCATTTCTCTATTTTTACATATTTTTTGGTTATCTCTGACAAAGTTTGAATGAGATGCACATGTTGACCTCAGCTGTCCCCTGGTAGGCAGGGCCAAAATAGGTCAAATTGACAGAAATTTCAAAATATTATTCTCAATATCCAGATAATGTAGAACCAAATACTCTTCATGGATAGAAAGTGTCTTACAGTGCTTTCTTAAAATTCTGAATTTCATGACACCAGGTTCTTGCATTTCCTTATGGAGAGGGGGTAAAGCTTAATATACATACATAAGAATATAACATTTTTGAACATAGTTTGTTTCTTTTCTTTCAGAAATAGATCAAATTTGGTTAGAATCATTAGTTTAAGATGACAGTTTAATTAGATGCACATACTGACAACCAATAGTCATAGATGCTAATATCTGGTACATTATATGGGTTCAATGAGAACAAAAAACTTAAATTTTATTTTCAGTAAATCCTAACTTAAAATAAAACAGCAACTTTTATTGTTTATTGTTATTTCGAAGTAAAGCATGGTTAATAACTTCAACTTATCAAAAGAACTAATTAGATATAAATTAATATCCTCTTGATCTTTATTTCTGACAAATTTTGTAACATGCACGGTAGCATGTTGAGTCAAAAATGTCATTCACACACTTTTCTCTGCCAAAAGAATTTTCAAAAAAGAATGGAGTTGTTGGAATTGCAGATTCATGAATAGAAAACATATCCAATAAATTAAACAGATCAACCATTTTAAGTCTGTCATCATAAGAGGTAAATAATAATTGTCATCACTATTTCATGAGAAGAACTAAATGTTTCTTTTTCAAATTTCATATGATGGTTCCCTTTGATTCCTAGTTGTGCCCATGTCATTTTGGGATTTATCAGAAAAACAATATCACTGATAGGCAACCATCTTGGATTTTGACTAAAAGTTCCTTATCACTGTTTCTTCATTAGAACTGGATCAATCTTCATACGTAGGTTTCTTTGTCTTTAGTAGGACTAGTTTAATTTTGAGACTGATCAGAAAAACCAAATGACTGACAGGTTGTCATCATAGATTTTGATAGTTGAATATTGTTATTTCATGAGAAGCACTGTGTGGATCATTCTCTAATCTCATATAAAGATTCCTTTCAGTCTGTAGTTGTGCCCTTTTGATTTTAAGACTGATCAGGAAAACAAATTTTTGAAAACACATTTTAACAACCCTGTCTTCATTTTTATTTGCAGATGAAAAAGAAAAATACGATCCTACATCGTTTAGGGATGCCATTGTTCTTGGTCTCAATGAAACAGGTGCAGATCTAGAGCAGGTAAGTATCAGATTGTTGACAATTGTGGCTAAAATAAAGTAATAACATAGTAATTTCCGGAAGATTTTTCAAATCAAGTCCAGAACATCCAATTCCTAAATTCTGATAAGTCCCAATATTAAGAGATATAGCGGATTCTCCAAGTTTCAGCAAGTCCCACAGGAAAAACAAGAAAGAGGATTATGATATCAGCCAAGATATAAGTGGCCTGATGAATCTTTTCAAGGCACATGTGATAATTCTCTATATTTAATTAATCCAAACTTCATTTCATGAGAGTTCAAATCTGTTAGTTTAGCATCTTAAGTTTTGTGCCGGAAATGTGTTCACATAAACTTAATGATGGTAACATTGACATACCATGGATTGGTGTTATTGTCAAGAAGACAAAACAAACACAATTCATGGTAAATCTTGTTGAATTATTTCCTTATTGTATTTTTTGAGAAAATCTTTTTTGTTTGGACATTTATCCTGATACACACAAAATGCTCAGGAAGTTTTGCCAGTAGGTCTGAAGACTGAAAGGGTCAATCTATTGTTTAGGAGTCATGAGGTTTGAAAAGTAGAACAGTGACGATGTTAATATGTCCAGGTGTGACACTTGGCCCGTGTTCATATGTCTGTCTTTGATTACCTACGATTTACCCGTGGTTGATTTCATGATAATCGCCATAATGAAGTGATATTCATTGTTGCCATATAAGTGACATCAGATGTAAGATTACATATCATATTTAGAAATAAAAAATTGATGTTTCAAGAAAACATGATATTTTACAAAATACTATAATTTGTAAAGTTATTAACTAACATTCTTAAAGATTTAGGCTGATGTTGAATGTCATTGAAGGTTTCAAAGTATTTGGACATCACTGGAGCGAAATTAAACTACAGACGGTATGCAGAGGAGCTTTTTGACATTCTGTTTGCTGGAGGACTCTTAGGTGAGATATTATCCACTGATACGGCAATTAATTACTACATTATTTCATGTCCAGATTTCTTAACTTCTATACCAAACTTTCGATTTTGTACCCATATATCAATTTGTGACTGAGAAATATTATCTTCTCATCAACAATCTGGTGAGAAGTTTTTAGGCCATCTTTGTCTATTGGCTATTCCTATTGCCCTACATTCATGGTCTGTCATACATCATCCATCTTTAAACAGATGTTATAACAGCTGTTTCATGAGAAGTGTTGCATGAATACTCCTCAAACTTAATACGAAGTTTCCCCTTGATTATTTTATTTTGATTTTTAGACTAATTAGAAAAGGAAAATGGCTGACAGGTCACAATCTTGGATTTTGATAATGACAATTTGTTATGGCTATTTCTTATGAAATTGCTTATACATGTTCCCCATGGTCCCTTGTTATGCTTTTTTGGTTTTCAAACTTCAAAAAGAAAACAATGATGTTTGTTATGGCAATTTCTCAAGAAGATCTGAATGGGACTTTCAAACATTTCGTGTCTAGATTCCCCTTGGTCCCTAGTTGTAAACTAAAATTTAATGAAAATATGTTTGGTGTTTTACCGAGTATAAGCCAGTGGGGCTATTGGACTTCATGGTGACAAAAATGAGAACTTGGTAGATAAATATGTTGTGTATCAATGTAGTGGCTCAGTAGATTTGATATCTTAACTGGTCATATGTTTGATCGTTGAGTTTATAGATATACATGTCACACATTTTTGTTGCACAGCCCCTGGAGGAACCATAATAGAAGATAAAGACCCGGACTCAACAAAGGCTACACGAACCAATGTTTGTGTTTTCTGTTGTGACGAAGACACCAAATCACTCAAGGCCTTCTATGAAGTAAGTGTACATGACAGAGAGACTTCAGTAGCATTTTGTAGCATTTCTCATAATTGGTTCCAATTTTGTTTCGTGAAAAATACAGACCCATTTGATCTATCATATAGATGTTTATATTAAGAGAAATTATTTCATTTCTTTAACCTAGGTTTTCAGCAAGTTACTCCGCAGGTACAAGTACCTGGAGAGATCCTTTGAAGAGACTCTCAAGAAGGTAAGTCTGCAGGTGTCTGACTTTCGGAGAGAAATGTATGAGCATGACTTCTGTGGAAGGAAAGAGTTTAATATAAGTACAGATAGAAGTTATGATAAATTTGTGGTATACTATCACTTCAAACAATTTAAAAAGAAAGTGATATTCTAAGATTCTGTATTGAAACAATCTAATGGTATCCCCACATGTAACAGTACAATAAGGCTATGTCATAGCCAGTAATGTATAATGAAGCTAAGCCAGAGCTGTAATTAGTGGTGGGACATTGATTAGATACAATTGCTTATCTAATTGTGTAACCTCATCTGATGCAATAGTCAATTTCAATTTTTCATAATCAACCGTTGGTAATTGTTTGTGTTTTAGCCAAAAACAATTCATATTATGCATGATAAAGATGCCAATTGCTAATGTTATCATTCTTTTTTATAAGAAGTAAGTGAGGTGTTTATGTCAAAGTGACAAAAAAGAAAATATTATTGCCATAGAGAATGCATTTACTTTCTAGGAGTATGGAACGCACATCCAGCCAATCATGCAATTGATTTCTCATCACTTGCTGTAATGTATTATAATGAAGCCACGTCATGGCCAACACTGTTCACTTGGGTAGTGTTATGGGTAGAACTGTAGAATGAAAACAAGTGATTTATGGCCATGCATCTAGATACTTTTACAATAAGTAGCATACCTTCTCTGAAATAATGAAAATGATAAAGAAATGGCAGGTTCAATGTCTCCATAGTGATTTAAATCTTCACTGTGGTATACCTGGATTTATTTTGCTTTGGCAGATTTTGATGTTCACAAGAGGATTCAAAAATGAAGAAAAGACAAAATTGGCAAAGATCACAGGCATCATACTGGCAAATGGTTTCTGCACACCAAAATGCTTACAGGGACTGTTTGAAGATAATTTGGTTAAGGAAGGTGAGATCTCATATCAAGGATTTGCTCTAGTGAAAAGTAAAAATTTTCTGATGGCTGATTTTCTAACGAAACATGGTTGATTTAGTTCAACCATCAATTTGAAAAAAAATTCCAGTACATTTGATACATAGTAGACTTAGAAAGTTTGACACCTGTATCCTCCAGTACACTTGATATATAGTAGACTTAGAAGGTTTTACACCTGTATCCTCCAGTACACCTGATAGATAGTAGACATAGAAAGTTTGACACCTGTATCTTCCAGTACACTTGATATATAGTAGACTTAGAAGGTTTTACATCTGTATCCTCCAGTACACTCGATACATAGTAGACTTAGAAGGTTTGACACCTGTATCCTCCAGTACACCTGATAGATAGTAGACTTAGAAATTTTGACACCTGCAGTACACCAGATACATAGTAGACTTAGAAGGTTTGACACCTGTATTTGTTTGCAACAACCTATTTTGTGTTATAATGTATGGTAATATTGGTGAGATCTTTGATTTGATGCAGGAGTTAAGATAAGTATCTTCTGTATAACATAGGTATTCCGTCTTTTGCTGCTGCCACGGGCTACCATTTTGGTGATGCCTTGATCTTGTCACGTTTTCCTGCTGTCTGCTAGCTTAGTTTTTATTACATTTGTTGTCTGCCAGTCATAGGGCAGCATATGTCGCAAATATTGGTATTTTCCTTGATGAAAATGAAACAAACCATATTGTATGCTACAGAGATGATTTTAATAAATCAGAATAATTTGACAGTATTTTATTCTTAATTAATTTCTTGTTTATGTGACTTTATTTTGCTTTGCTGTTAGAGTTATCTCCCTGAGACCTCAATTCATAAACATCACCAGAGCAGATCCTTACAACCATGTTCTATTTTCTATATAGTTTTTCCACATAGTGATAATGCATGTAAGAAATCAGGAATTTCTCTAATTGAATCATTTATTACGTAAACCTCAGAACTGACAAACCTCTTAGAGCAGGCCAGGAGAATTTACGATGATGGTCTTCTGAGACGAGCCTTAGTGTGATCTATTGGGATCACCTGTTGTGCACTGCTATGCAGCATGCATTGTTAGTTATTACAATTGAAAGTATTTTTCTTTTTCTGAATAACCCTGCTTCAATATTTTACTGAAAATTTACAAAATTTTCAAAAATAAACAATGGCCAAAAGGTGAACCAAAGTTGTGGATTACTTGATCCTTACACTCCAGGGGCCAAAGGGAACAGGACCAGTTCAAGCTGATTCAAATTCTGTTTTTGGATTAGAGGTTTTTCATGTGCTTTACCAAAATTGTGAATTGCATTTCCCTTTGGACCGAGGCATACAGTTTACTATAGTGTAGGAAAATTAGATTATATTCCTTTAGTAGTATCTATTATAAATGTAATTAAGCTGAGTAGTATCTGTTATAAATATAATTAAGCTGAGTAGTATCTATTATGATTGTAATTAAGTGGAGTAGTATCTATTATAAATGTAATTAAGCTGAGTAGTATCTATTATAATTGTAATTAAGCGGAGTAGTATCTATTATAATTGTAATTAAGTGGAGTAGTATCTATTATAAATGTAATTAAGCTGAGTAGTATCTATTATAATTGTAATTAAGTGGAGTAGTATCTATTATAAATGTAATTAAGCTGAGTAGTATCTATTATAATTGTAATTAAGTGGAGTAGTATCTATTATAATTGTAATTAAGTGGAGTAGTATCTATTATAATTGTAATTAAGTGGAGTAGTATCTATTATAATTGTAATTAAGTGGAGTAGTATCTATTATAATTGTAATTAAGTGGAGTAGTATCTATTATAATTGTAATTAAGTGGAGTAGTATCTATTATAATTGTAATTAAGTGGAGTAGTATCTATTATAATTGTAATTAAGTGGAGTAGTATCTATTATAAATGTAATTAAGCTGAGTAGTATCTATTATAATTGTAATTAAGTGGAGTAGTATCTATTATAATTGTAATTAAGTGGAGTAGTATCTATTATAATTGTAATTAAGTGGAGTAGTATCTATTATAATTGTAATTAAGCTGAGTAGTATCTATTATAATTGTAATTAAGTGGAGTAGTATCTATTATAATTGTAATTAAGCTGAGTAGTATCTATTATAAATGTAATTCAGCTGAATAGTATCTATTAAGAAACACTTCGTGGGGATATCAGAGTAAATAGGTTTTGATAAAAGTGGTTTATACTGAAAAACAAACCAATGTTAAACCACAAGGCCAACATGGAAAAACCATATAAACAAGCTGCGTACTTGGCACAGAGTGTTTACAGGTTAACTGCGATGTCGAGCATGCTGTTACTTTGTGTGAAGTTATATCACAGGTAGAATGTGGGTGTGTAATCGTTTGACAACACTTGTAAACGGATGCATGTTCAGACCAAATCTTCTGGTCCATTACACAACACTTGTTGAGAAGAATAGGTGTAAACTGTTCCTAGGCTTTAGACATGAATTCACCACCAAACTTGTGATTTAAGGGATGCTTAGTGGTGAACATCGCTTGAAGAATTTTTTTATTGGGATCCACATATTTAGAGATCCATTCCCAAAGCTTAATTTTACCCTCCAGTTCTGTAATGTCAGGTGATCTCTGTAAGGAAAGAAAACAGTTGTAATATTTAATTTATTGTTGAAAAGCTAAAGAGACCTATGATTTTTCTGTGTGAAATCTTGAGAATCTTACAAAATCTGATTGACATATGTATCGTAATATATATATCTACAGATATAGAAATGTTTCACACACTTTCATTGATTCCACTTTTTTTCCTGTACAGGAATATCATTGGAATTCTCCACCTTGATGTTTAGAACATGGCTTGAAGAGAAAGACGTCAATGCGGTCTTTGCCGCTCTAAAAAAGTCGCAAATGGACCTAAGGTTGCTGGTAAGTATTTATTAGAGAAGAGAATTCCTTTGACAAGGTCCCAAGTCAAAACAAAATAAAATAGTAAATAACTTATCATATATGAAGCTCTATTAGAATGTTCTGGTATCTGCCTATGATACCTCTACCAATATATCTACCAACCAGTGCCATACACAGGACATTGGACTCCTCTAAAGACATATCTACCAACCAGTGCCATACACAGGGCATTGGACTCCTCTACAGACATATCTACCAACCAGCACCACACACAGGATATTGGACTCCTCTAAAGACATATCTACCAACCAGCACCACACACAGGATATTGGACTCCTCTACCGACATATCTACCAACCAGTGCCATACACAGGGCATTGGACTCCTCTACAGACATATCTACCAACCAGCACCACACACAGGACTTTGGACTCCTCTACCGACATATCTACCAACCAGCACCACACACAGGACTTTGGACTCCTCTACCGACATATCTACCAACCAGTACCACACACAGGACATTGGACTCTTTTACCGACATATCTACCAACCAGTACCACACACAGGACTTTGGCCTCCTCTACCGACATCTACCAACCAGCAGCATCACACACAGGACATTGGACACCTCTACCGACATATCTACCAACCAGTACCACACACAGGACTTTGGACTCCTCTACCGACATATCTACCAACCAGCACCACACACAGGACATTGGACTCCTCTACCGACATATCTACCAACCAGCACCACTCACAGGACTTTGGACTCCTCTACCGACATATCTACCAACCAGCAGCATCACACACAGGACATTGGACTCCTCTACCGACATATCTACCAACCAGCACCACACACAGGACTTTGGACTCCTCTACCGACATATCTACCAACCAGCACCACACACAGGACTTTGGACTCCTCTACCGACATATCTACCAACCAGCACCACACACAGGACTTTGGACTCCTCTACCGACATATCTACCAACCAGCAGCACCACACACAGGACTTTGGACTCCTCTACCGACATATCTACCAACCAGCACCACACACAGGACTTTGGACTCCTCTACTGACATATCTACCAACCAGCAGCATCACACACAGGACATTGGACTCCTCTACCGACATATCTACCAACCAGCACCACACACAGGACATTGGACTCCTCTACCGACATATCTACCAACCAGCAGCACCACACACAGGACTTTGGACTCCTCTACCGACATATCTACCAACCAGCACCACACACAGGACTTTGGACTCCTCTACTGACATATCTACCAACCAGCACCACACACAGGACATTGGACTCCTCTACCGACATATCTACCAACCAGCAGCACCACACACAGGACTTTGGCCTCCTCTACCGACATATCTACCAACCAGCACCACACACAGGACTTTGGCCTCCTCTACCGACATATCTACCAACAACCAGCAGCACCACACACAGGACATTGGACTCCTCTACTGACATAACTACCAACCAGCACCACACACAGGACATTGGACTCCTCTACCGACATATCTACCAACAACCAGCACCACCACACACAGGACATTGGACTCCTCTACCGACATATCTACCAACCAGCAGCATCACACACAGGACATTGGACTCCTCTACCGACATATCTACCAACCAGCACCACACACAGGACTTTGGACTCCTCTACTGACATATCTACCAACCAGCAGCATCACACACAGGACATTGGACTCCTCTACCGACATATCTACCAACCAGCACCACACAAAGGATATTGGACTCCTCTACCGACATATCTACCAACCAGCACCACACACAGGACATTGGACTCCTCTACCGACATATCTACCAACCAGCACCACACACAGGACTTTGGCCTCCTCTACCGACATATCTACCAACCAGCAGCACCACACACAGGACATTGGACTCCTCTACCGACATATCTACCAACCAGCACCACACACAGGACTTTGGACTCCTCTACTGACATATCTACCAACCAGCAGCATCACACACAGGACATTGGACTCCTCTACCGACATATCTACCAACCAGCACCACACAAAGGATATTGGACTCCTCTACCGACATATCTACCAACCAGCACCACACACAGGACATTGGACTCCTCTACCGACATATCTACCAACCAGCACCACACACAGGACTTTGGCCTCCTCTACCGACATATCTACCAACCATCAGCACCACACACAGGACTTTGGCCTCCTCTACCGACATATCTACCAACCAGCACCACACACAGGACATTGGACTCCTCTACTGACATAACTACCAACCAGCACCACACACAGGACATTGGACTCCTCTACCGACATATCTACCAACAACCAGCAGCACCACACACAGGACATTGGACTCCTCTACTGACATAACTACCAACCAGCACCACACACAGGACATTGGACTCCTCTACCGACATATCTACCAACAACCAGCACCACCACACACAGGACATTGGACTCCTCTACCGACATATCTACCAACCAGCAGCATCACACACAGGACATTGGACTCCTCTACCGACATATCTACCAACCAGCACCACACAAAGGATATTGGACTCTCTCTACCGACATATCTACCAACCAGCACCACACACAGGACATTGGACTCCTCTACCGACATATCTACCAACAACCAGCACCTCCACACACAGGACATTGGACTCCTCTACCGACATATCTACCAACAACCAGCATCACACACAGGACTTTGGACTCCTCTACCGACATATCTACCAACCAGCACCACACACAGGACTTTGGACTCCTCTACTGACATAACTACCAACCAGCACCACACACAGGACTTTGGCCTCCTCTACCGACATATCTACCAACCAGCACCACACAAAGGATATTGGACTCTCTCTACCGACATAACTACCAACCAGCACCACACACAGGACTTTGGCCTCCTCTACCGACATATCTACCAACCAGCACCACACACAGGACTTTGGCCTCCTCTACCGACATATCTACCAACCAGCAGCACCACACACAGGACTTTGGCCTCCTCTACCGACATATCTACCAACCAGCAGCACCACACACAGGACTTTGGCCTCCTCCATCATTTATGTTATCCTTCCACTAATATAAAATAATTTTTAATATTCTCTTTTGTTTGCATAACTGGAGGTAAAACAAAATTATAACTTGTGCATTTCATGAAAATTTGTTTGTGTAATATCTGACTTGTAAATAAAGTTACACTTAACGCTCTTTGATGATCAGTATGAAGCAGTGAAAGAATAAATGTTGTGCACAAGTTGTATTCTATTCATTAAGCGAACAGATAAATAGCTTCGCTTTTCTACAGACAAATAATTACTGACCATATGCCATTGTACATCTTTGGATTCTCCAATCCCTTCCTTAGTATATATCTTAAATGCCTTCTTCATTACTGCCTTTGTTTCTAAATGAAGAGTGCAGCTGCAGATTATGTAACCGACTACCATTCGAAGTCGAGTTTCAGATTTTGTAACAGTCTACCATTTAAAGCAGAGTTTCAGAGTTTGTAACAGGCTATCATGAAAAGTGTAGTTTCAGATTTTGTAACAGACTACCATTGAGAATGGAGTTTCAGATTTTGTAACAGACTACCATTGAGAATGGAGTTTCAGATTTTGTAACAGACTACCATTGAGAATGGAGTTTCAGATTTTGTAACGGACTACCATTGAGAATGGAGTTTCAGATTTTGTAACAGACTACCATTGAGAATGTGGTTTCAGATTTTGTAACAGACTACCATTGAGAATGGAGTTTCAGATTTTGTAACAGACTACCATTGAGAATGTAGTTTCAGATTTTGTAACAGACTACCATTGAGAATGTAGTTTCAGATTTTGTAACAGACTACCATTGAGAATGGAGTTTCAGATTTTGTAACAGACTACCATTGAGAATGGAGTTTCAGATTTTGTAACAGACTACCATTGAGAATGGAGTTTCAGATTTTTGTAACAGACTACCATTGAGAATGGAGTTTCAGATTTTGTAACAGACTACCATTGAGAATGGAGTTTCAGATTTTGTAACAGACTACCATTGAGAATGGAGTTTCAGATTTTGTAACAGACTACCATTGAGAATGGAGTTTCAGATTTTGTAACAGACTACCATTAAAGGCGGAGTTTCAGATTTTGTAATGGACTTGTCTACATTTATTAAACAGGAGTTTTACCCACTGAACAAGAGAAGCTATGATGCGTTTGTTGCACACTTTGAGAAGGAAGGCTTACCCCAAATGGCAAACATTCTGGTAAGGTTTTTGACTCTGGATTTTGATTTTGACAAAGAATTTGTTTCACTGAATTTTGAAAATATTTGAATCAGTTTAAACTCTTACCAAGATGTTGCAGCACAACATGCACATAAAAAAATAACTTCTGAATAATGAATGTGAGTGTGTCAATAGTAAAATATTGAAACATCTTCAGATTAATTACACTGATCAGTGAAATGAATGCATTTATTGGATTTTTGGGAAAACAGGCTGACGAGAGTAATATGTGAAAATATGTTCGATATTTAATTTTGTTGCTTTGAAAACTGACTGTAAGTTGGAAGAAGTGTTCAGTCACAAAAATAAAAACGTGATTTCTATTTTTATAGAGAGCTCAGAAGAATCAGGAAAACAGAAAGTATTTACAGAAAGAACTCGGAGAGATGGTGAAGTCTGAGGAATCTCCTAATGAGGTTTGTGTTTAGCAGTGTTCGGACAAAGGTGTTTGGTCATACTAAGGGGGCATGCAGTGTACCAAATTCAGGGCCATCAACCCCTCAGGTACAGAATTATTGCCCTTTGCTGAATTTTTTGTGTCCTGAGCTTTGCTTGCATTTAAACTAGGATAATGAAACTTTGTGTATACATTGATCATACTATGACAATGTGCAATGTACCAAATTCAGGACCTGCAACCCCTTAATTACAGAGTTATTGCCCTTTGTTTTAAATATGCTTCCAGAGTTGAATTGCTTGCATTTAAACTGGGATAATGAAACTTGGTGTATACTTTGATCATATAAAGCATCATTATGCCTCAACTAAAGCACATTAAATAGTATTCTGTTCAGCCTGTATAAATTCATGAAGTACAAAGATCAGATCTTTTAAGTCATATTATCCACAAGCAGAAATTGACAGGATGTTAAATGAATTTTAATTTTATTTGCAGATAAAAGCTTTCCTCTTGGAACAGATGCAGAAAAATGGCCTAGGCGAACAAGAAACTACCATTCTGGTATGTAGCTATTTATATCTTTGGTTTTCCTTTGAAGGGAAACTGGAAGACAAAATAGAGGCTTTTAAATAGGATATTGATGCGAAAAAAACTCCAATTTTATAAAATATCTAATAAGAGGAAGAATATGTAGCACTGATTCATACAAGTAGTTGGTAACTCACAATTGAATTTCTTTTTGTTGGTGGTCCTCCTGTTTCTCTATCAATTCTGCTGACCCTATCAGAACTTTGTGATGAGCTAGTATGGTGCACTGTCACCATGGCCACATTTTGAGATTGTGTATTCAGGTTAGACTTCAAAACCTCCGAACGTATTGGTGTCAACTTCTTATTTGGGTTTTGTACTTATTCTACAAGGTCTGGAATACGATAATGGATTGTGTAGAGTGGAACAAGAAAGAGGAACTAGTGGCTGAACAAGCTCTACGCCACCTCAAAGCCAACGGACAACTTCTGTCAGCCATTGCCAAGACACCCAAGTCAGAACTTGCTCTGCTTGTAAAAATCCAGGAGTATTGCTATGACAACATGGCCTTCATGAAGGTGTTCCAGAAGATTGTTGTTATCTTGTACAAAAGTAAGTCCAATTCTTCAATTCCTTTTAATATATGCACGGCGTGTCTGTCTGTCTGTCCGTCCTTCCACAATTGCATTCCGCTCATTATCTCAAGAACAACATCACCGGCGATCACCATTTTCGCTTGGCATGTTGGGTCTATGGACCTACACAACCCTATTGTTTTTTGTCATTGCCCGATATCCAATATGGCGGTTAGGGCCGCCATCTTGAATTTGCATTCCTCTCATTATCTCAAGAACAACATCATCAGCAATCACCATTTTCACTGGGCATTTTGGGCCCATGGACCTACACAGCCTATTGAGGTTCTTCACAATCTCAGCCCTGCACCCAACTATATAATAAGGCTGTGGGGTATTGCCCGCGTTTGCGGAGCTATTTTTTAAATTCATATTAATTGCTCAGCCAAAGAAAAGGCTTTGGTAATTGCAAGTCTGTTGTTTTTGAATTGGATACGATATCCAAAACTGATTGTAGATTCTTTTTATTCCTTGTCTATTTCATTTGAAGGGGAGGGTGTGATGATGGACATATCATGTCTGTCCACTCCACTGTGGTTGTCTAGTACTGTTGGGTTGGACCCATAGATAATTACCTTTCTTAAATGTATATATATGATGCTACCTATTCGACCAAGCTTCATTTCCTTGATCGATGGTTAAATAGTAAGGTGAGACCTATCTGGTTTTTCCTTGGGTGCTCCATCCCTTGCTTGCTTCTATCCAGGCAAAACAAGGGTGGTAAGTGTAATTAGATACAATTTGTTTCATTTATTGTAATTAAGTTTATTTCTTAGATAAAATAAAAAGCAGCTGTAGCTCTGTTGGTGATTTGATGTAATATATGCCGTGCCCAAGTCAGCTGATATCTTAGTGTTTTATCTACAGTGGATGTCCTGAGTGAGGATGTAATACTGAAGTGGTACAAGGAGGCTCACTCCACCAAAGGAAAATCGGTCTTCCTGGAACAGATGGCCAAGTTTGTAGAGTGGCTGGAGAATGCAGAGGAAGGTAGGTCTATATTATGGCAGAACATAGTTGACTACAGAGCTGGTTGAAATACTTCAAGCTGTTCTAGTAAAACACCTATCTCACCCCAGAACTCCACATTTTTTAGGGGTATCAGCCATAGAATTAAATTCATATTTTGCTTAGAAGGCAGAAAACTAAACCATGGTTAGAAGCCATTTATTTTGGGAGTCACTCTATAATTCTTGTATATTTCATATGGCTGTTTACTGTTGACTTAATTTTATCATCAGAATGATCTTAATTCATCAAAACTATAGAACATTCATTTGCAATCTGACATTGCATAGCATGGCTGTTCTCAATCTTGCATATTCCTTCCTTAGCAGCTGCTGTCAGTCAGTAAATAGGCTCCTATTCAGCGCTAGTCACCCTTTAGCTGTTAAGAAGTAGGACAGGTGAAAAACATACACTTTACTTGTCAATATCTCAGCATTGGTGCATCCGATTTTGAAGCGGTTTGCAACCTTTTTGATTTGCGATCATAAACAATAATACCATATTCATTTTTATTTTCACTCATACTTAAACATTCTTTTATGATGGCCTTCGCATATTTTCGGAATGAAACAATTTTATTTCAGATGTCCAAAACAGTTGATGTAGAAGTTGGTAGGCATTTAACAGATGCTCTATTAAAGGGTTTTTTGTACTCTCTCATAGTAAAGGGGGTATATTGTTATCACTATATAGTTATAGTGTGTATGTCCGTTTGTCTATCTGTCCATCTGTAGCATAAGGCTTGTGTACAAATATCCCATGAACCTCTCTACATATGTAGTTCATATTTATACCTAGGATAACTCCATGATATTCTACACCTGATAAGGTATGGGTGGTCATTAGTCAGCATTATAGTGTCAAAGGTCTCAACTGACCGCTTCACTTCAGAGGATTAAAAGATAAGATGATGGGGTCTTTCCCCCCTGCGTTAGATTTACAAGAGATTTATGCTTTAAAGCTCATTACTGTGTATCATGTCAACATAATGACTCATCATAGATGTCCAGTAGACTGTCCATTGAACATTTATCTATCAAGTGTCAGCATCTCTTCAACTATAAATCACAGTCTGTGGTTGACTTATGGTTAATCTTCTATGTGTTGTGTTTTTCAGAATCTGAGGAAGATGAGGACTAGTCATGCATTTGACAATCACCAAACGATGTAGTACTGTTACTGGCACAATATTTTATCTGTAAAATCCCTTGTGTGTTTGTCAAAGCCTTCAGTTATCTCCCTTGAAAACAAAACGGTAGACATTTTGTACAGAATTGACGTTGGTAACTGTTTGACAAAGTCTAAATACAAATGTATATTAAAGAGATTTTTGCTCTGAAGTGAAATTATTTTGCCTAATACTATTGACAAAGCTCAGGGTTGAAATACAGACCATATTATCATCCTCTGACAATAAAGATGTTTTATAAGTCAATTTTTGAGTTTAATCTCAGATGATTTGCTGTAATAATTTGTCCATCTGAAAGTAGGTCAAGAACTACTTAACATGAGCGAATACAATGTGGAAGGCACTCAGATCAGTGATGAAAGATGACATGTATATATTGTACCCCAACTTTTTATGATATGTATTTTTCAGCAACATAGTAAAATTTCAAGCTATTATCATTTCCATTCTGTTTAAGAGTAACGTTATAACCAGTCCATCCAATTGAAATTTAAGCTTCATGTTGTTTACTTTAGATGTTTGCTCTGAATGTTGTGCATTTAAGACCTAATTTATTCTAATGTTGATGATCTGGTTTATCTGTCAAGCATTTACAAAATCTCTTTGTCCCAGTCAGTAACAATACAAATACTAAGGTAATTTTTGTTCATAATAAAAGTGTTGTTCTTTTGTTTTAATGTTGCCTATCAATACATTTTGTGGTTTGTGTATAAAAAGAACATCTGAACTTGTTTTGAGGAAATGGAGTCATGATCATCAGTTAAATAACTATTCTTGGATAAATGAAGAATCCAGTTTATCATTGTTCCATGTATAATGAAACTTTACTGAGAGGGTTGTATCTACTTGATCGTATCAGTTTCTCTTCACTCTTGATAGTAATAGCCTTCAGTGTTTACATTATGCTTTTGTTGTAGGAAGTATTATTTTTTTCCATTAAATTCAAAATTTGAATGCATATCATCTTCTGCCCCATCCTGATTTTTTGGTGTAATTATTGGTTTTGTACATGATAATGCAAACTATGTTGGGGTAGATGGCAGCAAGACACCAACTCAGACATTTCCAGGAAGTGTACAGTAACAAGAACGGTCTTACCAAGTTAGTTACAGTCCAAACCTGGCAATGTTTGTAATACCATTGAATGTACATTGATAATTTATTCTGATTCCTGATAGTTTTACACTAGGTTCAGTGTCTTTGTCTAAAAGTGTTCCTCCTGAAATCCTTTTTACCAATTTACATGCACAGACTTTGATAAGCTTTGAAAATGGGCATTAAAATTTGTAATTTCAGTTTCGTTGTAAAGTAGGAGTGGTCAGTCCAAAGATTCTGTATATAAAGCCAAGGACCCAGCAATAAGAAAGTGATTTGGGTTACTTGTACTTCATTTGTTGACAGCAACTACATGAACCTGCCTTTTGTAAGGATGGTCAAGTAAATAATAAACTTTAACAAAAATAAACAAGGCTGGTTTGTCTCTGTTGTGTACAGTGGAACCTCGTTAGATCAGGTAAATCAGGTAAAACAATCTCTCTCCACCCATCTCCAGGCACTTGTGTTTTGGACAGATTTTCATGCAACATTTCAGTCGTCTTTTTTCCTTTGTGAAACAGCAGCAAGACAAGAGAAGTTTGTTATGTAGGAGAATTAGATTTGTAAATCTCTGGATTAATAAGGTAGTAATATTGTGTCCTCATTTGAAAAATAAATGTTTTAGAGAAGAAAAAAAATGGCAAAAATCTGAATGATAGCTTTTGAATATTTGGCTTCACCACTTGCTGCAGACAATTAGATCTCGCTTCATGATCTCATTCGATCCAAATCCAACGTCTATGCAAGGGGAACATTAGGTACTACCATGACAAATGTATGTATGGGAGTGTATGTAATATTTTTGTAAATTTCTATGGATCCTTTCTATTAAAATATCAGTGTTAGAATTGAGAGAGTTTTTATTGTCATTTGATCAAGTACTGTTGAATGTAGGACAGACAGGTTCTGTACTGGCAAATTTTTAGTTTTATTTCACCTGAATTCAACTTCAACCAACTCTGGATGTAATCTCGATTAATTTCATTTGGAAGTCCAAACTTCAGTTGATGAAAGAATTTGAAAAAAAAAAGTGAACTGTCGACACAAATGTATGACTGCTATTGATGTTTATGGGACAATGGTAATTCGAGGTTTTCTTTTGAAGGAAGGCAATTTTTTAACCATTCCTAATTTTCTTAATTTTTTTTCACCAATTCCACAGTAAAACATACCAATTAAACTGTAATCGCTAAAGGAAGACGTAGGTATCACTTAGGTGAAAAAATAACTTACTGGCCGAAAGATTCATAAAAATCGAAACATGGCAAGTCAATTGACCAAAAAAGTTATCAAATATGTTAAATACCAAATCTAGTATGTCAGATATCTTAATCACAGGATCTTTAATTTCTGATTCTAATAAAGACCTATAATTCACGGATATCTAGTTTAGTAATGTCATGTCACTAGTTTTAAAGACACGATAATACGATAAGTGAAGACGGAAATAAAATAAAAGTAACAAAAGTTATATCAGACACGACCAGAGCCGATGTTAGCCATGTTGGGCGATGAAAATGTCCAGTTTATATTATCATAAATATGTAGGTGAAATTGACCTGTTCGGTTGATACTGGCGGATGCAGGGATGGGATTGGGCGGAAGGGAGGGGGAGTAGGACTTTGGGGCAGTGAGGACCGAGGGTGTCAGGATGTGAACTGAGGGTCGAGTTGGAAGGAAGGAGGGTGGAGAGAGGTGTGTTGATGGTCGGGAATGGGAAGCAGGTGTAGTGAGGGCCGGGGATATAAGGGTGTATAGCGAGGGTCGGAGGATGAAGAGGGGCATAGTGATGGTCGGGGGATGAGGGGAAGCATAGCGAGGGTTTTGGAATGAAGAGAGGCCTACCGAGAGTCGAGGGATGAAGGGAGGTATAGCGAGAGTCGAGGGATGAAGGGATGTATAGCGAGAGTCGAGGGATGAAGGGAGGTATAGCGAGGGTCGATGGATGAAGGGATATATAGCGAGAGTAGGGGGAATAAAGGGAGGTAAAGCGAGGGTCGAGGGATGAAGGGATGTTTAGCGAGAGTAGGGGGATGAAGGGAGGTATAGCGAGAGTAGGGAGATGAAGGGAGGTATAGCGAGGGTCGAGGGATGAAAGGAGGTTTAGCGAGAGTCGAGGGATGTATAGCGAGAGTAGGGGGATGAAGGGATGTATGGCGAGAGTAGAGGGATGAAGGAATGTATAGCGAGAGTAGGGGGATGAAGGGATGTATACCGAGAGTCGGGGGATAAAGGGAGGCATAGCGAGAGTCGAGGGATGAAAGGAGGTTTTGCGAGAGTCGAGGGATGTATAGCGAGAGTAGGGGGATGAAGGGATGTATGGCGAGAGTAGAGGGATGAAGGAATATATAGCGAGAGCAGGGGGGTGAAGGGATGTATACCGAGAGTCGGGGGATAAAGGGAGGCATAGCGAGAGTCAAGGGATGAAGGGAGGTATAGCGAGAGTAGGGGGATGAAGGGAGGTGTAGCGAGAGTCGGGGGATGAAGGGAGGTATAGCGAGAGTCGGGGATGAAGAGAGGCATAGCGAGAGTAGGGGATGAAGGGAGGTATAGTGAGAGTAGGGGGATGAAGGGAGGTAAAGCGAGAGTAGAGGGATGAAGGGATGTACAGCGAGAGTAGGGGGATAAAGGGAGGTATAGCGAGGGTCGAGGGATGAAGAGAGATATAGCGAGGGTCGAGGGATGAAAAGAGGTTTAGCGAGAGTCGAGGGGTGTATAGCGAGAGTAGGGGGATGAAGGGATGTATGGCGAGAGTAGAGGGATGAAGGAATGTATAGCGAGAGTAGGGGGATGAAGGGATGTATACCGAGAGTCGGGGGATAAAGGGAGGCATAGCGAGAGTCGAGGGATGAAAGGAGGTTTTGCGAGAGTCGAGGGATGTATAGCGAGAGTAGGGGGATGAAGGGATGTATGGCGAGAGTAAAGGGATGAAGGAATGTATAGCGAGAGTAGGGGGATGAAGGGATGTATACCGAGAGTCGGGGGATGAAGGGATTTATAGCGAGAGTCGGGGATGAAGGGAGGCATAGCGAGAGTAGGGGGATGAAGGGAGGCATAGAGAGAGTAGAGGGATGAAGGGAGGCATAGCGAGAGTCGGGGGATGAAGGGATGTACACCGAGAGTAGGGGGATGAAGAGAGGCATAGCGAGAGTAGGGGATGAAGGGAGGTAAAGCGAGAGTAGAGGGATGAAGGGATGTACACCGAGAGTAGGGGGATGAAGGGAGGTATAGCGAGAGTAGGGAGATGAAGGGAGGTATAGCGAGGGTCGAGGGATGAAGGGATGTATAGCGAGAGTTGGGGGATAAAGGGAGGCATAGCGAGGGTCGAGGGATGAAGGGAGATATAGCGAGGGTCGAGGGATGAAAGGAGGTTTAGCGAGAGTCGAGGGATGTATAGCGAGAGTAGGGGGATGAAGGGAAGTATGGCGAGAGTAGAGGGATGAAGGAATGTATAGCGAGAGTAGGGGGATGAAGGGATGTATACCGAGAGTCGGGGGATAAAGGGAGGCATAGCGAGAGTCGAGGGATGTATAGCGAGAGTAGGGGGATAAAGGGAGGTAAAGCGAGAGTCGGGGGATGAAGGGAGGCATAGCGATAGTCGGGGGATGAAGGGAGGTATAGCGAGAGTCGGGGGATGTATAGCGAGAGTAGGGGGATAAAGGGAGGTAAAGCGAGAGTCGGGGGATGAAGGGAGGCATAGCGAGAATAGAGGGATGAAGGGAGATATAGCAAGAGTAGGGGGATGAAGGGAGGTGTAGCGAGAGTCGAGGGATGAAGGGAGGTATAGCGAGAGTCGGGGGATGAAGGGAGGCATAGCGAGAGTCGGGGATGAAGGGAGGCATAGCGAGAGTCGGGGGATGAAGGGAGACATAGCGATAGTCGGGGGATGAAGGGAGGCATAGCGAGAGTAGAGGGATGAAGGGAGACATAGCAAGAGTAGAGGGATGAAGGGAGGTATAGCGAGGGTCGAGGGATGAAGGGAGGTATAGCGAGAGTAGGGGGATGAAGAGAGTCATAGCGAGAGTAGAGGGATGAAGGGAGGTATAGCGAGAGTCGGGGGATGAAGGGAGGCATAGCGATAGTAGAGGGATGAAGGGAGACATAGCGAGGGTCGACGGATGAAGGGAGGTATAGCGAGGGTCGAGGGATGAAGGGAGGTATAGCGAGAGTAGGGGGATGAAGAGAGTCATAGCGAGAGTAGAGGGATGAAGGGAGGTATAGCGAGAGTAGGGGGATGAGGGGATGCATAGCGAGGGATTGAGGGTGGTGTTGTAACAGCCGGGGTGGAAGGGAAGTGAAAAGATGTCCGTGTGTGGGAAGGAGTTTTAGTGAGAGACAGGAGTGGAAGGGAGGTGAAGTGTGGGATAGGAGTGGAAAGGAGGTGAAGTGTGGGACAGGAGTGGAAGGGAGGTGAAGTGTGAGACAGGAGTGGAAGGGAGGTGAAGTGTGGGACAAGTGTGGAAAGGAGGTGAAGTGTGGTACAGGAGTGGAAGGGAGGTGAAGTGTGGGATAGGAGTGGAAAGGAGGTGAGGGACAGGTGTGGAAAGGAGGTGAAGTGTGGGATAGGAGTGGAAGAGGTGAAGTGTGGGACAGGAGTGGAAGGGAGGTGAAGTGTGGGATAGGAGTGGAAAGGAGGTTAAGTGTGGGACAGGAGTGGAAAGGAGGTGAAGTGTGGTACAGGAGTGGAAGGGAGGTGAAGTGTGGGATAGGAGTGGAAAGGAGGTGAAGTGAGGGACAGGTGTGGAAAGGAGGTGAAGTGTGGGATAGGAGTGTAAAGGAGGTGAAGTGAGGGACAGGTGTGGAAAGGAGGTGAAGTGTGGGATAGGAGTGGAAGGGAGGTGAAGTGTGGGACAAGTGTGGAAAGGAGGTGAAGTGTGGGACAGGAGTGGAAGGGAGGTGAAGTGTGGGACAGGAGTGGAAGGGAGGTGAAGTGTGGGACAGGAGTGGAAATGAGGTGAAGTGAGGGACAGGTGTGGAAAGGAGGTGAAGTGTGGGATAGGAGTGGAAAGGAGGTGAAGTGAGGGATAGGTGTGGAAAGGAGGTGAAGTGTGGGACAGGAGTGGAAGGGAGGTGAAGTGTCTGACAGGGATGAAATAAGGATGTAGTACGGAACTGGGGTGGAAGGGAGGTGAAGTGAGGGACAGGGGTAGAAGGGAGGTGAAGTGAGGGACAGGGATGAAATAGAGATGTAGTACGGAACAAGGGTGGAGGGGAGGTTAAGAGAAGGACAGGGGTGGAAGTATAAGGTAAGTTATAGGGAGAGATAGAGAGTGTTGTGACAGCCGAGGTGAATGGGAGGAATAGTGAGGACCGGGGTGGAAGAGATTTTGTACTTTTTACTAAATAACATATCTAGAGAAGTTTTTGTTGTCTTATTTAAGTATTTATCTAGTTCAATTTCCGTTACACCCTTTTCATTAAACTAGATATCCGTGAATTATAGATGTTTATTATAATCAAAATTTAACTTGTTGACTATTTCTAATTTAACAACCTAAGATATATGATAAACTTACATATGAGATCCTTTAATGAAGATATCTGACATACTAGATTTGGTATTTAACATATTTGATAACTTTTTTGGTCAATTGACTTGCCATGTTTCGATTTTCATGAATCTTTCGGCCAGTAAGTTATTTTTTCACCTAAGTGATACCTACGTCTTCCTTTAGCGATTACAGTTTAATTGGTATGTTTTACTGTGTAATGGGTGAAAAATTAAAAGAATTGGTAAGTTAGACCAGCAGCAGGATAGTCCCATTGAACATCAATAGCAGTCATACATCTGTAGAACTGTTTACCTCCTGATAGTCCCATTAAACATCAATAGCAGTCATACATTTGTAGAACTGTTTACCTCCTGATAGCAGTCATACATTTGTAGAACTGATTACCGCCTGATGTTACAGGCTAGTCATCAGAACTCTCCCACAAAGAGAACAGGACGGTCATCACCCGGACATGCTAGTCTAGATATTTTGGCGCACACTTCACTTTTAAAGTTCATCAATAACATCGATTATAGCTCGCCAGTGTTTGTATGGTATTACACTGTGGATGAATAGATTGGTGGTACTATCTGTATAAGATTAATCAGCTACTGGGATACCCCTGTGCCGAACTAATACCCTCTCTTGGCGAACTAGTATACCTTTCTTTGTTCTCATCATAACAGGTTGCAATACAAACACCAAGCTAAGCGTTATGATGGCTTCCCTTATGATATGGAGAAGTTTATTCACCCCGTGTTGACCATTTCTTGTAAGAAGTATCTAGTCATGGCTTTTAAAATCGAGGGCGGCAGGGTTTTTGAATGGGTTATCAGGTATATTGACATTGACCATTGACACTTATGACTCAACACCCCCCCCCACTCCCCCTCCCCTCTCTCACTTCCCCCTCTCCTTCCCTCTCTTCTCCCTCCCCTCTCTCACTTCCCCCTCTATTACTTCTCCACCTCTTTCTCCCCCACTCCCCTCTCCCTCTCTCCCTCCCCTCTCTTTCTCCCTCCCCTCTCTCACTTCCCCCTCTCCTTCCCTCTCCTCTCCCTCCCCTCTCTCACTTCCCCCTCTCCTTCCCTCTCCTCTCCCCCTCTCTCACTTCCCCCCTCTATTACTTACCCCACCTTTTTCTCCCCCACTCCCCCTCTCTCTCCCTCCCCTCTCTTTCTCCCTCCCCTCTCTCACTTCCCCCTCTCCTTCCCTCTCCTCTCCCTCCCCTCTCTCACTTCCCCCTCTCCTTCCCTCTCTTCTCCCCCTCTCTCACTTCCCGCCTCTATTACTTCCCCCACCTCTTTCTCCCCCACTCCCCTCTCTCTCTCCCTTCCCTCTCTTTCTCCCTCCCCTCTCTCACTTCCCCTCTCATTCCCTCTCCTCACCCTCCCCTCTCTCACTTCCCCCTCTTTTACTTCCCCCACCTCTTTCTCCCCCACTCCCCTTTCTCTCTCCCTTCCCTCTCTTTTTCCCTCCCCTCTCTCACTTCCCTCCCCTCTCCCTCCCCTCTCTCACTTCCCCCTCTATTACTTCCCCCTCTCCTTCCCTCTTCTCTCCCTCCCCTCTCTCACTTCCCCCTCTATTACTTCCCCCTCTCCTTCCCTCTCCTCTCCCCCTCTCTCACTTCCCCCTCTTTTACTTCCCCCACCTCTTTCTCTCCCACTCCCCTTTCTCTCCCTCCCTTCTCTCACCCCCCCCCCTCTCTCTCTCTCTCATACAATTCTGCGATGTGATTTGAGGAAACACTTTTTAAAAAAAATTGTTCCGGCAAAAAGTGTTTATATTATCACTCAGTATATCAATGAGGGAGATGTTTATGATACACATAACGTGTGCTACTAGTTTACAGGGGTGTGTGAATAAATAGACTTTTATAATTTGTATTGTACTTGTTATGTTCAATTTGTCGATGTGTGTGGCAGTCGTAACCGTCATTAGACTTGTACAATACACGGTAGACTTATGAAAGGTATAAATATGTTTGTAATCTTCCTGTGTCTTATATTATTCGGAAAAGCCCATCGCACCAGTAATTTGATCACGTGTCTGGCCCTTGTGTGTCATACCTACTATTGCTTGTCTGCCAAAGTTTTTGTTCCACAATCAGTTAATAAAAGAAAACGAAACCTGCCAAGCAGACAATCTGGAATAATAATCAGTATTGCTTCATCATATTCAATAAAAATCCTGGTAATGACTTCGTGACGACAATTTTAAAACATTTAGATATAAGATCTTTGTTAGGGTAAGACACGCTACGATATACAAATATCGTAACAACATATGACAAGGATTTTTATGTACCTTAATAAAAAAGATATCTTATTTTATTAAACTTATAATTCAGTTTACTGTAAATATTATATGGAATTTAGAAAACTTAGTATCTAGTGTGATTTGGTAAGTGATTGATCAGCATTGCTGTATGAACTTGGCGACTTGCCATGCAGACAATTAAGACTACAACTTTTCATTGTATAATGATTTAGTTAATTTTTTAACATAAATATACAGAATGGTCTCGGAAGAACCCAATACACTTTAATATAACACAACTTTGTGTTCATGGTCATTTTGATAAAATGATGAATCCTGTCGTACAGGTTTGATAGGAGGCACGAGATTAATGACTGCAAAGGCCCCGTGGACCTTTTGAATTTCGAAACGCATCATCGGTGATCCAGTTATCATCAGTATTTCAAGATGTATCGAGGGCAAATTTCTACTGCTTCCATAACATGCAGTTTCCTGTCATTTAACCGTGATCTAGATTAATGTTCGCAGAGAAGTTACGTCCCATCTTTTTATGAGTTGTTGCAGCTTGAGAACTATAGAGAAAGCTAACAAATTAGACATTGTTCCAAGTGAATTCAAATAAATGTTTATAGCCAGTATTCACGTTTTATTTATTACTGACGGAAATGAATTAGATAATTGGGCGAACCAGGTTTAGCAGCGAAAAAACTAATATCCCCAGTGTGATCAATGGAAATATTCATAGGGTATATTATCATCATAATATGTTCTACCATACAAGTTTCAAGAACAATACTAAAACATGGAGCAAGTCACTGCTGCAAGCAAAGCGAGTTAAATGTGATATCTCCACTAGTTGTGCATGACCGCTTTCTAACGCGACCGTGAATGGAAGTATTTAAATTGATCGTATATCCACATACACAGAAGTTTACCCCCGTTCTGAGCCTACACGTAAACATGGCCACCATATTGTGTCTTGAATTCTATTCCGGGTAAGATCAAGAACTTCGTGAAGTGTTGATGGACGTCTGAATTCACGGTCGAGATTATTGTAAGTATGTATGTCATGTGTCCCTGTATTATATTCAAAAATATGGTTTATGACACGAAAACGTGATTACTATATAAAAGGTGATTGAACAGCTGCTACCACAAAAGCTTACATTTAATTAACAGGAGGAAGTAGGACTGTTCTTTAAGTAAACATTCCGCCTGGGGCAGGGGTGGTGGTGGGAGCCAAGAAGGCAGATATCGTTTCTAAAATTGGCTCCATCCATTTTCATTTGGTTTGAAGTGATCTCAAAATTTTTACCCTGTAATTTGGGATTTAACTCATCAAAGTTACAATGTCCACAAAAAGTTCGCCCCTCCCCACCCTTCAGAATAAAAAAAAACATTTAAAGCTGGTGGCATGCCCTGCATAAACTATTTACACAGGCGAGATGAACCAGCCTGGTTTAAAAGGGATACTATTCAGTGAAACTCTGTCCCGTATAAATGCTAAGGGGTCAGAGTAATTATCGCTGATTACCGAAACAGTAAACTACATACGATAACACATTCCTTTGCTGGGTCTACTGGTCCAGTTAGATATATATATATCTATTCCTTTGCTGGGTCTACTGGTCCAGTTAGATATATATATATATCTATTCCTTTGCTGGGTCTACTGGTCCAGTTAGATATATATATCTATTCCTTTGCTGGGTCTACTGGTCCAGTTAGATATATATATATCTATTCCTTTGCTGGGTCTACTGGTCCAGTTAGATATATATATCTATTCCTTTGCTGGGTCTACTGGTCCAGTCAGATATATATATCTATTCCTTTGCTGGGTCTACTGGTCCAGTCAGATATATATATATCTATTCCTTTGCTGGGTCTACTGGTCCAGTTAGATATATATATCTATTCCTTTGCTGGGTCTACTGGTCCAGTTAGATATATATATCTATTCCTTTGCTGGGTCTACTGGTCCAGTTAGATATATATATCTATTCCTTTGCTGGGTCTACTGGTCCAGTCAGATATATATATCTATTCCTTTGCTGGGTCTACTGGTCCAGTTAGATATATATATCTATTCCTTTGCTGGGTCTACTGGTCCAGTCAGATATATATATCTATTCCTTTGCTGGGTCTACTGGTCCAGTTAGATATATATATCTATTCCTTTGCTGGGTCTACTGGTCCAGTTAGATATATATATCTATTCCTTTGCTGGGTCTACTGGTCCAGTTAGATATATATATATCTATTCTTTTGCTGGGTCTACTGGTCCAGTCAGATATATATATCTATTCCTTTGCTGGGTCTACTGGTCCAGTTAGATATATATATCTATTCCTTTGCTGGGTCTACTGGTCCAGTCAGATATATATATATCTATTCCTTTGCTGGGTCTACTGGTCCAGTCAGATATATATATATCTATTCCTTTGCTGGGTCTACTGGTCCAGTCAGATATATATATCTATTCCTTTGCTGGGTCTACTGGTCCAGTTGGATATATATATCTATTCCTTTGCTGGGTCTACTGGTCCAGTCAGATATATATATATCTATTCAGCATTGTGTTATTATAGATTATTATATATACATAACTGTATCCATTCTTTAGCTATGAATCATAGTATACAGTGCTTTAGAAATCAAGTATTACAGTAGTCTTAGAGAGAAATTATCAGTGCTATCTCCCCTACTTTCTACCTCCACTCCCCTTCACCCTCCCTTCTACCCCAAAGCCCCTCTACATCCCTGCACCAGTTCCATGTACCCCAAGCCCATCCACCGCCCCTTCTACTCCCAGTCCCCTCAACCCTCCCTTCTACCCCATACACTTTCATTTTAATTATAAATCCATTCCATTCAGGACCCTCACTATACCTTCCTGCAGACCCCAGCCCTCAATATACCTCCATTCCACCCAGCCCTCAATATATCTCCCTTTAACTCAAGTCTTAGCTAGACATTCCTTCCACCCCCTGCCCTTACTTAACATGTATCTCCCTTCCACCCCTGTCCCACACCTCACCTCCCTTCCACCCCTGTCCCACATTTCACCTTCCTTCCACTCCTATCCCACATTTCACTTCCCTTCCATCCCTATCACACACTTCACCTCCCTTCCACTCCTGTCCCACACTTCCGGCCCTCGCTATGCTTCCCTTTCCCCCCCCTACTCTCGCTATGCTTCCCTTCATTCTTGGACTCACGCTATGCCTTCTTTCATTCCTCGACCCTCACTATCCCTCCCTTCATCCCCCGACCTTCGCTATGTCCCCCTTCATCCTTCGATCCTCACTATGCCACCCTTCATCCCTCGACCCTCGCTATACCTCCCTCATTCCCAGACCCTGGCAATGCCCCCCTTAATCCCCCGATCCTCGCTTTACCTCCTTTCGTCCCTCGATCTTCACTATACCTCCCTTTATGCCTCGACCCTCACTATGCTTCCCTTCCACCCCCGGCCCTCTCTACACCTCCCTTCCAGCCCCGACCCTCACTACACCTCCCTTCCAGCCCCGACCCTCACTACACCTCCCTTCCAGCTCCACTCTCACTTTATCTCCATTCCACCTGCTGCACTCACATCACTTCGCTTCCAGCCTAAGGCCTAACTACACCCCCCTTCCACCCCAGACCTTCACTACACCTCCCTTCCAGCCCCGACCCTCACTACACCTCCCTTCCACCCCCGATCCTCACTACACCTCCCTTCCACCCCCGATCCTCACTACACCTGCCTTCCCATTCCCGACCATCTCCATACTTCCCTACACCCTGGGTCCTCCTTCCTTCCAACCCGACCTTCAGTTCACATCCTGACACCCTCAGTCCTGACTACACCCGTCTCCCACTCTCGGTCCTTACTTTACCTTCCTTCTATCCTAGCCCTCAGTATACTTCCCTTCTTCCACCAGTCTTCATCCCATATTAATTCTACCCCCAAGTCCTACTCCCCCTCCCTTCCGCCCAATCCCATCCCTGCACCAGCCAATAATAACCAAACAGGCCAGTTTCACCTACATATTTATGATAATATAAACTGGACATTTTCATCGCCCAACATGGCTAACATCGGCTCTGGTCGTGTCTGATATAATTTTGTTACTTTTATTTTTCTCCGTCATCACTTATCATCTGCTGACTTTAAAACTTGTGACATGACATTATCAGAAATTACCAGTACATAAAAACCTTGTCATATGTTGTTACGATATTTGTATATCGTAGCGTGTCTTACCCTAACAAAGATCTTATATCTAAATGTTTTAAAATTGTCGTCACGAAGTCATTACCAGGATTTTTATTGAATATGATGAAGCAATACTGATTATTATTCCAGATTGTCTGCTTGGCAGGTTTCGTTTTCTTTTATTAACTGATTGTGGAACAAAAACTTTGGCAGACAAGCAATAGTAGGTATGACACACAAGGGCCAGACACGTGATCAAATTACTGGTGCGATGGGCTTTTCCGAATAATATAAGACATAGGTAGATGACAAACATGTTTATACCTTTCATAAGTCTACCGTGTATTGTACAAGTCTAATGACGGTTACGACTGCCACACACATCGACAAATTGAACATAACAAGTACAATACAAATGATAAAAGTCTATTTATTCACACACCCCTGTAAACTAGCATCACACGTTATATGTACCATCAAAATCCCCCTCATTGATACGGTGAGTGATAATATTAGCACTTTTTGCCGGTACAATTTATTTTTAAAAGTTCGTTACCTTCAGGAACGAGGAAAAGTGTTTGCGAAGGTTTAACATTTAAAAAACTATAATTAGTGCCTTAGATGTTATACCTGATAATGACAATCTAACAAAAACCTCGAATCACATCGCAGAATTGTATAAGAGAGGGAGAAGAGGAGAGAAGAGAAGTGAGAGAGAGGAGGGAAAGAGAAAGGGAGGGGGAAGTGAGAGAGAGAGAGAGAAAGAGAGAGAGAGAGAGAGGAGGGAGAGAGCGAGAGAGAGAGGGGGGAAGGGGGAAGTGAGAGAGAGTGAGAGAGAGAGAGGAGAGAGAGAGAGAGAGAGGGAGGGGGGAAGTGAGAGAGAGAGAGAGGGAGAGAGAGGGGGAGGGAGAGAGAGGGGGGGGGAAGTGAGAGAGAGGGAGGGGGAAGTGAGAGAGAGAGAGAGAAAGAGAGAGGGGAGGGAGAGAGAGAGAGGGAGGGGGAAGTGAGAGAGAGAGGGGAGGGAGAGAGAGAGAGAGAGAGGGGGGGGGGGGGGTGAGAGGGGGGAAGGAGGGAGAAAGAGGTGGACAGAGGGGAGAGAAGTCCTTGGATATATCAAGGTATATCGCTGTTAAAACCATACAGTAAGTTTAATGACATTTACCGGCGTTTGAACAGTTTCTTGAGCATGTGTTCCGCCGATATCAAATGTCTGTGAGAATTTAAAGAGAAGAAGGTCTTGTTCACCTGAGAGTGTGTACTGATTATACCGAGGGTATTTAAGCTAAGTTACACCACGGAGTTACTGGAATCAAACTCAAATACGCTGCAAATGATGTCGTTGATTTTGTATTCTTCGCTAACGCCTTGCCGTTTAGTACCTCCAGTTTTTACTACAGAAACCTTTCTAGTATTCGAATTCTACACAGAAAACTATATATACTTGAGACGACGAAGAAGAATCAGTATGTGAAATATATTATATTGGAGTTATAACAAAATTTATCACCGACTGGATCATTTTTCCTCCTTATGTATTCTGGATCTCGCGTCTGCTACATACTCTGCTACTACCACTCTTTCCGACAATTTGATCCCCAAAGCTTTATGAGGGACTGATCCGAAACATCGGATATAAACACAGCAAAGCACTGGGTTCGAGTTGCGATCTTATTTGACAATCTAAAATATTACTTGGAGTTATTTTACCATATAGAGCACAATTGTCAGACAGTTTTGAATGTCACCAAATGTGCAGATCCAGGAACCTGTCTGAAAAAAGTGTGACCAAACCACGTTATGTTTTCTGATACGACTCTTTTTATAGGCCATTGTCCAATTCCTGTAAAAGACATTTAAAAGGAAATTGTTTTGTTGTAAAGACGTGTTGATATCACTATAATGAATGGCGATGCATCATATGATTCATTGATATCTCCTGATGCGTAGGTGACATTAACAATTGAATAGACGATATCGCCCACTCTATTTGGTTATGTTACTTAAGTACAATGAAAAGAATTATGACGAACACTAAGTGGAGGATATTGTGCTGATAAGGTTCTTTATTGGGCCTTGTGTAAACCATACGCCGAGGGTATATGTAAACGTTTAGATGATACTAATTACTGATTATGATATTGTTTGGACACTTCGACAGGCAGGTTCAGGATTGAGAGTAACCAGATTTACCGATATTCTGTTGGAGGACTGAGGTTGGTTCCGCGATCTTTAAACATATCTCCTTGATTGTGTTAAATTTTGAAGCACGTTGTCCTGATAACATTTCGAGCAGGTTGTTTCCGGTGTTTGTAAGCTGCGAGGTTAGTTTTGTGTTTATCTATCTCAATCGTAGGTGTAACACTCCAGGCACTAATTCAAAGACATTGATTTCAATCTTTATGGTAATTTACAAACTAATTACAACAACAGTGGACCGTCTATAAAAAACTTTTGAAATTGTTATTTATATTTGTGGTACCAGAGTCCCTATCAGAGATAAGTAGATCTTAGCGGAGCACGCAACTATGTCTGTAAGTACATGCTATGATAATACTATGATATAATATGTTGACTTCCGTTTACTGTGTAGACGATTGAATTGCATGCTTTCTGTCCTGTTTTTAACGATTTCGTCTTCCGTCGGGATGTCTTTGTATTAATACATTGGTGAGTAAGATGTTGAGGAAGGGCACTCATCAACCAACGATCTTCTTATAATTCAATGAGTCTAACACATTAAAGTGCATGACGGGACGGTCAGCCGTTACGGTGAAGCATCATTATACACAATTTTACTGAAAAAGTATCTCCAACAGATTTAGTTATTTCTTTTGAATTTCTGATTTACGAAGTAAGTATCAATTTCATCAACATTTTCCCCTTTCTACTTTTACAGAACAAGACGGAAATAACATGAAATCTTTAGTTGTTTTTGTGGGATTATTTCTTCTGGCGGACGGATGGAATCGGAAGGTTGCTGAAGCCAACACCAGTCTCGATCTACTCCGCAAATTACTCATTGGAATGAAAAGAGATTTTAACTTGATGATCGACAATGATGATTTAGATAGAGGCAAACAACATTTCAAAAGTAAAGGTCAGTATTTATTTCCAATTAAAATATAATCGATTGCTTCTATAAGTTGAATATAACTGAACAATGTCACTTTCACCGTGCTGGATGACTTTAGATGTGTTTTACATCTTATGATACTTTATATACACTTGTACTTGAAGCTCGTTTGAAATCATCCAATATTCAAAATCGTAAGATTTATTGAATTTTCGAGATGCATTGCCCAATCTGATGTTTGTCATTTTTTCCGACGAATTTGCATTTTCATCAGTCGTCTCCCAAGTTTCAATCATTTAGGTCCAAAGCATCACTGACAGTTCTTAAAAACAGCTGCACCTTTCTATACTGGTCACTTGTGTATCTTTTTATACAAGATTGCATATGACAGGCAATGTCGGTGGAGTCCCCGAGGTTCGCCGTAAGCTGCATGTCATGCCTTTATTGAACTGAATATTAACACTTTTTAGAATATAATCCAGTATTGAAAATTATGAGTTTGGAGTTGGTGCACATCCCCATCTGGATTTTGAAATTTATTTCGATCTGTTTTGAATTTTCTTGAATGCGAGGTTTCATAATGTATGCCCTTAACATCACGAGATAGTCTTACACCTTATTGAATCATTTGGCTGTATCTAATCAGGAATTTGTATTCACTGAAGTCTTTTGTACAATGTTTTCGTAATATGGCTATCCATTACTATTTCAGAGGGATTCTGCAGAACAACTGATGAAGCAGCTACGCGTTACTGGTTACGACGAACAAATGAGAAACTTCGAATCGAGATGAATACCAATGTAGTTGCTGGTTGGAACTATGAATCTAACATCACTGATGCCACCAAAGAGAAGGTTTGTGACGATTATAAGTTGTCTCTACCACATGTATTGTAAAGTATTCTACTTTCTATTGGATCACATCTTCACTGATGTTAACCAAAACACGCCAGTACCTTATCTCACTAAAGTCACTTTCATCCTCGATACTCCATGGCTTACAACAACTTTCGCTCTCTGCACCCTAGAACATGTCATGGTAAAGGTTTCAAAGGAGCAATCTTCCGTCACTTTGATACATAAAACAACGATCACTTTACTGTGTCTGTTGCCCTTTTTACACATCGGAAATATCTAGTCCTTGTGACCCCCTGCGATCAGTGTTTCTGTCTGCAACAGAACATTTCACAAGCGTGTTGTCATGGTGAAACATCCGGATATTTATTCGGTGCTAATGTGTTTCATTTTACAGATGACGGAAAGCAACGTTAAATTTGCGGCTTTTCAACGGAAATTGGGGGAGGAAGTTGGTAGCTGCAAGAGCCAAACCTTCTCTGATGATACCAGCAGACAACTAAAACTATTGGACCAGATCTTCTCGCCCAAAGACCCAGATAACGTTAAGTATGGAAACTTATACTAAAAATGTTACAACCAAAGTAAATGACACGAAAACGATAAAACAAGGATAAACTATACATGAATTTCCAATTTTTCTTGAACAGCCTGCGTTTTTTTCAGAAGCGTGGTTAATGAGAAAGTAGATAAGTTTATACGTGTAGATAAATCTAGAATAGAAAACAACAAGGAAATACCAATGTGTCACGTAATCAAATTTAATCCAACCAGGGCAAACTATAAACAAACATTTACACGATGACTCCTGAAAAAAATACAAGGGGAATAGGACCAAATGTTCCAGAAGAGGCCTTTGAATACTGAATCAGCTGCGACATGTAAACACCATAAGTAGGGGATGCAGGGAAGTTGCTATCAAGAAATTGGAAAATTCACAATAGGGAAATTGAAATCATCACATTCATCATACAGCTTGGTGAGAAGCTGTCCATGTTAAATATTACTTAGCGTGCAGCGTCGACTTTAGGCACAATCTAAACCCATAGCAAGATAATAAGATAGTTAAAAACTTAAGTATTGTAGAACATGCCTGTTAACCAACATTTTCAGACTTAACATCTATGACGTGTGGGTTAAATTTGTATATACTTGTTCTGTATGTTTAAACATTTTGCTCACGTGCTTTCATTCCTGTCTATATATCAGTAATGGTAACATTCCCGTGATTTTCGCTGTTAAATGTATATGTACAAACATATTCATCCCCTTGTGAAACGTATCGGTTCGAAATCTTCAACACACGAGTACGCAGGTATTTGTATTATTTATGAATTTGTGAATCAAACCTGTGAAAATGTTAATGTGTGGTTCTGCTTATAGAGAACTGGAGGATTTAAAGGCCGATCTTACTGAGATATACGGAGACGCTGAAGTGGAAATGAACGGAAGCATGTTACAAATTGAACCGGAACTAACTGATATCATGGCCAACAGTCGAAATGAGACGGAGTTGCGGGAAGCTTGGGAAAAATGGCGTGACGTCACGGGCACAAAAATGAAATCCAAATATACTAGATTGGTAGAACTCCAGAACATTGGTGCTAGGGACAATGGTAAGATGTATGACAGTAAACTGAGGGCATATACGATTTGTTTTAGGGCTAAATGGGTTATCATTTTATTGAGGAAAGTGGATTAAAAGAAGCTAAAAAAGGTCGTTGCTTAAACTGTAAATCTTTTTCAATAAATAAGAAAGAAACCGAACCAAAAGCCTTTTCAAAGTCAACCATTGAAAACATACCTGGAATATCATTTTCCTCTGTAGACTGCATAACATCACAGATAAAGCTTTCCCCTCTAGAAACCCATTCTGATATGTCTTAAGTCGAAGTGATATTGTACAAGAAGCTATTTTGTAAACAATATTTGGCAGTGATATGGGCCTCCATTTTTTAATGAAATGTCTGGATGTATCCCCCTTTAGAAGTGATGTCTTGTTGTAGAAATAGATAAGTTTCATAACCCAAATTAATAGACTGAACAACAAAATTCTCTAAATATTTCCGAAAACACTTAAAAGATTAATAGAAAGAATGAAAGATATCACTAAATTGTCCATTCCACACAAATAATGATACAAAGGTGTGTTTCATGGTTTATGGTGTGTGTATGTCTGCTGAAGTGGATATGGAGTGTAGATATAGTAGGATGTGGGGCTGGAGTGTGGATATAGTAGGATGTGAGACTGGAGTGCAGATATAGTAGGATGTGAGACTGGAGTGCAGATATAGTAGGATGTGAGACTGGAGTGTAGATATAGTAGGATGTGAGACTGGAGTGCAGATATAATAGGATGTGAGACTGGAGTGCAGATATAGTAGGATGTGAGACTGGAGTGTAGATATAGTAGGATGTGAGACTGAAGTGCAGATATAGTAGGATGTGGGGCTGGAGTGTGGATATAGTGGTGATGTGGGGCAGGAGTGTGGATATTACCACAGGAAATTCAACGCATAGTAAATGCCTTCTCGGAAGCATCAAAGAAATTTGGACTAAAGATAAACATCAAGAAAACTGAAGTGCTATACCAACCAGACTCTTCAAAGTCCCAGGAGGTGGATATACTGGTCGATGGTATCAAACTAAATTCTGTCCCAGAGTTCACCTATCTTGGTAGCACAGCAGCGAAAGATGGGCGTATTGATGCCGAAATACAGAGAAGAATTGCTAAGACCAGTTCATCTTTTGGCAGATTACATCAGAGACTCTGGAACAACCATCATGTTTCATTGAAGGTGAAAGGAAAGATATACAGAGCCATTGTCATATCCACTCTCTTGTATGGAGCCGAGTCGTGGACGGTATACAGAAGCCATGTGAAGAAGCTTCATGCTTTTATGATGCGGCACCTTAGAACCATCATAAAAGTAACCTGGAAAGACAAAGTTACCAACAAGGAAATACTTGAAAGAACTGGATTAACACCCATGGAAGACATGCTGATCAGAAAGAACCTTCGATGGACAGGGCACATCATGAGGATGCCGCAAGACCGACTTCCAAAACAGATCCTGTTCTCACAGCTTCCAGTTGGTAGTAGGAAGAGAGGCAGACCCCGACTACGGTTTAAAGATACAGTCAAAAGAAATTTGAAACGGAGGAACATCAACTTGAATTCCTGGCCAGAGTTGTGTAATGACAGAAGCATATGGAGATCAGCGCTTGGGTAGAACAGAGGAACAGACTTTGTCGCATTGCGACCGTCAGCATAGTAGTAGTAGTAGTAGTAGTAGTAGGGGCTGGAGTGTGGATATAGTGAGATGTGGGGCTGGAGTGTGGATATAGTAGGATTTGGGGCTGGAGTGTGGATATCGTCGGATGTGGGGCTGGAGTGTAGATATAGTGAGATGTGGGGCTGGAGTGTGGACATAGTGAGATGTGGGGCTGGAGTGTGGATATCGTCGGATGTGGGGCTGGAGTGTGGATATAGTGGGATGTGGGGCTGGAGTGTAGATATAGTGGTGATGTGGGGCTGGAGTGTGGATATAGTGAGATGTGGGGCTGGAGTGTGGATATAGTAGGATTTGGGGCTGGAGTGTGGATATCGTCGGATGTGGGGCTGGAGTGTGGATATAGTGAGATGTGGGGCTGGAGTGTGGATATAGTAGGATTTGGGGCTGGAGTGTGGATTGATGGGATTCGGGGCTGGAGTGTGGATATAGTAGGATTTGGGGCTGGAGTGTGGATATCGTCGGATGTGGGGCTGGAGTGTGGAACTAGTGGGAGGTGGGGCTGGAGTGTGGATATAGTAGGATGTGAGACTGGAGTGCAGATATAGTAGGATGTGAGAATGGAGTGTAGATATAGTAGGATGTGAGACTGGAGTGTAGATATAGTAGGATGTGAGACTGGAGTGCAGATATAGTAGGATGTGAGACTGGAGTGTAGATATAGTAGGATGTGAGACTGGAGTGCAGATATAGTAGGATGTGGGGCTGGAGTGTGGATATAGTGGGATGTGGGGCTGGAGTGTAGATATAGTGGTGATGTGGGGCTGGAGTGTGGATATAGTGAGATGTGGGGCTGGAGTGTGGATATAGTAGGATTTGGGGCTGGAGTGTGGATATCGTCGAATGTGGGGCTGGAGTGTGGATATCGTCGAGATGTGGGGCTATAGTGATATAGTGGGGCTGGAGTGGATATCGTTGGATGTGGGGCTGGAGTGTGGATATCGTTGGTTGTGGGGCTGGCGGGTGGTTTTCGTCGGATGTGGGGCTGGAGTGTGGATATAGTGGGATGTGGGGCTGGAGTGTGGATATAGTGTAGTGATGTGGGGCTGGATGTGGGGCTGGAGTGTGGATATAGTCGGATGTGGGGCTGGAGTGTGGATATAGTGGATGTGGGGCTGGAGTGTGGATATAGTGGGATGTGGGGCTGGAGTGTGGATATAGTGGATGTGGATGGAGTGTGGATATAGGGATTGGGGCTGGAGTGTGGATTGATGTGGATTTGGGGCTGGAGTGTGGATATAGTGGGATGTTGGGGCTGGAGTGTGGACTGGAGTGTGGATATAGGATGTGGATGGGATATAGTGGGATGGGGGCTGGAGTGTGGATAGATATGGAGTGTGGATATAGTGAGATGTGGGGCTGGAGTGTGGATATCTTCGGATGTGGGGCTGGAGTGTGGATATAGTAGATGTGGGGCTGGAGTGTGGATTTGGGGCTGGATATAGTAGGATGTGGGGCTGGAGTGTGGATATAGTAGGATGTGTGACTGGAGTGTGGATATAGTAGGATGTGGTGTGGATATAGGCTGGAACTAGGAGTGTTGATATAGTAGGATGTGGGGCTGGAGTGTAGATATAGTAGGATGTGAGACTGGAGTGCAGATATAGTAGGATGTGGGGCTGGAGTGTGGATATAGTGGGATGTGGGGCTGGAGTGTGGATATAGTAGGATGTGGGGCTGGAGTGTGGATATAGTGGGATGTGGGGCTGGAGTGTAGATATAGTGGTGATGTGGGGCTGGAGTGTGGATATAGTGAGATGTGGGGCTGGAGTGTGGATATAGTAGGATTTGGGGCTGGAGTGTAGATATAGTGAGATGTGGGGCTGGAGTGTGGATATATGGGGCGTGGGGCTGGAGTGTGGATATAGTGGGATGTGGGGCTGGAGTGTGGATTGATGGGATTTGGAGCTGGAGTGTGGATATAGCAGGATTTGGGGCTGGAGTGTGGATATAGTAGGATTTGGGGCTGCAGTGCAGATATAGTGAGATGTGGGGCTGGAGTGTGGATATAGTAGGATGTGGGGCTGGAGTGTAGATATAGTGGGATGTGGGGCTGGAGTGTTGAGATAGTGGGATGTGGGGCTGGAGTGTGGATTGATGGGATTTGGAGCTGGAGTGTGGATATAGCAGGATTTGGGGCTGGAGTGTGGATATAGTAGGATTTGGGGCTGGAGTGAAGATATAGTGAGATGTGGGGAAGTAGTGTGGATATAGTAGGATGTGGATATAGTGGGATGTGGGGCTGGAGTGTAGATATAGTAGGATGTGAGACTGGAGTGCAGATATAGTAGGATGTGAGACTGGAGTGTAGATATAGTAGGATGTGAGACTGGAGTGTAGATATAGTAGGATGTGAGACTGGAGTGTAGATATAGTAGGATGTGAGACTGGAGTGCAGATATAGTAGGATGTGAGACTGGAGTGTAGATATAGTAGGATGTGAGACTGGAGTGCAGATATAGTAGGATGTGGGGCTGGAGTGTAGATATAGTGAGATGTGGGGCTGGAGTGTGGATATAGTAGGATTTGGGGCTGGAGTGTGGATTGATGGGATTTGGGGCTGGAGTGTGGATATAGTGAGATGTGGGGCTGGAGTGTGGATATCGTCGGATGTGGGGCTGGAGTGTAGATATAGTGAGATGTGGGGCTGGAGTGTGGACATAGTGAGATGTGGGGCTGGAGTGTGGATATAGTGAGATGTGGGGCTGGAGTGTGGATATAGTTGGATGTGGGGCTGGAGTGTGGATATAGTGGGATGTGGGGCTGGAGTGTGGATATAGTAGGATTTGGGGCTGGAGTGTGGATTGATGGGATTTGGGGCTGGAGTGTGGATATAGTAGGATTTGGGGCTGGAGTGTGGATATAGTAGGATTTGGGGCTGGAGTGTAGATATAGTGAGATGTGGGGCTGGAGTGTGGACATAGTGAGATGTGGGGCTGGAGTGTGGATATCGTCGGATGTGGGGCTGGAGTGTGGATATAGTGGGATGTGGGGCTGGAGTGCAGATATAGTAGGATGTGAGACTGGAGTGCAGATATAGTAGGATGTGAGACTGGAGTGTAGATATAGTAGGATGTGAGACTGGAGTGTAGATATAGTAGAATGTGAGACTGGAGTGTAGATATAGTAGGATGTGAGACTGGAGTGTAGATATAGTGAGATGTGGGGCTGGAGTGTGGACATAGTGAGATGTGGGGCTGGAGTGTGGATATCGTCGGATGTGGGGCTGGAGTGTGGATATAGTGGGATGTGGATATAGTGGGATGTGGGGCTGGAGTGTGGATATAGTAGGATTTGGGGCTGGAGTGTGGATTGATGGGATTTGGGGCTGGAGTGTGGATATAGTAGGATTTGGGGCTGGAGTGTGGATATAGTAGGATTTGGGGCTGGAGTGTAGATATAGTGAGATGTGGGGCTGGAGTGTGGATATAGTGGGATGTGGGGCTGGAGTGCAGATATAGTAGGATGTGAGACTGGAGTGCAGATATAGTAGGATGTGAGACTGGAGTGTAGATATAGTAGGATGTGAGACTGGAGTGCAGATATAGTAGAATGTGAGACTGGAGTGTAGATATAGTAGGATGTGAGACTGGAGTGTAGATATAGTAGGATGTGAGACTGGAGTGCAGATATAGTAGGATGTGAGACTGGAGTGTAGATATAGTAGGATGTGAGACTGGAGTGCAGATATAGTAGGATGTGGGGCTGGAGTGTAGATATAGTGAGATGTGGGGCTGGAGTGTGGATATAGTAGGATTTGGGGCTGGAGTGTGGATTGATGGGATTTGGGGCTGGAGTATGGATATAGTGAGATGTGGGGCTGGAGTGTGGATATCGTCGGATGTGGGGCTGGAGTGTAGATATAGTGAGATGTGGGGCTGGAGTGTGGACATAGTGAGATGTGGGGCTGGAGTGTGGATATCGTCGGATGTGGGGCTGGAGTGTGGATATAGTGGGATGTGGGGCTGGAGTGTGGATATAGTAGGATTTGGGGCTGGAGTGTGGATTGATGGGATTTGGGGCTGGAGTGTGGATATAGTAGGATTTGGGGCTGGAGTGTGGATATCGTCGAATGTGGGGCTGGAGTGTGGAACTAGTGGGAGGTGGGGCTGGAGTGTGGATATAGTAGGATGTGAGACTGAAGTGCAGATATAGTAGGATGTGAGACTGGAGTGTAGATATAGTAGGATGTGAGACTGGAGTGTAGATATAGTAGGATGTGATACTGGAGTGCAGATATAGTAGGAAATGAGACTGGAGTGTAGATATAGTAGGATGTGAGACTGGAGTGCAGATATAGTAGGATGTGGGGCTGGAGTGTGGATATAGTGGGATGTGGGGCTGGAGTGTAGATATAGTGGTGATGTGGGGCTGGAGTGTGGATATAGTGTGATGTGGGGCTGGAGTGTTGATATAGTGGATGTGGGGCTGGAGTGTGGATATAGTGAGATGTGGGGCTGGAGTGTGGATATAGTAGGATTTGGGGCTGGAGTGTAGATATAGTGAGATGTGGGGCTGGAGTGTGGATATAGCAGGATTTGGGGCTGGAGTGTGGATATAGTAGGATTTGGGGCTGCAGTGCAGATATAGTGAGATGTGGGGCTGGAGTGTGGATATAGTAGGATGTGGGGCTGGAGCGTAGATATAGTGGGATGTGGGGCTGGAGTGTAGAGATAGTGGGATGTGGGGCTGGAGTGTGGATTGATGGGATTTGGAGCTGGAGTGTGGATATAGCAGGATTTGGGGCTGGAGTGTGGATATAGTAGGATTTGGGGCTGGAGTGCAGATATAGTGAGATGTGGGGTAAGAGTGTGGATATTGTAGGATGTGGGGCTGGAGTGTAGATAAAGTGGGATGTAGGGCTGGAGTGTGTATATAGTAGGATTTGCGGCTGGAGTGTGGATTGATGGGATTTGGGGCTTGAGTGTGGATATAGTGAGATGTGGGGCTGTAGTATGAATATAGTGAGATGTGGAACTGGAGTGTGGATATAGTAGGATTTGGGGCTGGAGTGTAGATTTAATGAGATGTTGGGCTGGAGTGTGGATATAGTGGGATGTGGGGCTGGAGTGTAGGTATAGTGGGATGTGGGGCTGGAGTGTAGAGATAGTGGGATGTGGGGCTGGAATGAGGATATAGTGGGATGTGGAGCTGGAGTGTGGATATAGTGGAATGTGGGGCTGGAGTGTAGATATAGTGGGATGTGGGGCTGGAGTGTAGAGATAGTGGGATGTGGGACTGGAATGAGGAAATAGTGGGATGTGGGGCTGGAGTGTGGATATAGTGGGATGTGGGGCTGGATTGTGGATATAGTGTAATGTGAGACTTTGGTGTGGATATAGTGGGAGATGGGGCTTGAGTGTAGAGATAATGGGATGTGGGGCTGGAATGAGGATTTAGTGGGATGTGGAGCTGGAGTGTGGATATAGTAGGATGTGGAGCTGGAGTGTGGATATAGTGGGATGTGGGGCTGGAGTGTGGATATAGTAGGATTTGGGGCTGGAGTGTGGATTGATGGGATTTGGGGCTGGAGTGTGGATATAGTGGGATTTGGGCCTGGAGTGTGGATATCGTCGAATGTGGGGCTGGAGTGTGGATATAGTAGGATGTGAGACTGGAGTGCAGATATAGTAGGATGTGAGACTGGAGTGTAGATATAGTAGGATGTGAGACTGGAGTGTAGATATAGTAGGATGTGAGACTGGAGTGCAGATATAGTAGGATGTGAGACTGGAGTGTAGATAGTAGGATGTGAGACTGGAGTGCAGATATAGTAGGATGTGGGGCTGGAGTGTGGATATAGTGGGATGTGGGGCTGGAGTGTAGATATAGTGGTGATGTGGGGCTGGAGTGTAGATATAGTGAGATGTGGGGCTGGAGTGTGGATATAGTAGGATTTGGGGCTGGAGTGTAGATATAGTGAGATGTGGGGCTGGAGTGTGGATATAGTAGGATGTGGGGCTGGAGCGTAGATATAGTGGGATGTGGGGCTGGAGTGTAGAGATAGTGGGATGTGGGGCTGGAGTGTGGATTGATGGGATTTGGAGCTGGAGTGTGGATATAGCAGGATTTGGGGCTGGAGTGTGGATATAGTAGGATTTGGGGCTGGAGTGCAGATATAGTGAGATGTGGGGTAGGAGTGTGGATATAGTAGGATGTGGGGCTGGAGTGTAGATAAAGTGGGATGTAGGGCTGGAGTGTGGATATAGTAGGATTTGCGGCTGGAGTGTGGATTGATGGGATTTGGGGCTTGAGTGTGGATATAGTGAGATGTGGGGCTGTAGTATGAATATAGTGGGATGTGGAACTGGAGTGTGGATATAGTAGGATTTGGGGCTGGAGTGTAGATTTAATGAGATGTTGGGCTGGAGTGTGGATATAGTGGGATGTGGGGCTGGAGTGTAGGTATAGTGGGATGTGGGGCTGGAGTGTAGAGATAGTGGGATGTGGGGCTGGAATGAGGATATAGTGGGATGTGGAGCTGGAGTGTGGATATAGTGGAATGTGGGGCTGGAGTGTAGATATAGTGGGATGTGGGGCTGGAGTGTAGAGATAGTGGGATGTGGGACTGGAATGAGAAAATAGTGGGATGTGGGGCTGGAGTGTGGATATAGTGGGATGTGGGGCTGGATTGTGGATATAGTGTAATGTGAGACTTTGGTGTGGATATAGTGGGAGATGGGGCTTGAGTGTAGAGATAATGGGATGTGGGGCTGGAATGAGGATTTAGTGGGATGTGGAGCTGGAGTGTGGATATAGTGGGATGTGGGGCTGGAGTGTAGATATAATAGGATGTGGGGCTGGAGTGTGGATATAATGAGATGTGTGTCAGGACTGTGGATATAGTGGGAGGTGGAGCTGGAGTGTGGATATAGTGAGATTTGGGGCTGGAATGAGGATATAGTGGGATAAGGAACTGGAGTGTGGATATAGTGAGATGTGGGACTGGTGTGTAGATATAATGGGATATGGGGCTGGAGTGTAGATATAATGGGATATGGGGCTTGAGTGTGGATATAGTGGGATGTGGGGCTGGAGTGTGGATATAGTGAGATGTGGGGCTGGAGTGTGGATATAGTGAGATGTGGGACTGGAGTGTAGATATAATGGGATATGGGGCTTGAGTGTGGATATAGTGGGATGTGTGGCTGGAGTGTGGATATAGTGAGATGTGGGGCTGGAGTGTGGATATAGTGAGATGTGGGGCTGGAGTGTAGATATAGTGAGATGTGGGGCTGGAGTGTAGATATAATGGGATGTGGGGCTTGAGTGAGGATATGTATGGATATATCGTAAGATGTGGAGTTGGGGTATGAATCCGAGTGCCGGACACAGATTTGTTGTTGCCCATGCTTTTAGAAATAGATCAATGGCATGAATTCCTGATTTTGATAAGCTAGGGGAACACCACATATTTAATAAAGCTAGCTAAACCAGGATTGTTGTATCTAGGGTACGCATCACAAGCCGAGGTCTGGCTGACAACAGATTTCGACGAGGTAGATGGAGTAGAAGAAATGTGTGACAGGTTATGGGCCGAATTAAAACCTTTATACTCGGAACTTCAAAAATATGTATACAACAAACTGAAAGATTACTACAAGGACGACATTACGTTCCCGGCCGACGGGTCCATACCTGCTCACTTACTGGGTAAGTATCCGTGTTATTGTGTGACTCATCTACTGGCTGATTTGTTGAAATCGACGAAATCATAAAAACCGCGCCTGTAGTGTATCTAGTTCATCTGTTTGTATATCTTAATGTCGTCGGTGATCTGGTAAAGTTTAAAATTAGCAGATAACGATAACAGATATTTGTGTCTGTCTTTGAATCTCATTTCAGTTTAGGTGTTCAACGGTCATAGATGAAGCCAATACTGTACAACAAATACTTCCTTCGAATGCTCTTTTTCTCTCATGTTTTACGTGCGTTTGGCGATAAGAGACAGGGATACAATTTGTCTCTCAAGTGAATCAGAAGTTTGAAAGAATCGAGTATATACTACTTTTTATCTTTAAGGTAACATGTGGGCACAAGAATTTATATCAATTTTCGATTTGGTGAAACCTTTTGATATACAAAACGAAAATTACGATGACGCTCTGAAAGAAAATGGATATACACCGAAGACAATGTTCGAGGTGGCAGAACAGTTTTATATGTCATTAGGACTGCCGGAAATGACGAAAAAATTCTGGAAGAATTCCATCATTGAAAAACCTGCGGACCGTAGCCTTGTTTGCCATGCTTCCGCTTGGGACTTTTTTGACGATGACGATTTCCGGTAAGACTGTTGATGACTAAGTTCCTGATGTTCGTCTATTTGGCGTAATGTCTATTAAACAGCTCACAGGTTTATTGTTGTCACGAGGTCATAAGATACGAAACGTTGTCTGAAGTATGGCGTCTGACTGTGGAACTATCTACCTTATATCTGGACAGACATTGTTTTCACAAAACACAGATGTAACACTTTTTTTGTTAAGCAGTTTTAATGATTCATTGAACCAAGGGAAACAGCCAAAGCGTTAAATTTTCCTTAATGTTTGAACGTAAATTCAATGGCTGAAATTCGGTTATATTTTTGATAATACGCGATAAGGTTCTCCATCAAATATGTCTGAAAGAATTCGCCATAATTTTCAAAATATGTTAAATGAAGCTTTATAGAATCTCATAAAGAAACCTTTCTAAGACACCAAGGCGCGATCTCCACACATAATCAACAAATCTTTTATTTGAAATATTTATCTGATTTACACAAAATCAGCTAGATAATGTTTTGTTGTACAGAATAAAGATGTGTACAGATGTTACTATGGACTATCTCGAGACAGTTCACCACGAGATGGGTCACGTGCATTACTACATGGCCTATGAAGACCAACCCGTCGTCTATCGTCGAGGCGCCAACGGGGGATTCCATGAGGCTATCGGCGACACCATAGCTCTCGCTGTTCGAACACCGAAACATCTGTGTGAATTGATTGGAGTAGCCTGTCCTAGTGATGATGTGGACCCAGAGAGTGAGTTTATTAGATAATTCTGTTAGATTTGGTATAAATATATGTAGATATGATGATAGTACGTTAATGTACAAGCGTCGACAGGTATGTCTAAAAGAAGACTTGCTGAAAATATTCCTGGGAGAACAGTGAATATAAAGTGTGAACTGTCCGATCGTTGAACACGTCAGTCAAAATGAGCGAACGACGCTATAGAACAAAGTGTCACAAAAGTGATTTTGGCAGTAGTTAAAAACACCATGGTAGTAAAGTGGGTGATACTATGTTTCATATCACCAGCGTTAAAGTGAATTGGTGAAGGTTAAACACAAAAGGCAGTAAAGTGGGTGATACGATGTTTCATATTACCAGCGTTACAGTGAACGAGGCGAAGGTTAAAGGTACTGTACAGTAAAGAGAACGATACTATATACCAAATGATCAGTACGCAAGGCTACACTTAAACACGCCAGGGGTTAAAGTGATCGATACTGTACTTCAAATTACCATGGTAAATTTTAAATAGTTAAACATACCTGACAGTAAGGTGAGCGGAGCTAAATTGAGATACGGTATGATCACTGTTTTCCTGTCTCAGCGTCTGCTCAATCTCCAATGTTCCAGAAGCGGATATGAACTATTTAATGAAGAAAGCTCTCTTGAAGGTAGCATTTCTTCCATTCGGCTTACTGATCGACAAATACCGATGGGCAGTATTCAGAGGAACGATAAAACCAGAGAACTACAACTCGGAATGGTGGAAAATGAGGTCAGTAGGCGGGGCTTAGGGGAGGGGTGAGGGAGAACAGAACACGTAACCGTAGTACGAAAGGACTTTATGTGGGATTTTATGAGCCGTGGCTGAAAATCATGGCAAGGAGATCAAGTGATAGATGGCGAGGGTAGAACAGGCGTATCAAGTGATAGATGGCGAGGGTAGAACAGGCGTATAAAGTGATAGATGGCGAGGGTAGAACAGGCGTACCAAGTGATAGATGGTGAGGGTAGAACAGGCGTATCAAGTGATAGATGACGAGGGTAGAAAAGGCGTATAAAGTGATAGATGGCGAGGGTAGAACAGGCGTACCAAGTGATAGATGGTGAGGGTAGAACAGGCGTATCAAGTGATAGATGACGAGGGTAGAAAAGGCGTATCATGTGATAGATGGTGAGGGTAGAACAGGCGTATCAGGTGATAGATGACGAGGGTAGAACAGGCGTATCAAGTGATAGATGACGAGGGTAGAACAGGCGTATCAAGTGATAGATGACGAGGATAGAACAGGCGTATCATGTTATAGATGACGAGGGTAGAACAGGCTTATTATGACGAGGGTAGAACAGGCGTATGAAGTGATAGATGACGAGGGTAGAACAGGCGTATAAAGTGATAGATGACGAGGATAGAACAGGCGTATCAAGTTCTAGATGACGAGGGTAGAGCAGGCGTATCAAATGATAGATGGCGAGGGTAGAACAGGCGTATCAAGTGATAGATGACGAGGGTAGAACAGGCGTATCAAGTGATAGATGACGAGGGTAGAACAGGCGTATCAAATGATAGATGTCGAGGGCAGAATAGGTGTATCAAGTGATAGATGACAAGGGTAGAACAGGGGTATCAAGTGATAGATTACGAGGGTAGAGCAGGCGTATCAAGTGATAGATGACGAGGCTAAAACAGGCGTATCAAGTGATAGATGGTGAGGGTAGAATAGGCGTATCAAGTGATAGATGGCGAGGGTAGAACAGGCGTATCAAGTGATAGATGGCGAATGTGACTTTTAACCATGGTTTAAGGGCGGAGAAAGGGCTTAGGTGTGTGGTTAGAGTGCGATACAGAAATATATAGGAACGAATTGTTGATCCTTAGATATGAAGACGGGACGTCATTACTGGAAGTTCAGAGAGTGTAAAATTTTACTTATTTAGGAGGAAAGCTAGGTTCGATCATTAGACATCACAAACTTTATCATTATCTACTCATGTTGATTCAGGAAGGAGTACCAGATGATATCGCCTCCGTCACCTCGAGGGGAAGAGTTCTTTGATCCGGGTGCTAAATACCATGTTGCCGCCAGTGTGCCTTACATCCGGTAAGTGTCTCCTTCCATAATTTACCATACACTAACAAGTTATGTCCTATACGCTAAGATAATATATTTTCATGGTTAAAAAAGGTTTATCTCGTGGACATTTGATTTCGTGGATAAATAAAGCTCCACTTGCTGATGCTTACTCAACAGTTCATAAACAGGAATTTACTGAATAGAGAGAACCCACAAAATGACGACTGAAAATAAATCCCCCATGAAAAGTAACGATTTTACAGTAAGTTTACTTGATGACATCCGGAATATATATATATCGGTCTTTAATGTGAATGGTATGTTCCAGTAGGTGAACAAGTATATCTGTTTGATGACTACCTGTATGTAACATGTCTATGTTTCAGGTATTTCATCAGTTTTGTGGTACAATTCCAGTTTTACGAAGAAATGTGTAAAGCAGCCGGCCATGGTGATAAGCCCCTACATCAATGTGACTTTTATAGAAGCAAGGAGGCTGGCAAACTACTCCAGTATGTTGTTATATTGATGTTCCATAATCTGTTATCGGAAATCTCTAGTCGTTTTACAGGACTTTTCTTTCGAAAAAATCTTTATCGCGTGGCTCACTGGTTAGTGCCATTGTCTCTCTACCAGGTGGTCGGACATACCGTCGAAGTAGGATTTACATGGTTCTATGTATATCTTACGTACGTCCTCTTACCTCATATCATCGATCTTATAATGCACCAGTACGTTGTCATGAAGAAATGACAAAACTCACAAGAATTTTGTCCCAATATATAAATATATATACATTTAGATAATCATACAAATATATCATTTAAGATTGTATTACATCTCCGTTATTTACACTGAAGACTTATCAACGTTTAGATAACTTGATTTGGAGAAAGTTCTTAAAAATATGACTCCAGAACTTTAAGTACTCCGCAATATCCTACGGCCGTTTTCTTAAATTACTTTCCATATCTTATAATATTATTTTAGCGCATTTGGCGCTGAAAGTATTGCGCCAAAACTAGTTGTCCTAATTTTTGCTTCTGTGTATTTATTATGGCGCTAATGAGTCAAATACACTAAAATTCCATTACGTTGAATTAAGGATTTATGAAACTCACTACCCAAAAATAACAAAAAATAAAAAAAAAAAAACAAAACAAAAAACAAAACAAAACAAAAAAATGTTGTGGTGATGAATAATTTGAAAGTTTAGATGGCTGCGACGTCGCTTATCTGTATTTTGTTCGCGGATAACAACAAATCTTGAATATTTTCTAGGTGATATTTGTTTCTAGCATTTTTTCCCTATAAAGATGCAAAATAATGATACCGGGATAATAAGCAAAAATGATATCAAATCTCAAATGCTAATTTTTAATTTGATTTCATAACCGCAAATAATCATAACAAAGAAAAAAATTAAATTTTGAAAAAAATCCTGAAATCCTTTATTTGAAAATGTTCTGAAATTGAAGTTTTTAAAAGGCTTTATGCTTTAAAATATGTTTGCGAGTAGTTTTCATAAAAAGTTTTCAGGAATTTTCAGGAAATCAAGAATTAATTTTTGGGTCCTAGAAATCAAGAAAAGTGATACACTATGCCAGCATTCATTTATTTTGTAGTTTATGGTGATAACTCATGCAAAAGTTTTAGGAATTCTGCCTAAAACCTCAAGAGTTTTCCTCAAATTATGTCCTCTATCAACAGAAAATTGTTGAAATTGTCGACGCTGAAAACCGAAACGTCAACTAAGCCGTCACAAAAGGCAGTCCCTTGGAAAAAAACCCTTAATAACGTCACGTGCCCTGCAAAAGTTTATGATATTACGTTGGAATTTATTTTTATTGATTTATGCTTTACTTGAGTTTCATACATCCATAGATATGTTAACAGTGTGTGCTTTTTTCATGCTTGTCACTTATAAAATGCCCTTCTCTAACCAGTGATATGATGGAACTTGGTGGAAGCCTTCCTTGGCCAGAGGCTTTGAGGCAGATCACGGGGGAAACAGAGATCAGCGCCGGGTCGATCTTACGCTACTTCCAGCCTCTCCGCGATTGGATGGAAGAAGAAAATAGGAAATTTTGATGATCAAAATTGAAACTGTTGTTTTGTCTGTGTTTTTTTTTTTTTTTTTTTATTAAATTATTTTAAGACAAACACAGAACTGGTGACAGGTACTCATTGGAAATGCAATAATTTTAATTAATTTTATAATAATACAAAGAAATAAATTTTTTCCTTGCCTGCTCGCAAAATTCTGATTCGTCTACTTTTTCTTTTCATTTATCGACGGGAAAAAAAATTAGACAGAGCAAACCTACCTCCGCACACTTGATAATGATTGGGAAGTCAACGGCAACACGCCACCTTGCGACGGGTTTGTTCGAACTTCTATTTTTAATGAATGGAATTTCTGTTTGCATTAACCTGGTGTGTTGATCGCTATCATTCAATGATTAAAAAAAAAAAAAAAAAACAAAACAAAAACAAACGGACTTCAACATTATAAGATTTCCGAATTTCTTGTAATGTACCCAAGCAATAAACAACGAATAAACAACGGATTTATTAGGGGAATATATGGTATTTTATACTTGTACAAATTTCTGTGTGAAATGTAGAAGACTGAAAATGGCGCGAATTAGCTGTCAATGACATGACGTCACGCCATGTCAAGCCAGCTGTTATGCACAGTGATTAGTTATGAAATAACCCGTCATTAAATCATCAAAGTTCTGCAGTTAAGTGCTATTTTCGTTTTTGAACCCTATCTAAGAAATTAATTATAAGCTTTGATAAGAATATACGCGCAATGTCATGCTATCGTGTCACCACACCCTTTTATATCACCTCAGCTGTTAAGAGGACGCAACATTATAGACATACATTCCTGCCAGTGATATATAGAGAAATATCACATCGATGGAAGTGTTATTTTTCACTAGCGAAAAGAATCTATTTGAAAAATATTTTTAAATCTTTGTTTGTTTTCGATTGATATGGAAACTTATTAAATCGAAAAAGAAAACAAAAAGACTTGGACAATATCATAACGACTGAAAAAGCAAACTTTTTTGCGTCTTAATATTTTATTTACGAAAATTTGTTAATTTTTACCAGAAACCTTGTTTCCTACATTGATAAGGCTCTATGCGAAAGTGTCGTGTCCTATTTGTCACTATTTGATTTGTGAAATTAAAATCAATACACGAAATATGTACAGACTTAAACGTAATTTATTCATACCAAGATCAGATCTTTTTCTCAACGAATAAATCATTGACGTTAGGCATGTGAAATACATAACTAATCAACATGTTAAAAATCTGTGACACGTCATCACTTCATGTGGTGTAGCCATGGTGACGAGCGTTCTACATCACGTTCACGCGATAGGTTTGGAAGTATTGACAGGCATTGTGAATGACAACTGAGATTTGTGTTGGATCTGGAATTGGCACTGGTGACAATGACACACCTTGCTCAACAGCCTGGATAAGTCTTTGCTGAAACCGGAAGCACTTTATCAATAAATCATTAGAAGTATAATGTAGAGTTTGTATACCTAAACTAACGGGCGACTTTCTTCAGTGCGTCTTTATCTTAACGACTTACATTAAGCCCCCTTCCCCCTAACACAACCATCACAAAAAGACAACACCAAAGACAAGTGAACGAAGATGGAGAAATATGAATAAAAGAAAGACTTATTCATATTTACACGGAAAACTATGTAAAGAAATGAAGGTGTTCCGGAGGAGAAAGCGTTTCTCCTCAATGACGACACTTGTTTGTGTTCGTTAAATCTAAGAAAGTAGTGAGAACAAGACTTATAATAACAAAACTACCGGTCGTACTAAAGAGTTTTGTTGAGTGTTAGATTCCCTGAACGTTTTAAATGGGTTCTTTTCATAAAGCGGCAGAACTCCCCCACTGGGTGCACATAATAAATCTGTTCTCACGGGGACAATTCAAAACGGACAAAATTTATTAATATGTAGAAAATCCAGTTTGAATAAATTAAAAAAACTCTACTGCATCGGGATGGTGCTTGGAATTAAGTATGATATAATTGTCTTCGTCTAAAATCAGTACGACGTTTGTAAAACGTAGATGTTTTTCTTACGAAAAGTCTATTTTCCAAGGTGATGACCTAGACCACATAATGAAATAAATATCTATAGCCAAATGCTACTGCATATATTCCAAACAATCGCGTATACAGAAGGAATACACAATTACTGTCATCTGAAGGTCGTGGCAAACGGAATTACAGTAAAAATACTGTCGTGTGAAGGTCGTGGCCAACAGAATGACAGCAAAAATACTGTCGTGTGAAGGGTGTGGAAAGCGGAATTACAGCAAAAATACTGTCATCTGAAGGACGTAGCCAACAGAATTACAGCAAAAATACTGTCGTGTGAAGGATGTGGAAAACGGAATTACAGCAAAAATACTGTCGTGTGAAGGGTGTGGAAAACGGAATTACAGCAAAAATACTGTCGTGTGAAGGGTGTGGCAAACGGAATTACAGCAAAAATACTGTCGTGTGAAAGGTGTGGCCAACAGAATGACAGCAAAAATACTCACGTGTAAGGGGTATGGAAAACGGAATTACAGCAAAAATACTGTCATCTGAACGGCGTGGAAAACGGAATTACAGCAAAAATACTGTCATCTGAAGGACGTAGCCAACAGAATTACAGCAAAAATACTGTCGTGTGAAGGGTATGGAAAACGGAATTACAGCAAAATTACTGTCATCTGAAGGGCGTGGAAAACGGAATTACAGCAAAAATACTGTCATCTGAAGGACGTAGCCAAAAGAATTACAGCAAAAATACTGTCGTGTGAAGGGTGTGGAAAACGGAATTACAGCAAAAATACTGTCGTGTGAACGGTGTGGCCAACAGAATTACAGCAAAACTACTGTCGTGTGAAGGGTGTGGCCAACAGAATTACAGCAAAAATACTGTCGTGTGAAGGGTGTGGCCAACAGAATGACAGCAAAAATACCGTCGTGTGAAGGGTGTGGAAAACGGAATTACAGCAAAACTACTGTCGTGTGAAGGGTGTGGCCAACGGAATTACAGCAAAAATACTGTCGTGTGAAGGGTGTGGCCAACAGAATGACAGCAAAAATACTGTCGTGTGAAGTGTGTGGAAAACGGAATTACAGCAAAAATACTGTCGTGTGAAGGGTGTGGCAAACGCAATTACAGCAAAAATACTGTCGTGAGAAGGGCGTGGCCAAGAGAATGACAGCAAAAATACCGTCTTGTGAAGGGTGTGGCCAACAGAATTACAGCAAAATACTGTCATTTGAAGGGGGTGGCCAACGGAATTACAGCAAAAATACTGTCGTGTGAAAGGTGTGGCCAACAGAATGACAGCAAAAATACTCACGTGTGAGGGGTATGGAAAACGGAATTACAGCAAAATTACTGTCATCTGAAGGGCGTGGAAAACGGAATTACAGCAAAAATACTGTCATCTGAAGGACGTAGCCAACAGAATTACAGCAAAAATACTGTCGTGTGAAGGGTGTGGAAAACGGAATTACAGCAAAAATACTGTCGTGTGAACGGTGTGGCCAACAGAATTACAGCAAAAATACTGTCGTGTGAAGGGTGTGGCCAACAGAATTACAGCAAAAATACTGTCGTGTGAAGGGTGTGGCCAACAGAATGACAGCAAAAATACCGTCGTGTGAAGGGTGTGGCCAACACAATGACAGGAAAAATACTGTCGTGTGAAGTGTGTGGAAAACGGAATTACAGCAAAAATACTGTCATTTGAAGGGCGTGGCCAACAGAATTACAGCAAAAATACTGTCGTGTGAAGGGTGTAGAAAACGGAATTACAGCAAAAATACTGTCGTGTGAAGGGTGTGGCCAACAGAATGACAGCAAAAATACCGTCGTGTGAAGGGTGTGGAAAACGGAATTACAGCAAAAATACTGTCGTGTGAAGGGTGTGGCCAACAGAATGACAGCAAAAATACCGTCGTGTGAAGGGTTTGGCCAACAGAATGACAGGATAAATACTGTCGTGTGAAGTGTGTGGAAAACGGAATTACAGCAAAAATAATGTCATTTGAAGGGCGTGGCCAACGGAATTACAGCAAAAATACTGTCGTGTGAAGGGTGTGGAAAATGGAATTACAGCAAAAATACTGTTGTGTGAAGGGTGTGGAAAACGGAATTACAGCAAAAATACTGTCGTGTGAAGGGTGTGGCCAACAGAATTACAGCAAAACAACTGGCGTGTGAAGGGTGTGGCCAACAGAATTACAGCAAAAATACTGTCGTGTGAAGGGTGAGGCCAACAGAATGACAGCAAAAATACTGTCGTGTGAAGGGTGTGGGAAACGGAATTACAGCAATAACACTGTCGTGTGAAGGGTGTGGAAAACGGAATTACAGCAAAAATACTGTCGTGTGAAGGGCGTGGCCAACGGAATTACAGCAAAAATACTGTCGTGTGAAGGGTGTGGGACACGGAATTACAGCAAAAATACTGTCGTGTGAAGGGTGTGGAAAACGGAATTACAGCAAAAATACTGTCATCTGAAGGACGTAGCCAACAGAATTACTGCAAAAATACTGTCGTGTGAAGGGTGTGGAAAACGTAATTACAGCAAAAATACTGTCGTATGAAAGGTGTGGAAAACGGAATTACAGCAAAAATACTGTCGTGTGAAGGGTGTGGAAAACGGAATTACAGCAAAATACTGTCAAGTGAACGGTGTGTGAAACGGAATCACAGCAAAAATACTGTCATCTGAAGGACGCAGCCAACAGAATTACAGCAAAAATACTGTCGTGTGAAGGGTGTGGCCAACAGAATTACAGCAAAACAACTGGCGTGTGAAGGGTGTGGCCAACAGAATTACAGCAAAAATACTGTCGTGTGAAGGGTGAGGCCAACAGAATGACAGCAAAAATACTGTCGTGTGAAGGGTGTGGGAAACGGAATTACAGCAATAACACTGTCGTGTGAAGGGTGTGGAAAACGGAATTACAGCAAAAATACTGTCGTGTGAAGGGCGTGGCCAACGGAATTACAGCAAAAATACTGTCGTGTGAAGGGTGTGGGACACGGAATTACAGCAAAAATACTGTCGTGTGAAGGGTGTGGAAAACGGAATTACAGCAAAAATACTGTCATCTGAAGGACGTAGCCAACAGAATTACTGCAAAAATACTGCCGTCTGAAGGGCGTGGCCAACGAAATTATCTAACGGAATCAGGATATACTCCAGGGAACCCTTACTTTATCTACTCGATAATATGTCTGAATGTTCCAGGGAACCCTTACTTTACTCGATAATATGTCTGAATGTTCCAGGAACCTTTACTTTATTTACTCGATAACATGTCTGAATGTTCCAGGGAACCCTTATTTTACTCGATAATATGTCTGAATGTTCCAGGAACCCTTACTTTATCTACTCGATAATATGTCTGAATGTTCCAGGGAACCCTTATTTTCCTCGAAAATATGTCTGATTGTTCCAGGGAACCCTTATTTTACTCGATAATATGTCTGAATGTTCCAGGGAACCATTACTTTATCTACTCGATAATATGTCTGAATGTTCCAGGGAACCCTTACTTTATCTACTCGATAATATGTCTGAATGTTCCACGGAATCCTTACTTTATCTACTCGATAATATGTCTGAATGTTCCAGGGACCTTTATTTTATTTACTTGATAATATGTCTAAATGTTCCAGGGAACCCTTACTTTATCTACTCGATAATATGTCTGAATGTTCCAGGGAACCATTACTTTATCTACTCGATAATATGTCTGAATGTTCCAGGGAACCCTTACTTTATCTACTCGATAATATGTCTGAATGTTCCGGGGAACCATTACTTTATCTACTCGATAATATGTCTGAATGTTCTAGGGAACCATTACTTTATCTACTCGATAATATGTCTGAATGTTCCAGGGAACCCTTACTTTATCTACTCGATAATATGTCTGAATGTTCCGGGGAACCATTACTTTATCTACTCGATAATATGTCTGAATGTTCCAGGGAACCCTTACTTTACTTTATTAACCTTTACTTTATTTACTTGATAATATGTCTGAATGTTCCAGGGAACCCTTACTTTATCTACTCGATAATATGTCTGAATGTTCCAGGGAACCCTTATTTTACTCGAAAATATGTCTGATTGTTCCAGGGAACCTTGTTCCAGGGAACCATTACTTTATCTATTACTTTATCCTTTACTCTACTCGATAATATGTCTGAATGTTCAAGGGAACCCTTACTTTACTCGATAATATGTCTGAATGTTCCAGGGAACCCTTATTTTACTTTATTTACTTTCTTTACTCGATAATATGTCTGAATGTTCCTGGGAACCCTTACTTTACTCGATAATATGTCTGATTGTTCCAGGGAACCCTTACTTTATTTGATAATATGTCTAAATGTTCCAGGAACCTTTACTTTATTTACTCGATAATATGTCTGAATGTTCCAGGGAACCCTTACTTTATTTACTCGATAATATGTCTAAATGTTCCAGGGAACACTTACTTTATTTACTCGATAATATGTCGAATGTTCCAATATGTCTGATTGTTCCAGGGAACCCTTACTTTATACTCGATAATATGTCTGAATGTTCCAGGGAACCCTTACTTTATCTACTCGATAATATGTCTGAATGTTCCAGGAACCTTTACTTTATCTACTCGATAATATGTCTGAATGTTCCAGGAACCTTTACTTTATTTACTCGATAATATGTCTGAATGTTCCAGGAACCTTTACTTTATTTACTCGATAATATGTCTGAATGTTCCAGGGAACCCTTACTTTATTTACTCGATAATATGTCTGATTGTTTCAGGGAACCCTTACTTTATCTACTCGATAATATGTCTGAATGTTCCAGGGAACCCTTACTTTACTCAATAATATGTCTGAATGTTCCAGGAACCTTTACTTTATCTACTCGATAATATGTCTGAATGTTCCAGGGAACCCTTACTTTATCTACTCGATAATATGTCTAAATGTTCCAGGGAACCCTTACTTTATCTACTCGATAATATGTCTGATTGGTCCAGGGAACCCTTATTTTACTCGATAATATGTCTGAATGTTCCAGGGAACCCTTACTTTACTCGATAATATGTCTGAATGTTCCAGGGAACCCTTACTTTACTCGATAATATGTCTGAATGTTCCAGGGAACCCTTACTTTATCTACTCGATAATATGTCTGAATGTTCCAGGGAACCCTTACTTTATCTACTCGATAATATGTCTGAATGTTCCAGGGAACCCTTACTTTACTCGATAATATGTCTGAATGTTCCAGGAACCTTTACTTTATTTACTTGATAATATGTCTGAATGTTCCAGGGAACCCTTACTTTATCTACTCGATAATATGTCTGAATGTTCCAGGGAACCCTTATTTTACTCGATAATATGTCTGAATGTTCCAGGGAACCATTACTTTATCTACTCGATAATATGTCTGATTGTTCCAAGAACCTTTACTTTATCTACTCGATAATATGTCTGAATGTTCCAGGAACCTTTACTTTATTTACTCGATAATATGTCTGAATGTTCCAGGGAACCCTTATTTTACTCGATAATATGTCTGATTGTTCCAGGGAACCCTTTCTTTACTCGATAATATGTCTGAATGTTCCTGGGAACCCTTACTTTACTCGATAATATGTCTGATTGTTCCAGGGAACCCTTACTTTATTTGATAATATGTCTAAATGTTCCAGGAACCTTTACTTTATTTACTCGATAATATGTCTGAATGTTCCGAAACCTTTACTTTACTCGATAATATGTCTAAATGTTCCAGGAACCTTTACTTTATCTACTCGATAATATGTCTGAATGTTCCAGGGAACCCTTACTTTATCTACTCGATAATATGTCTGAATGTTCCTGGGAACCCTTACTTTACTCGATAATATGTCTGAATGTTCCAGGGAACCCTTACTTTATCTACTCGATAGTATGTCTAAATGTTCCAGGGAACCCTTACTTTATCTACTCGATAATATGTCTGATTGTTTCAGGGAACCCTTACTTTACTCGATAATATGTCTGAATGTTCCTGGGAACCCTTACTTTACTCGATAATATGTCTGAATGTTCCAGGGAACCCTTATTTTACTCGATAATATGTCTGAATGTTCCAGGGAACCCTTACTTTATCTACTCGATAATATGTCTGATTGGTCCAGGGAACCCTTATTTTACTCGATAATATGTCTGAATGTTCCAGGAACCTTTACTTTATCTACTCGATAATATGTCTGAATGTTCCAGGGAACCCTTACTTTATCTACTCGATAATATGTCTGAATGTTCCTGGGAACCCTTACTTTACTCGATAATATGTCTGATTGTTTCAGGGAACCCTTACTTTACTCGATAATATGTCTGAATGTTCCAGGAACCTTTACTTTACCTACTCAATAATATGTCTAAATGTTCCAGGGAACCCTTACTTTATCTACTCGATAATATGTCTGAATGTTCCTGGGAACCCTTACTTTACTCGATAATATGTCTGAATGTTCCTGGGAACCCTTACTTTACTCGATAATATGTCTGAATGTTCCTGGGAACACTTATTTTACTCGATAATATGTCTGAATGTTCCAGGGAACCCTTACTTTACTCGATAATATGTCTGAATGTTCCAGGGAACCCTTACTTTATCTACTCGATAATATGTCTGAATGTTCAAGGGAACCCTTATGTTACTCATAATATGTCTGAATGTTTCCCCTTACTTTATTTACTCGATAATATGTCTAAATGTTCCAGGGAACACTTACTTTATTTACTCGATAATATGTCTGAATGTTCCAGGAACCTTTACTTTATCTACTCGATAATATGTCTGAATGTTCCAGGGAACCCTTACTTTACCTACTCGATAATATGTCTTAATATTCCAGGGAACCCTTACTTTACTCGATAATATGTCTGAATGTTCCAGGGAACCCTTACTTTACCTACTCGATAATATGTCTGAATGTTCCAGGGAACCCTTACTTTACTCGATAATATGTCTGAATGTTCCAGGGAACCCTTACTTTACCTACTCGATAATATGTCTTAATATTCCAGGGAACCCTTACTTTACTCGATAATATGTCTGAATGTTCCAGGGAACCCTTACTTTACCTACTCGATAATATGTCTGAATGTTCCTGGGAACCCTTACTTTACTCGATAATATGTCTGAATGTTCCTGGGAACCCTTACTTTATCTACTCGATAATATGTCTGAATGTTTCAGAGAACCCTTACTTTACTCGATAATACGTCTGAATGTTCCAGGAACCCTTTATGAATAAATTGCAGTCAATATTTTTTACAATAACGAATAGATAAGTAAATATATCAAATGCATCAAATACAAGATAGCAATGATAGATATTAAGTACTGGTTACCATGGATAAAATATATGTCTAAGTGCAATGTGCTCTTATAAGAAGAATCATTTTGAAATAGATAAAGGGCAAAACCGATTTAGAGATCTTAAAAATGGTCCATCGTGCTTTTAATTACTTCAATATTCATGGTAAATCTATTATTGGAAAAAAATCTTCATAGCTTGAGAAATATGGTGCCAGTGACATAGCTATTATATGTATGTGTATCCTGTTGTAAAGATATAATTTCACACATCTATTCAAAATATGTATTTTTTGTTTGATAAGGAGTTAATACTTATCGAAATAACTATTTACTTCACCAGCATTATTTATATTTTGATTGTTACAAAAGTATAGAAACACCATACTGCACATCATCTACAGCAAGTTACACTTCCAATTTCACTCAATTCTTTCCCTTCTACCCGTGATCCAGCTTATGGGACACGAGACATGTACTTGTAATTACAATATTTAGCTATACCACTAGACACGGCATGTTTACCTCCAAGGTTGCCTGGTAGCTCCAGAATCCAAAGTGTACAGCGTCGACTCCATTAAGATGCCACAAATAACAAGTGTTACTATATACCATTACCAGGTATTTCTGTAACAACAATGTATAAACGTCTTACTATGTGTTAGGTTATCGGGATGATTTTATATGCCATTTTTCACACTTTTGTGTTGTGATTTTCTGAGGATTAATCTTTTCGGCGTTGTGTGTCTGTGTTTGTTGACATTGTGTATCAGAGTGTGTTGATATTGTGAGTGTTAGCGTGTGTGTTCTTGCTTGTTGTTTCTGTATGTCCTTGTGTATTGTGTCTTTATGTCCTTGTGTATTGCTTCAGTATGTTCTTGTGTATTGTGTCTATATGTCCTTGTGTAAAGTTTCTATATGTCCTTGTGTATTGTGTCTATATGTCCTTGTGTAAAGTTTCTACATGTCCCTGTGTATTGTGTCTTTATGTCCTTGTGTATTGTGTCTATATGTCCCCGTGTATTGTGTCTTTATGTCCTTGTGTATTGTGTCCATAAGTCCCTGTGTATTGTGTCTATATGTCCTTGTGTAAAGTTTCTATATGTCCCTGTGTATTGTGTCTATATGTCCTTGTGTATTGTGTCTTTATGTCCTTGTGTAAAGTTTCTATATGTCCCTGTGTATTGTGTCTATATGTCCTTGTGTGTTGTGTCTATATGTCCTTGTGTGTTGTGTCTATATGTCCCTGTGTATTGTGTCTATATGTCCTTGTGTATTGTGTCTTTATGTCCTTGTGTATTGTGTCCATAAGTCCCTGTGTATTGTGTCTATATGTCCCTGTGTATTGTGTCTATATGTCCTTGTGTAAAGTTTCTATATGTCCCTGTGTATTGTGTCTGTATGTCCTTGTGTAAAGTTTCTATATGTCCCTGTGTATTGTGTCTACATGTCCCTGTGTATTGTGTCTATATGTCCTTGTGTATTGAGTCTATATGTCCCTGTGTATTGTGTCTGTATGTCCTTGTGTAAAGTTTCTATATGTCCCTGTGTATTGTGTCTACATGTCCCTGTGTATTGTGTCTATATGTCCTTGTGTGTTGTGTCTATATGTCCCTGTGTATTGTGTCTATATGTCCTTGTGTATTGTGTCTATATGTCCTTGTGTATTGTGTCTATATGTCCCTGTGTATTGTGTCTATATGTCCCTGTGTATTGTGTCTATATGTCCCTGTGTATTGTGTCTATATGTCCCTGTGTATTGTGTCTATATGTCCCTGTGTATTGTGTCTATATGTCCCTGTGTATTGTGTCTATATGTCCCTGTGTATTGTGTCTATATGTCCCTGTGTATTGTGTCTATATGTCCTTGTGTATTGTGTCTATATGTCCTTGTGTATTGTGTCTATATGTCCCTGTGTATTGTGTCTATATGTCCTTGTGTATTGTGTCTATATGTTGTTTGTGTAAGTCCTTGCGTGTTCACGCTGTTTCTTGTGTATTGTGTCCATATGTATATGTTGTTTGTGTAAGTCCTTGCGTGTTCACGCTGTTTCCTGTGTCTATGTGTCCATGTCCCTGTGTATTGTGTCTATATGTTGTTTGTGTAAGTCTTGCGTGTTCATATGTCCCATATGTCCCTGTGTATTGTGTCTATATGTTGTTTGTGTAAGTCCTTGCGTGTTCACGCTGTTTCTCCATGAGTGTTAACTTTATGTGTCCATATGTCCCTGTGTATTGTGTCTATATGTTGTTTGTGTAAGTCCTTGCGTGTTCACGCTGTTTCTCCATGAGTGTTGACTTTATGTGTCCATATGTCCCTGTGTATTGTGTCTATATGTTGTTTGTGTATATGTTTCTCCATGTGTTAATTGTGTCTATATGTTGTTTGTGTATATGTTGTTTGTGTAAGTCCTGTGTTCACGCTGTTTCTCCATGAGTGTTGACTTTATGTGTCCATATGTCCCTGTGTATTGTGTCTATATGTTGTTTGTGTAAGTCCTTGCGTGTTGTTTCTATATGTTGTTTGTGTAAGTCCTTGCGTGTTCACGCTGTTTCTCCATGAGTGTTAACTTTATGTGTCCATATGTCCCTGTGTATTGTGTCTATATGTTGTTTGTGTAAGTCCTTGCGTGTTGTTTCTATATGTTGTTTGTGTATGTCCTTGCGTGTTCACGCTGTTTCTCCATGAGTGTTAACTTTATGTGTCCATATGTCCCTGTGTATTGTGTCTATATGTTGTTTGTGTAAGTCCTTGTATGTTCACGTGTTTCTCCATGAGTGTTGTTATGTGTCCATATGTCCCTGTGTATTGTGTATTGTGTCTATATGTTGTTTGTGTAAGTCCTTGCGTGTTCACGCTGTTTCTCCATGAGTGTTGACTTTATGTGTCCATATGTCCCTGTGTATTGTGTCTATATGTTGTTTGTGTAAGTTCTATGTTGTTTGTTTAAGTCCTTGTTGTTTCTATATGTTGTTTGTGTCCATATGTAAGTCCTTGCGTGTCACGCTGTTTCTCCATGCTGTTTCTCCATGAGTGTTGACTTTATGTGTCCATATGTCCCTGTGTATTGTGTCTATATGTTGTTTGTGTAAGTCCTTGCGTGTTTCTATATGTTGCTGTTTCCTTGCCATGTTTCTCCAGTGTTGACTTTATGTGTCCATATGTCCCTGTGTATTGTGTCTATATGTTGTTTGTGTAAGTCCTTGCGTGTTGTTTCTATATGTTGTTTGTGTAAGTCCTTGCGTGTTCACGCTGTTTCTCCATGAGTGTTGACTTTATGTGTCCATATGTCCCTGTGTATTGTGTCTATATGTTGTTTGTGTAAGTCCTTGCGTGTTGTTTCTATATGTTGTTTGTGTATGTCCTTGCGTGTTCACGCTGTTTCTCCATGAGTGTTAACTTTATATGTCCATATGTCCCTGTGTATTGTGTCTATATGTTGTTTGTGTAAGTCCTTGCGTGTTGTTTCTATATGTTGTTTGTGTATGTCCTTGCGTGTTCACGCTGTTTCTCCATGAGTGTTAACTTTATGTGTCCATATGTCCCTGTGTATTGTGTCTATATGTTGTTTGTGTAAGTCCTTGCGTGTTGTTTCTATATGTTGTTTGTGTAAGTCCTTGCGTGTTCACGCTGTTTCTCCATGAGTGTTGACTTTATGTGTCCATATGTCCCTGTGTATTGTGTCTATATGTTGTTTGTGTAAGTCCTTGCGTGTTCACGCTGTTTCTCCATGAGTGTTGACTTTATGTGTCCATATGTCCCTGTGTATTGTGTCTATATGTTGTTTGTGTAAGTCCTTGCGTGTTGTTTTCTCCATGAGTGTTAACTTTATGTGTCCATATGTCCCTGTGTATTGTGTCTATATGTTGTTTGTGTAAGTCCTTGCGTGTTCACGCTGTTTCTCCATGAGTGTTGACTTTATGTGTCCATATGTCCCTGTGTATTGTGTCTATATGTTGTTTGTGTAAGTCCTTGCGTGTTCACGCTGTTTCTCCATGAGTGTTGACTTTATGTGTCCATATGTCCCTGTGTATTGTGTCTATATGTTGTTTGTGTAAGTCCTTGCTTCTACACGCTGATTATCCATGAGTGTTTACTATATGTGTCCATATGTCCCTGTGTATTGTGTCTATATGTTGTTTGTGTAAGTCCTTGCGTGTTCACGCTGTTTCTCCATGAGTGTTGACTTTATGTGTCCATATGTCCCTGTGTATTGTGTCTATATGTTGTTTGTGTAAGTCCTTGCGTGTTCACGCTGTTTCTCCATGAGTGTTAACTTTATGTGTCCATATGTCCCTGTGTATTGTGTCTATATGTTGTTTGTGTAAGTCCTTGCGTGTTCACGCTGTTTCTCCATGAGTGTTGACTATATGTCCCTGTGTATTGTGTCTATATGTTGTTTGTGTAAGTCCTTGTGTATGTTCACGCTGTTTCTCCATGAGTGTTGACTTTATGTGTCCATATGTCCCTGTGTATTGTGTCTATATGTTGTTTGTGTAAGTCCTTGCGTGTTGTTTCTATATGTTGTTTGTGTATGTCCTTGCGTGTTCACGCTGTTTCTCCATGACTGTTAACTTTATGTGTCCATATGTCCCTGTGTATTGTGTCTATATGTTGTTTGTGTAAGTCCTTGCGTGTTCACGCTGTTTCTCCATGAGTGTTGACTTTATGTGTCCATATGTCCCTGTGTATTGTGTCTATATGTTCACGTGTTTCTCCATGTGTTAACTTTATGTGTCCATATGTCCCTGTGTATTGTGTCTATATGTTGTTTGTGTAAGTCATATGTTGTTTGTGTAAGTCCTGCGTGTTCACGCTGTTTCTCCATGAGTGTTGACTTTATGTGTCCATATGTCCCTGTGTATTGTGTCTATATGTTGTTTGTGTAAGTTCTTGCGTGTTGTTTCTATATGTTGTTTGTTTAAGTCCTTGCGTGTTCACGCTGTTTCTCCATGAGTGTTGACTTTATGTGTCCATATGTCCCTGTGTATTGTGTCTATATGTTGTTTGTGTAAGTCCTTGCGTGTTCACGCTGTTTCTCCATGTGTTGTCCCTGTGTACTTTATGTGTCCATATGTCCCTGTGTATTGTGTCGTTGTTTGTGTAAGTCCTTGCGTGTTCACGCTGTTTCTCCATGAGTGTTGACTTTATGTGTCCATATGTCCCTGTGTATTGTGTCTATATGTTGTTTGTGTAAGTCCTTGCGTGTTCACGCTGTTTCTCCATGAGTGTTGACTTTATGTGTCCATATGTCCCTGTGTATTGTGTCTATATGTTGTTTGTGTAAGTTCTTGCTTGTTGTTTCTATATGTTGTTTGTTTAAGTCCTTGCGTGTTCACGCTGTTTCTCCATGAGTGTTGACTTTATGTGTCCATATGTCCCTGTGTATTGTGTCTATATGTTGTTTGTGTAAGTATATGTTGTTTGTGTAAGTCCTTGCGTGTTCACGCTGTTTCTCCATGACTTTATGTGTCCATATGTGTCTATATGTTGTTTGTGTAAGTCTTTATGTGTCCATATGTTGACCTGTGTATTGTGTGTATTGTGTCTATATGTTGTTTGTGTAAGTCCTTGCGTGTTGTTTCTATATGTTGTTTGTGTATGTCCTTGCGTGTTCACGCTGTTTCTGCATGAGTGTTGACTTTATGTGTCCATATGTCCCTGTGTATTGTGTTTCTATATGTTGTTTGTGTATGTCCTTGCGTGTTCACGCTGTTTCTGCATGAGTGTTGACTTTATGTGTCCATATGACCTGACTGTTTTCTGGTTATGATTTGTTTTGATGTTTTAGTCAGTTGTTATTGATTTCTGCGTAAACTATAAATTTCGGATTTCCATGTAAATGTATGAAATGATAAAGTAGTACGGGGTTCGTTGATGCTGAAGAATGCTGATTTTTAGATTTAATATGCACGGTTGAAATCAAGTAGCCGAATATTTTCGTTTTTTAATGGAATTGTGATGGTGTACTTTGCATGTCTTGATTTCATGTTTCCAGCTTTTCAGAATACACAAAGTAAATAAAGACTGAGTCACAAAATAAAAACGAACTGAGCTTACAAACATTTTCTGTGGAACACTGTAAAAACACTGAATCAGGATTCTCTCTGTATTAGTGTATGTTCAACGCTAAGACGGTCTGAACACGTAAGATGATTGCTGTAATCCCAATATACTGTAAATTAATTGATTTTCGTGGAAGATTAATTTTAGAGGTATTTTAATCCATGACTTCATATGTCCTCTTACGAATCAACTGTCATCACGTCATTTCTTTGATACTATATCTCTACAATGCAAGTGACCAGAAAATAGAGTTATTTTTTAAAACAAATTTGAGCAGCACCACCAAAGTATTCCAACAATTCATGGTGTAACACTTACATTATGTATGTCTTCATAGAAAGTGGCGACACTGGTGTCAATATGTACTGCCTTCGTTAGAGAGAACATCATCACATACTGTAATTAATCGCCATGGTTTAATTTCATCGTTTCTAAAAAATACAATAGTTATTACATTCAAAGTGACTGAGGACTTGGCTATATCAATTAGGGTCATATTGACTGGCCTGTTATGCGACACTGTATACAGTATATAACACGGATCGCGAATAATTGGCACCGCAAACTAGGCATATCAATATATATCAATAGACGAAATCTCGTAAAGCTATCGCCAAAACAACCCGTTATGCGGCATGTCCTTACATAATGTTTTGTTCAGCACCTGGTCATGGATGTTGGAGAGCCTGTGCATCCCACCCCTCGTCCCTGTTCAGCACTGGTCCGATGCGATTCATCGGATGACCTCTGACTAGTCGTCTGAATAGGTTTTTTTTCTCGTCAATTATATGATTTTGCTGTGTAGAATAATCTGTATGTGCCGATTGTTTTAAAATCTGGGACTGAGATTGTTTTTGTTCCGATCTTGTGAATTTCTTGCCTTCTGGCGATTCTTTCTGATCTTTCATGAGGTCAAACCACGAATCTACTGCCAGTTCACCGATAAGCGATAGACTGTAGTTCCTGTACCCATTATGCATTCTTCGACGTTCTCTTTGGATGTTTACATCCGTAAACTTAGTTCGACTATTTTGGGGAGGTTAAGCAATACACTGATCACGGTAAATCCTCTGAATAGTGTCTGAAAGGCCGT